CAATGTTTTTTAGTTTCCAACCGAATATAACCTGTCTCTCTCGCTCTCACCAGATGTTCATACGTGTGACACCACGTACCCCCGGTGACACCACACGGATGATGTATGAATATGACGCGTATGAACGTAAATTCCACTGTAATAGCAAAAGGAAGATAATTAATAAGCGTTTTTCTCTGAAAATCTTTTTGCGCAGTCTCATACACGTTCCAATTAAAATATCCAGGAAAGTACGTAGTAATGCCTGAAATTGAAATTTAAAAAGAGACGTATACACTCAAGGGTCATGTGAGAGAAAGTAAGACAGATAATTGTCAAAGGGAACCTAAGTTCTCTTCGAAGTCACTCTGATCGTCATAGATGGAGGCTTACAAACGACGGCGGAATCCGCAATGCTCGTTTGCGATGTCTGAAAATCACCGCCTCTATGTTACTTTTTTAAAGGAGAACAAACTGACATCTTTCCTTGAAGTTTCTGCAGTTTTTTCTTTGCACAGAGAAGAAAAATCACGGCAGTTTTGAAGAATTGCCGTTGAGTACCTAGTTTTCCATTTAAAAAATAAAGTACGACAGGCGATCTGCGACGTCGCAAACCGAGTTACCGGTAGGATTGCCGACTTACACCGTCAATAAGTGCTAATGGTATATCATCCTTTCAGTTTCATGACGAATGCTGAAATGATTCCATTAGCCCCTCTCCAAAGTAAACAATGAATTTTACACATGAGATAACTGAAGAGAGTTCAAATAATAACGTTCATTATCAGGGCCGGATTAAGGGAGTGGCCACATGGGCCGCGACCCATGGCGGCAAAATGTAGGGGGCGGCAAATTTTGCAATTTTTTTGAATGTAGGTATCAAAAAAAGAGAGGAAAAATCGGATTCAGAAAATAAATTGCAAACGAGAAGAGACGACAAAATCTCTCATTTCCTGAGAGTAAAAAGTATAGCAATTTCTAATTTTGTCGTCTTTCGGTGATACAAGAGACAACACCTTTAATTAGTCGAGGTAAGAGAGAAACCAAACACGCACTTTGACCTGGAACGGAGCGGCGCGGCGGTCGGCATGAAACGCATAGCAACTACAAGACTGCATGAATACTTCACGCATTGCGTCAAACACACTGCGGTCTGCTTGAAACGCATAGCGCCTACAAGACTGCATGAATACTTCAAGCATTGTAGCTTTACTTCAAGCTTCAGTATCACGCTTTATAAATTTAAGCTATTAAAACAAATAAAAATTATTATAAAAATAAATATGATTAAAATTGCAGTTTTCAGATGAATCTGGTTTGTTTTACATAACAGGTGTGTTCCTTTATAAATAAAATTAATTAATGAATTTACTTGGTTGACTACTGTTCCTTTTTCCGTAGTTTTTAACCTGACAACGTTTTGGGTTATAAGCATTATCTTACTCATTAAGTTTAAGTTTAAGTTTAAGTCAAACAGTGTGGTCAGCAGTGACCGGCGTGAAACGCATACGATACGCATAAAATTATTAACCACATTTATGTTTGTTCTTTCATGATTTGTTCGTTCGTTTTTTTTAAATGGAAGGCCTTGTCCAAACAGGGATGGTTTTACGGAACTGAACTTTTGTCAGTGTTGACAGGGTTTTTCACAAAAAAATGTGCCCAACACAAGTAAACGCGTCTCGTACACCCCTCCCCCTCCTCCACCGGCACGTTCACTTGATGGTTTTTATAGATCGTATTCAACAGATCACACAGGTGCGATTATATTGATATCGATTGATTCAATATGTAACCACAGGTGCAAAAGTCAATTTAGAAATCTGAGGGAACGGGTCTTATTATGTGATCTAATTTTTATTCTCTCGATTACCAAATGGCAATGAAAAGTGAAATTGCTAGGAATTTTTTCATTTGCAGCTTTTCCAAATTATATCCTAAAATTTTTGTTTGAGTTTATGTTCTATTGTTTTGAACTAAACGATACATCGAACCACTGTCGAATACGATCTATTGATGTTTCAAAACGAATGAGAAAGGGGCGGAAAAATACAGGCGGCCCATGGGCGGCAAGTAGGTAAATCCGGCTCTGTTCATTATAATTTTTTGCGCCCTTGAAATGTGCCGTGATTACAGAGAGAGCCGTAATTGGAAAAACGCAGTTTTGAAAAATTGAGCTTTCGGTGGCCGAGCTTTAAATGTTATTGTCGTCTTCCACATTTTGTAAGATTGCCAAATATCAACCAGAGGACTCATTAAAACACTTCGGGCCTTTACAAATCCACGAATCTTACTTTCAACTTTATAAAAAGGGGCTTTTTCATTTTCATGTTATGCAAGATAACCATAAGTGCCATTCTCTGCATGCTCACGTGGTTGCGTTTTAGACACACAAGAAACACATTTTAAGGTTAGACTTTGATAGAAAAGTATTCCATTTGACATAAAGGTACAGTTATTATTGGCTATACGGCAGAATCATATCCGTGAGGTTTTTTTTTTTTTTTTTTTTTTTTTTTTTTTTTTTTTTTTTATCCCCAAAGCAACGCCAATTTTGGGCACGCACCAGCACATCATAGGTCTCGTTTTCATACAGAAAAGGCCAATTTTGCCGTTTCAGCTGTTTCAGGGATATAATCTAAAAGAGTCCAGACGAATTTTGAAAGAAACTCGATTTCTGAAATTTGAGCGTTATGGTTTTTATTGCTATTACAAAAGTGTAGTGAAGCTGTTTCTACTTATTACTAATTGTTTGCTGGCAGATCAAAAGTAATACCTAATCAAATAAAAATAAAAAGAAGAAAAAAAAGAAAGTAGAAAAAAAAACTAACACTTTTCATTTTTAATCCGGTTTATGCGACTACTGTACTTACAGATAAAGTTAGTTAGTTAGTATAATTTTGAGACATTCAGCGTCACAGGCTATTAACGTCTTTACAGAGAATTTTGAAAAAGGGAGTAAATACGAAAATTTAGATTTTTAAAATAAGTTAAAGATAAAATAGACGATATATTCATATAAAACATTGCAATGTTTTATATGAATGTATCGTCTATTTTATCTGTAAGTACAGTAGTCGCATAACCCGGATTAAAAATTAGATTCCCTCCTATGCTGAAGAATGCTGCTCTTGAGCATGGAAACCAACGATATCCGTATATTTGTTTGGTTTCTCTATTTGAATTTATTAGTTGGAATGGAAAGATGGCAAATTCAGACATTTTTTCGACATCATTTTCTGACATTTTGTTTTGTTGAAAAACGTCTACGAGAGAAAACTTCTCTCGTGGACGTTTTCCAACAAGACAAAATGTCAGAAAATGATGTCGAAAAAATGTCTGAATTTGCCATCTTTCCATTTCAACTAATAAATTCACTAAAAAACTAATGGACTCACTGTAAGCAGTGATTCCATCATTTCTTTCCTTTGTGTATGTTGCAGGCAAATAGTCATTTTAGGCATTTTGTGAAATGCCTAAGCAAATAGTTAAATATTCTTACTAGATCTTAGACTGAAATTCTGATTCTTTCGCTGATATTTAGGCAAAATAATTCTCTGATCATGTGGAAGTAAATTCCCTTTAAAAACTTACTCCGCACAATCATGAATACGTTTTTCTAATCCTTGAGTGCAAATTTATCTCAAAATATGCAGCATTTCATAAAACAACCATGGTAAAAATTGGCGATAAGAGCTGCGTTTCAAAATACCATAGGAATTCTTATAGCCGGCTAGAGAAGGCTACAGAAAATCATATTGCTGGCTGTAGAATGCGGAGAAAATCATAAGGCCAGAATATACGAAGCGATAAAAAATTATGCAGCCGGGCTATAGTTCCTATCGCCGGGCTTTACACTTTATCGCCTTGCTATTGCTTTTTCGCCATCGATTATAAAAGGCTATGAGAAATTGTGTAGAAATTCGTGTGCTTTGGAAATGATTAAGTTTGATACGGAACCACCTTAATATTGACAAAACACACATTATATTTTCCTTTAAAACATATTTTTTTTCATTTATTTTTTTTTTTTTAAATGAGAATAATCCATACAGGATGTGCAAACATTTCAAAATCATGAGTTGAATAACGCTGACTCCGCCAGATTAAATATTAGAACCTCACAAAGCGGAGCGACGACGCACTGGCGCCTACAAACCTAACAGGGATACTTCACGCATTGCGCAACGCGTGAAGTATTCCAGTCAGGTTTGTAGGCGCCAATGCGTGTTTCGCGCTGGCTGCCCGCCTGCCACGGCGCTTGAAGCAACTATTTCACACCAGAGGTATTGCACAGTATCATACGAAATTGAAGGCGCTCCAACATATTAGGAATGGCAGGCATCCATCAAAAGTACAGAGCTTTCCTCGCAAAATAAATCAAGATACTACAGCCCATAAAGAGAGAGCAGTATTCCAAAAACTCACTAAGCTCTATCATCCGTAATTAGTAACGTTTAGCATACACTTTATCGCCTGGCTGTTGTTTAATTGCCATCGGCTATAAAAGGCTATAAGAAATTGTGTAGCCGGCTATAGAAGCTATTGGAAATCTAACAGCCGGCTGTAGGTCTATGGTATTTTGGAACACAGATTCTACTGCCAATTTTTACCAAGGAAAAAGTTTTCAAAATTTGGACGGTTGAAGAATTATGAGTAGAATTTTTGAACGGGAAATACAATGACAGTTTTTACTTTAAAGGATTTTCAGTCTCAAAATATTGAAAATTAGAGAGGTCTTTGCGAAAACATAAAACACCTCGGAAACTCTGAGACTTTGAGTATCTGCCTAGGCTTTTGATAAAATGCCTGATTTGACTATTTGCCTGCGACATCTATAATAATCACCCGCTGCAACAAACAGGATCGCTCCAGTTACCTAAGGGTAACTACTAAACTAATTTATGGTTAAAATTATGGTTTATGCTACTTTATAGTTTAGATGGAGCTACCTGCAGCTTGATCTTTGAAATTGATAGACAAAACGATAGACACAGCAGACTTTTGTCTTTCAATTTCAAAGATCAAGCTGCGGGTTTAAATGGAGATAGTTTCATCTTCTGCTTCAATTCGTCCATCTAAAAGCGGATCAATAAGTATTCCACGAGAACGGAGCCTCTGCATTGATCGTTGCTGGTACGACTGGATCAATTAGCAATTCTTTGAGAGTCTTTCGGTCTGATTTGATGAGCTGCGCTTTTTTATCTGTTTTCTGTTGGAGAAGACAAATAATTCATGAGTAATTGAGCTGTGCTTCTTTTCATTCAATTTCTCTCTGAGAAACCTCACGTTCAGTACATAGCGTTCTGAGTGTACAAATAAAATGAATCAAAAACTTTAAAATGAATCTTCCCAGGAAGTAAACTAACGTCGATATAGGTTTCAAACGAATTTTGCCAAAATACGAGTTTTGCTTTTTACTCTTTGTAAAAACAGAGAAGCGATAGTGTAGAAGCGTGCTTCAGCAGTCTATTTGTGAAAAATCTCTTCCGAAAACCCTTAATTAAAGCCTGAACGCGAGACTAAACGCGAAATATAATATATAGTGCTAAACTAAAATTCATGTCATCATACATTCCTATTTCTACTGCTCAAATTTATACTCCTATGTGTATCATCTCGACTTGTACCACAGTCGAATTTTTTTTTCGACTTCTAGTGTATCAATATGAAAATAAATAAATAAATAATTAAATATCGCATTCGATTAGTCAAATCAAACCAGAATTTTTGCGATAAGTCGCATTTGGCTTTAATTTAAAGTTCCTGCGAGAAAATTTGCACCAAAAGACTGCTGGAGTATGCTTCTACACTGTTGCTCCTCTGATTTTACAAAGAGTAAAAAGTAAAACTCGCATTTTAGCAAATGTAATAACCTCGATCCACAAACATCGATATATCGATGTTTGTGGATGGAGGAATCATCTCAGGGGAGATTATTTTGAAAATATCGAAGTGTCAGTCTCAAGAGCAATCACTAAGACAACTTCACTCCTAAATAGTCTTACAATACCTTAAAATAATTATGATCAAAGCATCTGTTTCCAATTGACTATTAATATCGATATGTACGAGCACTTAGCGGTCATCGGAAATTTGCAAACGGTATACGTATTTTAATTCGTGAAATTGCAAAGATTTGCAGCTACATAGTAAAATTTTTATCAGTGAAGAACTTCAAAAACGCGTCCTCAGTTTGAAGGGCATTCCAAACCCGGCGAAACTCTCCGTTTTACCAGGGAGTTAGTTTAGTTGCCTGTTAGAATGGAACCCAACTAAGAACACTGATTATTCATAATCAAATTCACATCAATTCGTGTGCAAAATGACAGCAAAACGTGCGAAAATAAAACCTCTCTAAATTTACCTGGTTAATGTCGTTTGCGGTGAGTCGACTTAATCTTCCAACCTCGATTGCAACCAATTCATGCTGTAGCTTCTCTCCTGAATCATAACATCGCAAAAATTCCAGGCTTTGCAAAATTGCTTCAGCAGCTCGCTCTATGAGTGCTTTGTCATGACCGTCAGGTAACTGACTGATCGCCTGTTTTAGATTCTGGATCTCATGACCAGCTCTAGATTTCTGTATCGAAAAAAATAATACATGAAATGAAACAGCTCAACAACGTGATATAAAATACGACTCCGGGCAAAAAAATCGTATATTTCGTAAAATAGACCAAGAAGTGAATACCATTCAGTATTTTTTAAAAGTAATATACGTAGAAAATCCAATTCACTCTTTCAATTTTTTCATCCCTCATTTTTTTACGTTAGTAAGATCACTAACCGTTCTGGGCGCGCTTCGCGCACCCGTCACGGCTAGCCTAGGGGCTGCGCCCTCTAGACCCCCGGTCACATTATCGCACAATCTGGCAACGCCGGACTGGAATAAAAGGTTGAATGAATAGAAAAGTGAAAAGTAAAAATCCTTCGAAGTTTATATTAATGATTATTTCAAATGCAATTTCTCGTTTTTTCACGTAAGACTTTTAAAGTTGTAAACATTCAGTCTCGTAATGCTTTACAAATTATTATAAGAACCGTGCAACTAGTAGTGGCGGATCCGGGGGAGGGGGCGGCATGGTGGTATGGTCCCCGCCCCTCGAGCCAAAATAAGGAAAACAAGAAAAAAGAGAACAAGAGAGGGGATGTATAAGCCGCTTTTAAGGCGCGCTAGGGCGCTCCGCGACGCCTACCCACCACAGGAATCTGTCATGGTAGAGATCCTCCGGAAGCTGGCATCTCTCCATCTTTTCACGGATACCCTCTACCCACCGTTTGGCTGGACGCCCTCTTCGTTGCCTACCTGGGGGGACCCACTCCAACACCTTTTTCGGTAACCTGGTATTAGCCATTCTCTGCACATGCCCATACCGTACCAATTGCTTGGTCGTGATATCGCGCACAATTGTCCCCTTAACGTCCATTATCTCTCGGACACGAAAACAATGCTACTGAAAATTCACGAAAATGGTTTTTAGACAGATATGTATAACCAAGGTTTACCAAACCAAAGGCTACTCAACACTGCAAAAATGAATAGTCCACGTACTAAAATAAAATTTGGCTAAAAGAGGTATTAATCGTCAATTCCCTGGTATAAAATTGGCAGTAGAATCTGTGTTCCAAAATACCATAGACCTAAAGCCGGCTGTAAGATTTTCAATAGCTTCTATAGCCTGCTGCACAATTTCTTATAGCCTTTTATAGCCGATGGCGATTGAGCAACAGCCAGGCGATAAAGTTTATGCTACATGTTACTAATTACGGATGCTAGGACTTAGTGAATTTTTGGACTACCGCTCTATTTTTGGGCCGTAGTATCTTGATTTATTTTGCGAGGAAAGCTCCGTACTTTTGAAGGGCACCTGCCATTCCTAATATGTTGGAGCGCCTTCAATTTCGTATGATACTGTGCAATACCTCTGGTGTGAAATAGTTGCTTCAAGCGCCGTGGCACGCTGCAGCGCGGCGGGCGGGCAGCCAGCGCGAAAAGCGCCTTAGCGCCTGCAAACCTAACAGGGATACTTCACGCATTGCGCCATGCGTGAAGTATCCCAGTTAGGTCTGTAGGCGCTGGTGCGCGCTTATCGCTGGTAGCACGCCGGCCGCTCCACTCTGTGTTATGCTCCAATATAATCTTGCGGAGTCAGAGTGTTTTTCAACTCATTATTTTGAAATTTTTGCACATCCTGTATGGATTATTCTCATTTTAATTAATTGATGAAAAAAAATGTTTTGAAGGAAAATATAATGTGTGTTTTGTGAATATTATGTTGGCTCCGTATCAAACTTTATGATTTCCAAAGCACACGAATTTCTACACAATTTCTTATAGCCTTTTATAGGCGATGGCGATAAAGTGTAAAGCCCGGCGATAGGAACTGTAGCCCAGGTGCATACTTTTTTATCGCTTCGTCTAGCTCGGCTGTATGATTTGCTCCGCTTTCTACAGCCAGCTATATGATTTTCTATTGCCTTCTTTAGCCGGCTATAAGAATTCCTATGGTATTTTGAAACGCAGCTCCTATCGCCAATTTTTACCAGGGTTTTCAAATTTAAATAAATTGTATGATAAAACTGCATAAATTTCAATCCGGGAAGGATTATTTTTACAATTTTTTTTCGGCAAAGGCCCCCAGCCCCCCTTTGGAGAATATCCCTCCCTTAGACNCCCCCCCCCACTCGACATCAGCAAATGCCCTCTCCCTCCGACTCACTTTGGATCCGCCACTAGCAAGTAGGGTAAGAAGGTTGCGACCAAAAGATTTACAAAATGAGCATAATTTTGTCGGGTATGTGAGCTAATCTTCGCTGAGTTATAGTTCGATATCAAAGGGAATGTTCGGAAATGAAACCGCACATTGGATCGATTGCAATGCCACGATTGGCTGAACAAGCGCGAAACATAATATAAATTCACTAGAAAAAGAAGTAGCTTGGATCAAGCATGATAATTCTTGAATTTGCCGCCAAGAATTTTCTTTATCTTGCTTTAAGCTGACTTTTTCTTGATTCGAGAAAAATAATGCTTGGGTTAAGCAAAAAAGTAGCTTACATTAACCAGCGAAATTCTTGATTTGAGAAGAAATACTTCTTGGCGGCAAATTTAAGATTCTTTTTTTTCCAGTGTTATTTAGAACTGAAATTTGTTCTCCTCGAGGAGAATCCAACATAATTTTTAAGTCACGAACCGGAAATAGGGTGTTGATCAAAAGTTTGCTGAGAGACTCTTTAGGAGGGAGTAAATTTTTCATCTTGTCTGGGAATCCCTGCAGCAGGAACAAAGTTGCGTCGTGCCCTGCGCTCGCGAGCAGCCTTGAAAGGGTCATCGCGAGACCTCCACTCCACGTCTCGGCCACGATCGTGAAAGGACCTCTCTTTTGGATTCGAAGCATCGACTGAAACCATCCAAAATTCAAAGTCAATGCTAAAAACATTTTAAAAATTAGATTGTACGCAAGGGATGAAAGTAGCCATTCTCTTACATTTGCAGTGTTAACTGATATCATGAAAAATTTAAAGGCAATACGACAGAATGAAAACAAAAATTGGACTGAGTTAAGCAGAAAGGTACCAACCCACATTTTGGAAAAAATTGCGTTATGAGTGGTTTTGAACTCAACCACTGCTCTACTATCTATCGCCAAAAATTCAAAGTTTTTGTTGGAGCAAATTTTGCAGAAATTGAACTTGAAGTTTATCTTTTGCATTGAGTCTTATGCAGGAGCCAAACTTTAAACCTCTTTTTCTCGGTTCGATCCCGATGCGGCTTGGTTCCTTTCTGTTTAACTCCGTCCAATTATGGGTAAATGAGGCAACACCGCATCCATTTATCCCTGAATTTTCCAAGAGGTCACAGGCTCATTTTCAACTGCAAAAACAGTACAAGTTCATTTGAAACAAGCGGAAGTTTTTGCAGTCGATTTTACCTATTTATCTATTATTTTTTTTCTTTTTCTTTTTCTATCCCTTAACTACATCGCGTTACCATATGGCAACAAGTGGATACTCTGGCAAGAAATTACTGTATGTTGTTGCCGTATGGCAACGAGCTTTTTTAAGCTTCATAAGTTAAAGAATAAAGTAAAATTTCGAAAAAAGCTCAAAGACGTGTCTTTTTATTATCACTTTACAATAACATATATTTTTTCATCAAATTTGGCGTCGCACAAAAATCCCATGCAGTAGAGGGTTAAAAATCAGAAAATTTCTCTCCTAAGAGAGACTTGCATTGATGATAGGTGCAGCCAGATCGAAACACGTTCACAGCTATGCTCCCGCCTGAGTGGCCTTGATGGCAGTGACTGATGAACAGTTTTTTTCCCCCCTTTCAGAAATGCTGTAAAACTGTTGATATTTACAAAAAAAGAAACGCTTTTCTGACATGTTTTAAGTGCGCTTAAATGTACGTTTAAAACGTTTAAAAAATTACTATAGGAGAGAGGAGTCAAGTCATTGAATATTCAACGACTTAATAACAATTTTTGCAGGTTTGACTTTCTTGCGGTCAGAAATAAACAAATAAAACTCCTGAAATTTTATCACATTAAAATTTGACACAACAACTTTTCTGCCGACTAATAGAGAATTGAAGGAAGAACCCCCCGACGGGCAAAGTGCGAAACCTTCTATCTCCGTTTGCGACGTTGCAGACTTCCTATTATATTTTATTTTTCCTCGGAAAAACTGGTTAACGCAATTTCTTAGAAACATCTCGATTTTTCTTCTCTGTTATCAGAATATTCTGCATGAATTTTAAGCTATAAAGTTGGCTAATTTCTCTTCGAAACATTAAAAAGGGAGCAAACATTTTGAAACACCGCAATGATTATACGTGGTTTCGCACTTTGGCCATCGCCTTCAATGTTCGATAGTCACAGGCGCCAAAGCGCCAAAAGCGCCTAAAAAATCGGTCATGGTGCCTAAAAAATGAAGGCTCTGCGCCGACGTGGCCCCTAAAAATTCCCCCCCCCCCCGCAGAAGAAAAACATCTTAATTTTTTGTTCGGTTTGGTGGAACATCTTCCGTCTAACTTTTCACTAAATGCGCCGTGATATGTAGGCAAAAAGTCAATTTGGCCCTTAAAAAATCTTCAATGGTCCATTGGCCCCTAATAATCAAGCATAATGGGCCACACGGCTCCTGAAACTCAAAGGTGATTTTTGAACACTGCGCCTTGTTATTTGAAAAAACCTAGTTCCTCTTCATTAAACTCGATCTAATTGTGCTTTCTTACCCTAAGAAGATCTGAAGCCACTTGATCGATGGATTTTGCGACAAGACGAGTATGAGCAATGAAACAGGGGTACATAAGCCTGGAGACGAGGAATTGCATGTGAGATCCGCAAAAAGCCGAAATGATGAACACGGGTCGGGTATCTGCGCGAAGAGCTCGCCCAGCTGACGAAGGTATCGAGATGAATTTAGCACAAGACTGGCTGTCACATTTAATGTCTCCGGCTGTTAAGAAGCGTCCAATCTCCTCAATTTCCGCCATGGATGAGGGTAAGAAGTCTTTTATTTGATTTGTATCGTTGCTTCCTAATGCACGTAAAACAGACAATTAGACTTGAACCTTGGGTGACACAAAATTGTTTCAGCTATTTTGCAATAAAATTGTTCCAAAAAATCAAATTAGAACGATCACAATATTCGAAACTTTTCCTAAGTAGCAAAATTATTTCAAAATTAAAGTTGGTCGATTTTTTTTGAAAAATACACATTTTCATAGCCTTTAAAATGTAGGGCAATCACCTAAACAGGTATATTACAACATACTCAAAAAGGATCCCCTTGTATGAATGGCAGTCCTCAAAAGTAAGTTTAAACCTTTCATTTAAAATACGAGAAAATGCTACTTTCCCAAATTTCAAACCATCTTGTTTAAAAAACGGACAAATCTGTACAAAACAGGGCCATTTTTTTGTTTTTAAAAACTTCAACTCACGATCATTGTATTGTAATACACTTATGATAATGGTTAAATGAAAATCTAATGCCTAAAATTAGAACAGCTTGACTTTTCATAGATCATCTTTCGAACAACAAATAGCCACTTCTGTGAACAATTTCTCAATTTTTCACAAATGCTGTAGAAAGTGCTGATCAACTTAAATAAGTTATTCGTTGATATTCCGTCAGATAAAGTGACTCTGATATCCAAGTCGATGGATAGGGAATAATGCCGACTATCTGCACACTGACACTTATGCGGGACAAAAAGAGAACTTCGCCCTTTTTGTAATAAGCTTTGTAATTTTTTCATACATTACAGCGTTATTATAGCGCTCTCTTACAGAATTGGAAAAAACTGGAAACATCAGCTTGCGTATTTTAAACTCGTCACTTTTCAGCCAAAGTATCACAAGCACCATGCCGACCACACGACGTTTCAAAATTTCCGCCACCTTTTTATTTTTTTACAGAGAAATTTCTCAACAAAGCTGTCCGAAAATTCCACTGGATTTTCTTAGCGCTGCCGATAAAATTCAGTGATTTTCAAACAGATCCAACCAAAAATTTCTCTGTAAAAAAATAAAATGACGGCGGAAATTTTGGAACGTCGCACAGTGCGGCCCTCTGTGGACAAAAATAAAAAATTCAGAACTCGACATCTAAATATTTTTTTTGGATTTGTCATCTGACAGACCGTATGGGGGACTGTACTGTCACAGGTTTAGCAATCCTGCGGACCCCAGCTGGTAGCCCCTGCCTCAAAGGGGTTTTTGGAGTTGGTCACCGGCTTCTAGGCGCATGAACCACCCAGAGAAGGGTAGATTGGGCTCTTAGTCGTAGTGAAGGCAACCAATCTAGGAGAGCGCACTCCGAATTCAAACGCTGGTCCTCCAGGTTGGGGGTTGAGTCATCGGGCTGACTCCTCGGTACTTGTTAAAAATCAAAAATGTTAAACGACCTAGCCAAGAAAGCCTCGGTGCCCATGATAAAAAACGGATTTTACGACATAAATTACGAAAAAGGACTATGGTATTTGGGACGTGGAATGTCCAAGGCATTTCAAGAAAATTACCGGAAGTGATATCGGAGATCAAAGAGCATCAAGTGGATATTGTTGTTTTGACTGAGACTAAAAAGAAAGGACAGGGTTCCGAAAATTACGAGGATTATGATCTGTTCTACAGCGGCGTGCCCAAAGACCAGCGGGCGCGGCAAGGGGTAGCCATAATGATGCGGAAAAGTCTACGCAGATTTGTTGTTAATTGGGAGGCTGTCAACCAGCGCATCATTAAGATGAACTTGAACTTATACGGTCATAAAATCACGCTGTTCGGGGTGTATGGAGTAAATGATGATGCAACTGTCGCAGTCAAGGACCAATTTTTTGAAGATCTGAATGAGGAAATCACGAAGGTGGCAGCTGGCAGGGAAGTAATTGTTATGGGTGATTTGAACAGCAGAACGGGACGACGAGGCAACTGCAAAGTTGTTGGACCGTTCGGGGAGGATGCTGTTAATGATAATGGAGATCGGCTCATCGATATTTGTTCCCAAATGGAGATGAAAATTCTGAATGGTTTTTTCCAGCACAAAGACATCCATAAATACACCTGGGTCCAGCCTACTCGAGGATTGAAATCCATCATTGATTACGTGATAGTGAGGCAGGCAACTAAATTGAAAGTGCAGCAAGTACGAGTTTACAGGGGACTTTCTTGCGGCAGTGATCATCATTTCCTCCGGGCAGATGTAGCGTTCCCTGTTAAGGGCAGTAAGGACAAACAGCCTATGCAGCAACAACAGCAGAGGCAGGGATCACAAGAACAAGAAGTGTGGTATAATATTGAAAGTTTGGAGCACCCCAGCGTTAAGGCACTGTAGGTACAGGCAACGCTTGGATGAGAAGCTGGGGGACGGATCATCTGGAACCACGGAAGAACAATATCAATTTATTAAAGAATGCATCCACTCTGCTGCAAAAGAAGCCCTAGGTGTTTACAAGCCCAGTCATAAAGACCAGCGCCCGTACTGGTGGGAAAGAGAAATAGAAGACGAAATTAATCTGAAGAGGCAAAAACATCAAATTTTCTTGTCGTCTAAGAAAGCGGAAGATAAAGTTGCGTACAGGAAAGCTCAGTCTAAAGTCAGGAGCCTCATAACAAGAAAGAAAAATGAAGCTTGGGAAAGCAACTGTAATCGAATCAACACCTACCTAGGGGGAAGAAAAAGTGCCGAGAGTTGGAAGCTAATTAAAGGTTTACGCAGGGACATGAAGCGGAATATCTTGTCTCCGATATCACTTAAAAAACTGGAGGATCATTTTAAAGATCTTTTGACGGAAAGGCGCCCAGAGTTTCGAGACAGCAGCACGGACAACGGAAGAATGAACAACTTGGAGATTCACACTTGTGACATTATTAAAGCGGTCAAAGAGCTGCAAAATGGCAAAGCACCGGGTCCAGGTGGAATCCCTGTCGAGTTGGTTAAGAGCGGGACTTCTAAGCTCTTCGAGTGCCTCAGAAAGCTGATGCAGCAATGCATTAGGGGTGACGAGGTGCCAGGGGAGTGGAAGGAGTCCTGGATCAAGGCCATCTACAAAAAGAAGGGAAGGAAGGACGATTGTAACAACTACCGGGGGCTCTTAGTGACCGGGACAATAAGCAAAGTGTACGGGAAGATACTGAAAGCGAAGATCGAGGACGAATGGCAAGATCACGAAGCAGAGGAGCAGGCTGGTTTTCGAGCTGGCAGGTCTACGATAGATCACCTCTTTGTTATTGTCCAGGTCATTGAGAAGAAAATGGCCGTAGCTCAGGAGCTGCATTTAATTTTTGTGGATCTCCAGAAGGCGTATGACAGTGTGCCGTTGGTGAAACTTTGGGAGGCCTTGGAAAAATCGAATTTTAACGGGGGGTTGATTGACGCTGTTAAGCGATTTTATAAAGGGAGTTTTACCAAAATTAAGTGCCATGGGGGGTTGTCAGCGGGATTTTATGTTACTAAGGGTTTAAAACAGGGATGTTGTTTGTCGCCAACATTATTTAAAATTTATCTCGAGTGCGTGCTAAAAGAATGGAAAAAGAAATGTTCTGGTATGGGTGTCCCCTTGGGTGATCTTGAAACTCTGTTCACTCTGTGCTTTGCTGATGACCAGGTGGTGGTTGCTCAAGATCAAGACGACGCGGAATACATGATGCGCAAGTTAGTAGAAGAGTATCGGAAGTGGGGTCTGGAAGTCAGCATATCCAAATCTGAGAAGATGACTTTTGGCGGTGATCAGCAAAGCATTGAGTTGGAGGATGGGCAGCAGATCAAAGGCTGCGAGCACTATAAGTACTTGGGAGTGCGGTTGACCCAGGATGGAAGAACTGATCAAGCGATTAAGGAAAGAAACACCCTGGCAAGGAAGGCTACAGCGATGTTAAATGGAATCCTCTGGGACCCTCGGATTTCCAAGGAGAACAAGAGGAGAATTTACGACGTTGTTGTCAAGAGTATTCTTACATATGGATGTGAAGTTTGGCAGCTGAAGGAGCGGACAAAGAGGATGCTAAGAGCAACGGAGATGGATTTCTGGAGGAGGTCTGCTGGAATTTCTAGGAGAGATCGGGTCCGCAATGAAAGAGTGCGTCAGATCATGGGAGTCGAAAATGACATCATATTCGACGTTATGACCAGACAGCTTGTCTGGTATGGTCATGTCAATAGAATGACGGACGAAAGGCTGCCAAAGAAGTTGCTTGATTGGGTTCCTCCTGGAAGGAGACGAAGGGGACGCCCAGTGAAAGGGTGGCGACAGGGGATTTTAGAAGAAATGAGGGTTTGTCAACAGCTCCCTGAAGGGCTTTGGGAGGATAGGGGACTTTGGCGGCTAGGGGTCGCAGAGCGCCAAAGAGCGCTATAAAAGCGACTTTATACATACATACATACATCTGACAGATATTTCTGACTCACGATGATGGTTTATTTTCAAAATTTTCGCTCAAAACTGCATAAAAGTTGGGTAGAAAGTGGGCGGGAAATGGGTCGAGAATGACTGGTCCATAAGAAGTACGCGGGAAAAAGACGTCAACTTCAAATGAAAATTTCTCGCTTGAAACGCAAAGTGCTCCGGGTGGTTGACATATTCTTAATCCTCAGATATTCAACTTCAATTCTACCAAAAAGATCTTGCGACTTTTTGCGACCATCGGAGATATTTGAAGTTAAAGTTTAGGTGTTTCACGTTTCTTTTACATCGTTAACTTAAGGCTATAATTCGAGGTTGCCAATTTCAAATGAACTGTTCTCGGAAAATACGCAAAAAATCCTGAGATATAACATTTCCTTATTCCTCGAGTATGTTTTACTTTGATAGTGCCAATGGGTTTTCCTATGTCGGTGCTACTATCTTCATTATTTAAAGTTGAGTGTCTTTTACCGATTTTCGTCCGCATCTTACATGAGGATGCCGCACTGTGCGTCGCATGGAGTTTGTGATCCTTTGGCAGAAAGGTGACGAACTATAGAATGAGGCAAAGTCGCTAACTAGTTTTTGCCCAAATTGTCAGTCAGGTGGTATTCTTCCTCAGCCCTCGAAGTGTGTTCAGACACGATTTATCACCGAGAAATTTTCCCAAAATTGATAAAATATAACGAACCAGAGGTTTTTTGAACGTTGTTGGTCCTTTTGGACACAAGGTACACGGCTTCTCTATTTTTATTCAAAAGAGCATGATCAAGGACTTCAGTGTGGTCCACGTTGCCATCACGGATCACAGATATCACACCTTCAACCATTGCACATTTTTTGTCGTGAATGTTGATGATAGGAACTTGTGGAATCGTGCTTATCACTATCTCTTTGACATCCGTCACGAAGCCGGTATTTTGTTCCTGTGAATAAAAATTGTACAATTAAACGAGGAAAATGTAAGGCTATTTTCAAAGTTATTTTGAATGCTATATTCAATCGTGCAATGTTATATCGGCTGTTTATTATACTCTTCGAGTGCTTCATAAATAGTTTTCTTTTCAAAGTCTTTTAAATAGATGGACTACTGAAGCATTTTTGAAGGCAAGCTAGTTCAATTTTTTTAGGGAAATTATTTCGCTTGAGGTTTGGAGGGGTGTGTTGAATAACCAGAGGGCCATTGAACTGTCTAACGAAAATTTAAAAAGGCTTTTTTTAATTTTCATTTATTATAAAATTACTAATAACTACACACAAAAATTAAATTATAATTTTTTTGATTAGTTAGTTAAACTCAACATTTCTCTCATTTCTTTTAGGTGCAATAAAAACTCCATGATTGATTCACAAACTTACCAACGAAACAATAAAAACTGCCTCAATTTGTCCGAGTTTCAACACTTGGCTTATCAATGTTTCAGCGTCTTTCTGCGAGGATGCGCTGATACCTGACATTACTGAAACTGAGGCATCATACTTGTTCGCATAGGCCTGCAATACGCTTGTTGCATCTGCGTTGGGAGGCGAATTCAAAGTCGCAACCACGAACTTTTTAATCCCGCGCTGTACCAGCTTCTTCATGAGGGGAATTGCATTTGCTGACGATGGACCTAAACATGTTTCCTCATACTAAGAGATTAAACAGCACTTAATGATCGAAAGGAATAGTTACAACCAAAGACAAGAGACCCTCCACTAGTATCTTGGCCATTGTGGAAGCTTTTACTTTCGGGACTTCAGCATTCTACTGTTGACTTACCTACATGGTTGATGTTTAACAACGTGTTGGCAGTTTCGTTTCGCAAACAAGTCGAAAATGGTCGAAGTTTGCGAAACTTGTTTGGCTCATGACGTCACCCGAAGCTCATCATTGACCATGTAGGTAGGTCAACAGCCGAAATTGAGGTGATGACTGTTGCTCGTGTTGCTCCCTAATAATTGTCCACAAGGAACTGTTGAATCCCCGAAAGTAAAATCTTCCACCTGTCGCTAGGAGGCCAGTGGAGGGTCTCTTGTCTCTGGTTACAACTCAGACTATCCGGGATGCTAAAATGGCATTTTTCCCCTAAGTTTTGATAACCAAGAAGTAAAATTTCCTGCATGATAATTGCAAAGTTAGGAGGAGAAACGACCAATTCCAGATTTGGCCATTTTTTCGGATAACAGAATTCCTGAAACTGCACATACTGAATATTATGTGTACAAAATTTCCATTTTTTAGACAAATTATTTTTGCATTTTTCGCAACAATAAATTATAATATAGTGATTTTGTTTGAACCTAACCTTCCTTGAGCGCGAGGTTAAACACATTTTCAGTCCAAAATGTCAATTTGAAAGGAAGGCGTACTGAGTGTTATTTCCAAATGCGACTTATGTCACATATTTTTCTATGGAAGGCCGGCCAAATAAGACCATACATGTTTCTAATATTTGTCAATTCCAATGATGGCCACGGATATGTCAGTCGTACAGACTTATACTTTAGGGACAGGGGGACTTAGGGACTTTTTCTTACAGACTCAAAATGTTATCACGTGTATATCTGTGTTATAACCTTTTTCACACACGGAAAAAAAAATTGCTGAATCAACAATTCAAGTGCTAAAAACGGTGAGTGCAATGTTTTAACGCAGATTTTACAACGAAAAAATGCTACTTTAACCACCCCCGTTGTTAAATTAGTTTACAATGTGGTTAAAGTAGCATTTTTTTGTTGTAAAATCTGCATTGAAACATCGCACTCACTGTTTTTAGCAATTGAATTGTCGAATCAGCAATTTTTTTCCCGTGCAGATTTGGCCGTTTTTCCACTTAACTCCTTCATTATTTAGTATAATTGGCACAAAAAAAGGCACAGACCTGTAAATGAGACGGATATTGGCAAAGCGCTTTCATTTTTTGAGGTAGCAGGCCAGAGAACTTACTTCGTGTAGCGAACGCGTCTTTTGGTGATTATAAATCATGTAATGTAGTAAATAATAATGTACAACTCTAGTCCATGATTTTGACGCTGACTCTATTTATTTAAAACAGTGCTTTCTATGAATTTGATAATTAATGAAAGTGAGTCGGAATTTCGTCGTCTGGTCTAAGATAAAACCGGGAAAAGTGAATCTGCAATGTTTCTATTACTTTGCTCATAGTAAGTTATAAACACTATTTTCTCGTAACAAGCCAGTGGGCTGATTATTGAAGGTTTCTTGTGGCACATTAATCCATTGTATGGCAATTTGTTGAATGGTTACATGACTATGTCGATTTCAGGATATTCCGTCAACAATTTGTTGCCTGCACACCTGTTTTGTCCAGTGGTTTACGTCCAAGCATAAAATAAACAAAAGTGACACGGCTTAAGCGTTATGTTTTAGTCCGTAGGTTAAATTATATTGACAATATCGAAATTAGAAAATTGAGAGAGAAGGAGGCGTTGTTACGGTAACTCATATTTTAAATGAAATGTTACTTTCTTCCTTTGAGTTAGGTAGTTAGTATAATTTTAAGACATTCAGTGTCTCAGGCTTTCATCTTTGCAAACTGTCATCGGTGAATATTTTATTTTATATCCATCCTTTAAATTTTCGATTTAAGATAAATCATATATATTATTTTTTTTCTCTTTTTTTTCAAATGATAATATTACTTCATTTCAAGAACATGCACATTTTCAAGACGTGGCAAATATTGGTAAGACCTTTTCCAAGTGATGGCATCGAATTCATCTCAATGAGCCGTAGTTGTGCAGAAAAAACTATACAAAAATGAATAAAAGAAGAAACAAAACAAGAAACACGCGATCTTCGGTTTTAACCCATTCAGACATCGATCTCTTAGAGTCAAATACGTCCAATTTTGAGCGTTTGGTTGTGAGTGCACCACGCTGCAGCACAGTAAAATCACAAAATTCGAAATAAAAAATTAAACGTCTTTGGAAATTAAATTAGACATGGAACCACCTTAATATTTACAAAACACACCCTATATTTTCCTTTATTACATATTTATTTTTCATCAATTTCAATGAGAATAATCCATGCAGAGTATGCAAACATTTCAAAATCATAAGTTGAAACACGCTGACTCCGCAAGTTTGAATATTAGTGCCTAACATAGGGCGCAGCGTCGTACTGCCAGCACGAAGCGCGCATTGGCTCCTACAAACCTAAACGGATACTTCACGCATTGCGCAATGCTTGAAGTATCCCCTTAGATTTGTAGGCACCCGCGCGCCGTAGCGGACATGTACCATGGCACCTCAAGCAACAATTTCACAATAGAGGCGTTGCACAGTATCATACGAAATTGTTGGCGCTCCTACATTTGAAGAACGACAGGCATCCTTTAAGAATATGGAACTTTCTTCTCAGAATAAATTAAGATTCTACCGCACAAAAAGAAATGAGCGGTAGTTCAAAAACTCATTAAGTCCTAGAATCCGTATTTAATGAAGTTTAGCATAATTTTTTTTGAATTTCAATAAAGAAAAAAAATGACTTGATTTAGGTAGAAACTTTTTTGAGTATGCTGTCAAGAGGATTTTATTTCGAATCAAGCGTAAAATAGCTGAATGCAAGCAGGTTGCTGCTTGATGTAAGTGATTTTTCTTTTTTACTAGCATCTTTTCTTCTTTAGACAGGCATTATTTTCTTGACTGATTCATAAGGAAATCTTCTCGGTGGTAAATTGGAGCATACTTCTGCTTCAATCAAGTCACTTTTTCCTCTGATGAAGTTCAGAAAGCATGCTAAACGTTATCGAATGCAGATACTAGGACTAAGAGACTAGGGCTATAGGGACTAGGAGGTAGTTTTAATTGATGTTTCTTTGTTTTATATTTTTTGAAAACTCTTTTTTGAAATTTGTTTCATCCGTGGTAGAGATAAATGGTACCAATCAATAGTAGATGCCCCAGAACAACTTCTTTGACTTGCGACGCTGTGAATTCCACGCCATGTTTAATTATTTTAAGTGAAAACCAGCGAGCATATCTTGGAATCTTCACCAATTATTTCGTAACCAGTACAAAATATCCTGTGAAAATTTCACTCCGTCAATAACGTCCGTGGGGTTTTCAGTGAAAACACAAAACGTCGGCGGCAATTTTGATATGTTGTAATCAAGATTACTTTTTTGCGAGTACTAACGTTATGCTACCTATTTTTCCCTGAGTGTCTCCGTATAAAAATCTCAACAATACTTACATAAAATAAAATAAACACAAGGGTTAGCGTGAGGACAATCAGTGTGTTTTGCTTTTGTTCCATCCCTCTCAGTGATGCTTCTGATTGTATTCTTACAGTCTTGAAGGTTTAACAAGAGCTTCTCTCCAGGTTTAAGACAAGCGGGAGTGGTTCTGAAGGAGAGAACAAATGAAAAGAATTTAAAGAATTTAAAAAATAGTGTTTATAGCTTTTCACCTTCAAAACATTTTTTCGAGAAATTCAATTTTAAAGGTTTTGTAGTTCAATGGCTCCATTTACATTTTTATGTTTTATGTCTTTATTTTCCACTTTTTTGCAACCTTTCTCCAAATTAAGTTGTTATTTTATTATGTGTTTTGGCTGATTAAGTTGTTCTTTATGAAGGTACGAGGGTCATCCAAAAAGTAAGTTTCCCTACCTTGTATCTTTCGAACGAAAAGAGATAAATCAAATCGGTAAAAAGGCACATATTAGGCATACTCTAAGCTTTAAAACAAGCTCAAGTTTTTGAAAATCGGTCAAGGGGTTCGCGAGTAAACTTAATTTTCCTGAGACAACCTCCTGTCGCCGCGTGCCCACCTCTGGCTCCGGGGTCAGGATGCGCGGAGACTCGGGTTATCGCCTCTATACATCACATCAACAAGAAATGTTAAAGTTTTCATTGAGTAACTACCTTACTAGTAGTTAGTAGTAGTTACCTTACTTTTTGACGTAGTCTCCACATCTTCTTTGACATTTTTGGTATCATTACAGCAGCTTCTTGACGCCCTCCGCGTAGAAGATCTCGTCTTGGCTCCGAAACTAGTCATTGACAGCGATCTGCACTCCCAAATCAGTTGCTTTGCGTAGGGTTTTCCCCCAATCCTTCAAACTTTCGTACTTTATAGCTTCATGCGACTTTCATTTGTTCCCGAGCGGAAAAATGTCCACGATGGAAGCGATTTTCAACCGATTCAGAGGTACAGATCGCTGTCAATGACTGGTTTTAGAGTCAAGGCGAAAGCTTCTACGCGAAAGGCATCAATAAGCTGCTATGATGATACCAAAAATATCAAAAAAGATGTGTCAAAAAGTAGGGTAAGGCCTACTTAATGAAAACATTAAAATTCCTTGTTGATTTGATTTATAGAGGCGACAACCCGATTCTTCTATAATCGACTCTCCGCGCATCCTGACCCCGGAGGTGGGCACGCGGCGACAGGAGGTTGTCTCAGTAAAATTAAGTTTACTCGCGAACCCCTTGACCGATTTTCAAAAACTTGAGCTTGTTTTAAAGCTTAGAGTATGCCTAATATGTGCTTTTTTACCGATTTGATTTATCTCTTTTCGTTCGGAAGATACAAGGTAGGGAAACTTACTTTTTGGATGACCCTCGTATTTTATAGCTATTTTATTAGCTATATTACAGCTGTTTTATTAGCTATTACAGCTATTTTATTAGCAATTTTCTGTATAATATTCTAAGGAGGTTTTTTGATCTTTAGAGAGGAAGGAAAACCCTCATCGAGGAGGACTTCAACATATATACTGCCGTGCTAAGGAAGAACGCCGCATGAACATTCGCGAGTTGCCAAATTTCCTTCAATAAAATGTTTATTTTTGAGAAAAGTTATTAGTATTTTTCCTTGACATTTTCAGGAACTTTAGGTGGAATTACAAACAAAATTATCTGAAAAATTGGAAGAAATATATTCATAAGTTTACCAGGGGATTTTTACTGAATTAAATGAAATTTGGCAACGCCTGAAGGTTCATACGGCATTCTTCCTTAGCACGGCAGTATAACCCCCTGAAAAACATTAAAATTATAATAAGAAGAAGAGGGAAAAGAGTACGAAAAATAGAAAATATTAAAAAATATTATATTCCTCCTATTCTCTTTCCTTTTCTTCCTCTCCTCTTCTACTCTCCTTCCTCTTTTCTCTCTATTCTTGCCTTTTTTCCTCCCCTCCTTTTGATCTTGATTTCTAGTACGTCTCCATCTGAAAACTCCCAGACCGCGTATCTCGGTTTGCAACGATGCAAATTTCTTGTCGCACTTTAGTTTTTAGATGGCAAACCACTCAACGTCAATTCTGAAAATAAACTCCGTTATTTTTTTCTCCGAGCGAAAATATGTTTGTGAACATTTCAAGGGTTGATGTCGATTCGTTCTGCTTTAAAAACTGATGATGAGAGTGGATCTTTCATAACGCTGCAATAAAGGTACGTGGTTTGAAGTTCCACCGTCGCCACTTCACGTCAATCACTTTCATTTGAAAAAAGTTAAAAGTTAAAAGCTAAAAGCTAAAAAAAAAAGTTGAAAAGTGATGAGCCTAATTTACACGGGTTAGGTTTTCCTTAAACTTTTCCTCCTGTTCAATTGCATGGACATTTTTCCCGTTTGAATTACACGGTAAAAATTTTCATGCAAAAAAGTTGAAGGTTGGATGGGAAGTTGAACCTAGTGAGTAGGTCACTGAACCATTTGTTTTTTATTTTATATTCCAAAAGTAACAGGTGAGTCTTGGTGAAATATTGCGTATTTTGGACTCAAAATCCCGAACAAGTCAGCTTTTAAAAGTTCCACTGAAGTCTCAGATGAGCCGGAGTGGTGGCAAAATGATGGAAGTGATGTACCGTCAAATCGCCATCATATCTCATTTTCCACCGATGTTGGTTCAAATAAAACTTATTCCAACCGTGGAATTGTTGCTTGTTAAGTACAGATAACATAAATGAGATTTCATTCTTGGATTCTGAAGATGTAGTTTCGACTTTCCTATTGTTTTCACATACGAGGAGTAGAAAGACAATTGGACTGCATCTTGCAATTTGGAACCATAAATTCTAGCTCCTCTGGAAAAACACTTATGTGCATAGGGAAACTAATGGCACATACGTTGTTTTTAAACCAGGCTAGAATTTATAGTTCCAAATTGCAAAATGTAGACCAGTTGAGAGAAGTCGTAGAAACCCGTCCTCGCTTCTGATTGGTGCTACATGACATCATTCGGTTCAGCGTGAAACCGAGTCGTTTTAAATTTGCGGCAAAGTAGGGCTCTTTGTGCTGCGTACTTTTCCACTTCCAAGTCTTTTGTTGCGTTTCCAAGGTGCGCATCGTGTTCTATGCGCCATTTACCCTAAAAAATATCGTCATCCTCCAGCCAAAGTTACACAATCGCCATGCGACATTTCAAAATTTTCGCTGCCATTTTATTTTCTTATAGAGAAACTGTTCAACGAAGCTGTGCGAAAATTTTGCTGAATTTTCTTTGTGTTGCCGATTAAAGTCAGTAAATTTTTCAAACAGATTCAACCATCAATTCCTTTGTAAAATAATGAAATGGCGGCGGAAATTTTGAAACATTGCGTAGAGCTTGTGATACTTTGGCCGGAAGGTGATGATATGGATTCGCAAGTCGAAGTGGAGATGTTGCATGTGTGAGGAATTTGCTATTTGACTGTTGATTTTTAAGTAAACGTTCGCGATAAACACGATGGTGCCACTGGTTTTCTCTGAAATCAACTCCCAAGCTCAAAAAAAGCTCTCAAGTTGAGGCCAAAATGGAGGGGATATCCCACGCTATCCTGAGAGTCCACCTCTACATCGGGACGAACTCTCCATGCAAAGGTAGGGAGCAAATACATTGACAAGGGCTGCCACTTCATTTGGGGACTCCAAAACTGAAAACACGGCAACTCTGCTAATGCATTTGCTCCTTATCTTTGCACGGAGAGTTTGTCTTGTTGTAGAGGTGGACTCTCAGGATAGCGTGGGATATCCCCTCCATTTTGGCCTCAACTTGAGCGCTTTTTTTGAGCTTGGGAGTTAATTTCAGAAAGAACCAGTGGCACCATCGTGTTTTTCGCGAACTGTTACCTACATAAGAATCAATTGTCAAATCGCAAATTCCTCACACGTGCAACATCTCCATTCATGGTTTAGTGATCCATCTGGCTCAAGACAAAAGAAACGAACCTGTTGATCTCGTGAGGAGCGAAAATCCGGTACGGGATATTGACGGAGGGTTCCTGCGCAGCGAGGATGTGGATCCACTCCTCGACGAGTCCGTGGAGACGCCGCTTCCGTTCCGGCGAGAAGGCGGCGATGTCGCGAGGGGCGAAGCTGCGGAAGGAGGTAATCCCGTTGAAATGGAACATGGGGAGCTTGACGTTCCGGGCGGGGGCGGACCCGTTGAGGTTCATGAAGGCCCCGAGCTCCGCGATACAGCCCCAGGAGTTGATCATCCCGGCCTCCGGCAGGTCGCTGATGATCAAGTCCGCCCCGCGTCCCTTCGTCTCCATCATCAACGGCACGAAGAAGTTCGTGACTGTGTGATTCGTGATCCGGGAGGCTGGAATCTGAATAATGAAGTATGATAGATGCTCTGCAGCCCGTGACAAGATATACAATAAAAAAACAATTTAAAAAGCGGGAAACAAGGCTAAAATTTCGCATACACAAAACCAAAACGTTTCGGCTAAAAATTCAGCCATCCTCAGTTGGATAAATCAAAATCAAAATGGTTGAAAATCTAAAATAGTACCTGATAGTACCTTTCAATTGGGAATTTTGTTATTTGAAATGTACTTATCAGGTACTATTTTAGATATTCAACCATTTTTATTTTGATTTATCCAACTGAGGATGGCTGAATTTTCAGCCGAAACGTTTTGGTTTTGTGTTTGTGAAATTTTAGCCTGCTTATAATAGTTACCCGCTTTTTAAATTGTTTTTTTATTGTAAATTTGAATAATACAGAGTAAAAATCAAAAACCATCCATAGTCCAGCGGGCCGATTATTGAAACTGATAGACAAAGCTATAGACAAAGACGACAAAAGGGATTTGGAGGGATCCTATTCGTGGAAGCAGGTGGTGGCAATGGACATAGGAGGTAGGTAATGGACTAACAAACGGCAACCCACGAGAGACCCGACAGTTAGTCCATCATTTTCTTCCGTAGTCTATAAGAACCAACGATGTCAACCAATGAGATCGCTCCATACTCCCTATGTCTTCTTTGTCTATCAGTTACAATAATCGCCCCGCAGGCGCCTGGTGAGTCTACCTGGGATTTCGGGTACACAGCTTTTTTTTGGCCTACTTTATGTTTTTTAGGTCGCTGATCCGAATCTGAAGTTTCCTTACGCGTATCTGGTGTGCATTTGCCGCCATTTTCGACAAATAGCGTAATAAGGTCTTTTTTGGCGTTTTTCTTTAAAATAGCGGCTACGCATGAGAGAAAAATCCCGGATTTAGTTGATGTTTTAAACAGCTTACGTATTTTGGAAAAAAGGGTATGTAAATATGCTATAGGTTTGCTCAAAAATTGGGGAATTTCAGAACTCGGAACTTCGGAACGCCTCGGAACTTGGCGGACCGCGGCAGGCCGTACCGCGTTGACAGGTGCGCCGCGATTACGTGCAATTTGGCGCGATGTTCACGATGCTGTATCTTCCTCAATTTTTTTGCAAACCCAGCATATTTATCACTATTTTTCTTCCAAATTACGTCAGCTATTCAAAACATCGACTAAATCCGGGCTTTTTTCTCATGCGTAACCGCTATTCCTTTAAAAAAACCGCCAAAAAAGGCCTAATTGGGCCATTTTTTTCAAAATGGCGGCAAATACACACCAGAAGGCACTTCAAGGAAACTTCAGATTCGGAGTCAGCGACCTAAAATACATAAAGTAGGCCAAAAACTCGAGGTTAACTTGTTTTTTTTTTTTTTGTAGAAATAAAATATGAGCGGAAATTTTGAAACACCGCAACGGAGATACGTGGTTTTGCACTAGGCATCGATATATTTATTACATATTAAAATCCGAGACGTCTCGGCCCAAAACTGAGCCATTTTTAGTCGGAAGAATAAAAATAAAATATAAAAATTCCAAATAGAAACCTGCAGACTACATGATGGCTCAGAAAATCAAAACAGAGAGATGTTTTTTATATCACCATTGTCACGGGCTGATGTTTTAAAAAAGTTTAACCTATATTTATTACGGAACATTATTCCAAATTGGTCAACATCGAGGAAGAAGAGAATTTTGAGCCTTTCATACCTGGGGGAAATTTTTCAAGATCACCTCCTTTGCAGCGTCGTTGGGGACTGTGGAAAAGACACTGTGACCTTCGTGAAGGGCTAACGCAATGCACATCATTCCGACCGGCGTCTGGCCACTGTGGACCATTACTTGCTTTGCACATCGATCCAGCACATCACAGCCTCGAATCACCAAGTTTCCCTTCAATCGATGAGAAAATTATTTAACGAGATAAAATCTGACGTATTCAAGCTAAAAGGAATGGGTTAATTGCGCAGGCCAGAATCGTAATTTGATGCTTAATCCTTGTAGATCAGCTTAATATAATAAGATCTGTCCGAACACCAACTGTCGACATTCAATACGAACCGAGATAAAAATTCGGTTTATGACGTCATCCACTGCGGTAGTGACACCCTCGGTTTTTTCCACCTTGCGTTCATCAATCAGTGAGACACACATTTGCACTGGTGACTCAACGTGAAGCCTGGATGGAAGCAAGGTGAAAGAAACCAAGGGTGTCACTACCGCGGTGGATAACGCCATAAACCGAATTTTTCAAATGGCGATATTTTCATTAATATTGGACGTAAAAAGTTGCTATTTGGACGGATCTCATTATTTTTTAGCAAAGCTACAAGAATCAGGAATCAAAACACGATTCCGTGACTAGCGTAACATACCAATTCTGTAGAAATGAGTTTAATTAAGAGGAACTACAAAGCACAAAAATTCTACGGAGACAGCTCCTTTTTATTTAAGCATTTCTGTATAGTCCCCGCTAACAACAATGCATCCAATTTAAAGTTATCGATAACAGTTATTTTGATATCGCTGTTTAAGATAGTGTTTGACGATTATTGTACCGTCAAAAATGCCAAAATTGACCAGATTTACGACGGTACAAAATTGCTCCTCAAAAATGTTTGAACAGGTTTGAAGGTACCTATAAGAATTTATATTTTTTCATCAATTTTCTTTATCAGTTAAATTTTTACTAAAGCAGAGGGCGCAATCAAACGCTTTCTCAATCAGAGGCGGATCCAACAATTTGGCAACACTGGATTCTCTCCATTTAAACCTGTGTTATATAATCGATTCTTGTCGGAGCACCTGGCCCCTCAAAGAATCGATAAATTCCCATAGGTTTAAATAAATAAACAATGTTGCTAATTTGCTGGATCCACCAGTGTTCTCAATTACTTTCGAAAATTGACGTCACGATCAACCTTAAAGTACATACAACTGTTTACCATTAAATAAGCGTATGGCAAGGTGGCAGCGACCTCGAGAGAAATTCCTGGTGGCAGTTCCCATCGAAATATTGGGTCCAGTACGACTTTCTCTCCAACTTTGTCCTTTCTGCTGGCCAGGCCCATCACGCGCTGACCGGAAGTTGTAACCCCTGAATAATCCATCAGTGTAATTCCACCCTTCAATCAGGAAAAGCCGAGGAAAAAAAAAGTTATATACATTCGACAAATGATTTAAATTGTTGGGTTCCTCTAAATTTCCTACTTGATTTTCATCGTTACTGTTACAACAAGCTCTGCGACTTTCTAATATTGTGTGGTCACTCAGCCCAAAAATGCACGGCGATACGCGGTTTCCGGCTACCAACGTGATTTTGGTCTCAAACTTACCGTTCTGCTCTTCTAATTCAGAAACTACCGGCAGCCACCCGCGCTCCCCCCCCCTCATTTAGCCGCCATCTTGGAAAATGGCGGCCAAAATCGGGATTTTTCAAAATATTTCAAGAACGGCGGCAGAAATCGAAGAACTGTCTCATAAGAATTTTCCAAGATGGCGGCCAAAAGGGGGGGGGCGGTTGGAGTGTGGGTGGCTCCCGGTGGTTTCAGAATCAGGAAGGCCTAACGGTCATTTTAAGACCAAAATCACTTTGGTAGCCGGAAATCGCAGATCATCTTGCATTTTTGAGCTAAGCGACTGCATTACTGATATGCATTTTTTGTGATGGTTATAAAATGCATCTACCGGGCAGATCTCCGGAGTTTTTCAACCTGAAGTCAGGTTTAATTTTTTTTCTCTTCAAATAAACACTGGGCGTTTGATTAATTTTTAATCGGGGCTAAGCCCAAAAATGACTTTGTTTTTTCTATCACTTATCAATCAATCCGTAGAAAAATCGGGGTTTCCCAAAAGAAAATAGGCTTTCGGAGAAAATGCGTAAAAATGCCCCGTTTTTTGACCCTGATGGCTGTAACAGCCCTCAATTAATAAGTCAAAACATTAACCCGTGGCTAATTCAAGTCTCACTGCCCTGGTAAAACTTTGCGGTAGGAGCTGCGTTTCAAAATACCATAGGAGTTCTTATAGCCGACTACTGAAGAGGGCGATAGAAAATCATATAGCTGGCTGTAGAAAATGGAAAAAATCATACGGCCGGGCTACACGAAGCGATAAAAAATTATACAGCCGAGCTATAGTTCCTATTTCCTGGCTTTACATTTTATCGCCTGGCTATTGCTTTTTCGCCATCGGCTATAAAAGGCTATACGAAATTGTGTAGAAATTCTTGTGCTTTGTAAATCCTCAAGTTTGTACGGAATCACCTTCATATTTACAAAACGCACATCATATTTTCCTTTACTAAATATTTTTTTTCATCAATTAAAATGAGAATAATCCATACAGAGTGTGCAAACATTTCAAAGTCATGAGTTGAAAAACGCTGACTCCGCGAGATTAAATATTAGAGCCTAACACAAAGCGGAGCGGCAGCGCACCGGCGCCTACAAACCTAACAGGGATACTACACGCATTGCGCAATGCGTGAAGCATCCCTGTTAGGTTTGCAGGGGCCAATGCGCGCTCTGCGCTGGCTGCCCGCCGCACCGCAGCGTACCGCGGCGCTTGAAGCAACTATTTCACACCAGAGGTATTGCACAGTATCATACGAAATTGAAGGCGTTCCAACATATTAGGAATGTCAGGCATCCTTCAAAAGCACGGAGCTTTCCTCGCAAATTAAATCAAGATACTGCGGCCCAAAAAGAGAGCGGTAGTCCAAAAACTCACTAAGTCCTAGCATCCGTAATTAGTAACGTTTAGCATACACTTTATCACCAGGCTGTTGCTTAGTCGCCCTCGGCTATAAAAGGCTATAAGAAATTGTGTTGCCGGCTATAGAAGCTATTGGAAACCTTATAGCCGACTGTAGGTCTATTGTATTTTGGAACACAGATTCTACTGCCAATTTTTACCAGGGTCCAAGCTCGTGTTAGCTCCAGGAGGCATGAACGTAAAATGTCTTTCATTTTTGCTCTAACTGAAATCTGCAACAGGCCCATTAACTGTATTACGGTGCAGAAGATGTATCATCCTGTATGTGAATCCTAGAACTTCACTCTAACTGTCGGGAAGAGAACATACCCCACAACCATCGTAGTCTATTTCGTTGAGGCCGAGGTATTTGATGTCGACTTCTTCCGAATGATTTCTTTCGGGCTCCTTCATGGTAGGCAACACGCATGTCAGGACTGCTTTGGGAATTTCCTGTTTTTGATAGCGCCCCCAACGACCGTCCAAGAGCACATTCACTACCACATCTCTCTGAATTTGCGGTTCGTATATTCTATGACTTCGCATAGTAGGTGGCTCGTAGCTGGGGACGTTTTTGTCCAGTATGATATAACACCTAATGAAATGAAAAAAACAAGTAGTGAACTTCGACACACTTTGCTGATAAGGCGTGTCATTAACTTGCACATGTCAACCCCTTTAGTTTTCATTTACAGAGATTTCAAAAAAGGCAAGCAGCACGAAAAGAGAATTCACGATCCAACACTGCGAGGTCAACGACGCACCTTGACGCAACCGTGTATTGTGAGTGTAGAAAGCTATTCGAACGAGTTTAAGTTTTTTGATCTGCCTCAAGCAAAATCTTATCAGATTCTTGAGAAAAAGTGCTACGAAATGACTTATAATAAATTGTGTCAAAAGGAATTGCGGCAAAATTAATTGAATAAAAAAGAACCAAGTGAAAAAGACTTGCGTGCATCAGAATTTCTTTCGATTTGATTATTTTTTACCTACTTTTTAGCATTGATACGTTCTATTATTAATAAACCCTTCGAGATCATAGGGCTGTTCCGGCCAGTTTGGCCTGATGGTCAGCACGTTTGATTCAAGGTCCCGGGTTCGAATTCCGGTATAAGCGGCTGGTTTTCAGGGAGCTGACGAGTGTATCTAAGCGAATTTTATTTAGAGGCTTGGCACTACTTTTGTGCCCGAACTTAGATCCGAGCTCCCATTCTATTTGAGTTCGGAACTTCCGATTCGGTGACTGACGAATCACAGCGTTGGTGCGTGATTTTGGTACTACCTCGCTAGGTGGTTCTAAAAAAGGTTCGACCTATCGAAAACCGACGGCTCTGATTGTTCGAATCTGGTAACAACGGTGTCCACTGGTGTTGGTGATTGATAAGAAAAACCGGGATATAGAACTTCCACAAGAGGTTCGGAACTTTGAATAAAATTTATTTTCTGTAGAAACAGATTTCTCTCGGCCTAAATCCCTAAAAATTTGAAGTCTACAGCATTGAATTGTAGTTCCGGCAGCTAAACTAGGCTCTACCCGGTTTGCTGGACTGTGCAGAGCAAGGAGGAGAAGAAGGAGAAGAAGCCGAGGGAGAGGAAGAAGAAGAAGAAGGAGGAGAAGGAGAAGAAGGAAAAGAAGGAGAAGAAGGAGGAGAAGGAGAAGAAGGAGGAGAAGGAGAAGAAGGAGAGAAAGAGGAGAAGGAGGAGAAGGAGCAGGAGGAGGAGGACTAGAAGGAGGAGAAGGAGGAGAAGGAGGAGAAGGAAGAAGAAGGAGAGGAAGAAGAAGAGATTTCACGGGTAAAAATAGTAATGTATGTTTCATTTCACCTGGCGTTGTACTCGACTAGCTCATTCAAGATATCTCTCACAGGGAAAAGCGGGGTTGCGAGCGTAGGATCATCAATGAACAAGAGAACAGTTTCTCTCGGTTGTGTTCCATCCTTTTCCAAATTTTCGACGCTGAGTCTCCAATTTTTATCCACTTTGAATGACCGCGGCTGCAACACGTTCTCGACCTTTCAAAAAAACAGTCACCGATGAAATTAATCTTTTGGATCAACTGAACCGCATTTTGAAATTAGGCGCTGAAATTTCCCGCTCGCTTCAGAAACGACGCAATTGCCATTAGTTTTCTCACGTAGATAAGTGCTTTTACAAATGGGTAATATATCGTAGTTCTTAATTGCAAAAAAAAAGCCCTACTGGTTATGTGGGGCTTTCCTGTTTTTGTCAAATAAAACGTTACCACGAACGAAACTAAGGCAACCATACCGAGCACACTGGAAACCAGGGACCTATTTGGGCAGCAACCCGAGCGGAAAACATTTTTGTCGGGTCCTTTAGGCTGATTATTAAAATTGATAGACAAAGCAATAGATGAAGGAGACGAAATGAAAATGGAGCAATCCAATTTGTGAAAGCAAGTTATTTCAATCGACAAATATAAGAGACTAAAATTTCCTGCTCACTGTTGAAGCAACGTAATTGCCATTAATTTTATTTCGTAGATAAGTGCTTTTACAAATTGGTTAGAAATTTTAATTTCTAATTATTACAAAATGTGGTCCAATTGAGGTAAGTAATAGTAAAATATTTTAAAGAGGCAACCTACATATTCTAGTGTCTATCCATTAGTCATTGGTCTTCAAAAATTTATGCTTTAAATCTAGCTTGTGATATCGGAGACTCACCTTTTTAAATAGAGTAAATCTATACGTGCCAATAATTTGCTCGTAAATAGACGCATATCCAACTCCAATAACGCTGCGGGTTTTATGCGGCGATATCACTATCAAATACATGTTATCTGCGTTACTGAAACATGGTAATTGTAGCTGGCTGTCACCGGCATTCCATAAAATTGACACATGCCCATCAGACGAGTCCACGTCAATTTTTCGATTCCACGATTTCGGTCCATCAGAGAATGTGCTCTCTTCAACCTGAATCTAAAATTGCAGTCAAAAGTAATACTTCGGTTAAATTTCGTCAAAATTATCGATACGCGCTCAAGTGGTTATCATTATTGTTAGGCTCTCTAACCCCCTAAATTTTCATTTTTCGTCGCAGTTCATTACTCTTCTGTTTGGCCAATTTCCAGGATTTTTGCGGCTATCAAGAGGAGACAGTCTCTAGATGAACCCGATCTATTTGGATTCACTCGCACGGTGGACTGCAGGTTTGAGCCGCTTAGCGGCCAGAGGGAGCACCCTCTGCACTGAAAAAAATGATATGCTGTTTTTAGCGCCTAGGATGTCAAAAATGTGTCAGGTGATCCCAAGATGCTACTTTAGCTGCCCTGGCAGTTAACTTTACATCCTATGAATGCAAATTCAACTGCATGGGCAATCAAGGTAGCATCTAAGGATCACCAGACATATTTTTGACGTCCCAGATGCTGAAACAGCATGCCATTTTTTTCAGTGACCTTTAAACAGTATTCCCTGCGTATAAATCGATTGGATGCGTATTCGGACGACAGGAATGTCGCACGGATGTCAGTAGCGCCTTGATACAACTATTCGTACTCATTGGATATGCGTGTTGCATCAACAAAATATTGAAGGCACCTTGCCTGCTCTTGCCAGACTGCCTCTCCAAAACTTCTCATGGACTTCCATATGAGTATCCCTCGCAAACGCCACGGGTGCCACTTCGAAGAAAAGTGACATATCGTTAGCTAAATTTTAAAAACACCTAGGTAAATATAACCATTGTTTCAATGTCTTCGTTATACATATTTTATTTCAGAGTTAGCCGACAAAAGTCTAATCTGGTGTTAGAAATTATGATAACTTGGACCTAAAGTTTTAGTCTTTAATTATAAATTGATCGATATTTAAAATAAAATAATGCAACGGTGAGCGTGAATCCATACGTCTTTTAAAATGTAACGTGGGTTGAAATGTTTGGCGTGTAATTCCCCAAAAATTCATGTATAAATACCTGCTGCTGCTTGCTGCTGAATGAGATGCCGGCATCCTTTAACCAGCTAACGACTTGGTTAACAATCGATTCATTTGTTTGTCTGAAAATGGTGATTTTTTTCTCTTCCAAGTTTGTCCGAGTTGAATTCTCTAGGATTACTTCGAAACATGCACGAACAAATTCATACTCCGTCTGCAAATTGCATGCGAACATCATTTAAGTCAATTTCTTCAGAATTCATGTTAAGCACTGATTATAACAACATTATCATTAATCATTATGTTTAAAATAAATTTCGAAGAAAATCGCAGAATGATGCGCACCTAAAGACAACTGTGAATGTATGGATTGAGTCTTAAAAAAATGCAAAAAGAGAATTAGACTCTGTCTGAAATTTTTCTATACATTCCTCTTTGTTCCTTTTTGAAGAAACCTAAAGTTAATAACCATGAAAATTGTCGAAATCGACTCTGGTATATGAAACATTACTTAAAAAAACACACGCACACGCCCTGGCCCTCACCCTCACATACATACACATACGCATAAAAAATATGAATCATCTCTGTGATTTAATTATGATTGACTTTATGGTGGATTTTGCAACGCCTGATGATGTTGCTAAATTACAAGTCGAAAGATCCATGTTATTTTCTATTCTTATATAACTTCCTTAATATTTCTTAAAGTTACAATAGTGACATTAGTTCATAGATACAGCTAGAATAGTTCCTTTCTTGTGAGTTTAAACTATGTAGGGTGAAAATGCCTTCTCTCAGAGCGCTTTTATGTGTTCTAAGCTTTAAACCACGAAGTTGTCTTTTGTTATACTCACCGCAAATGATGTTGCACCGTACGGGACAAAATTTAGGTTTTCAATCAAGTCGCAGTCTACGCTTCTTGGTTTCGTTTTTACGTCATCCATAATCACACCGTCACAGTCAAAACGAGCATTGCTGGAATCGGCGTAGAACTTGATATTGGAACCTTATGGATACGAATTCAAAAATAAGTGTTTTCCTCTTTTTAGTATTTTTCAGGATATGAAGATTTGTTTCAAAATATTTTATAATTAGATTTGCAACTCGCTTGTAGAGATTTCTTTAGACTTTTTTGGGGAGCAATTACTAATTTCGGCGCAGACGTTGTACGTTCCGACAACAAATATTTAAAAATGCACAAAAATTGACATTTTTGGCCATAAGAGCCAAAAATGAAGGCTACCGGTGGGGACCAAACACATTTTTTCTCCTTAATCTCCTTTCATCATTCACCTTGGTACATAAAAAAATAACTATTCCATGTTGGATTACGGAAAATCGTTGAGATTCAACCACCCTAGGGCATCCAGGAAGTTTGTATCTAAACCTCCAAAACCTCCACCAAACTTGTACCTCCAAACGTTAATTTTTCCTAATTTGTAGAGAATTTCGTTCTGAAAATTTCCTTTGTTAATTAGTTTTACTCGTTGATTCCTGCTCCTTCAGTGTCTACCACGACTCTTGTGGCATAATTATTCTGTTATTTATTGTTTTGTAATATTTGATCATTTTTGTAATATTTTGCAGATATGAAGTAGATGTCCTTCAAATATTCTGTCTCAGTGTCTTTCATGTTCATCCAGGTTAGTGACATGGATGAGAAATGATGGTACTAGCTACTAGACAGCCTGGTTGTGCACGATTCCTCTCAGAAATCGAATAGTTAATGGTAAAAACGTAGGCTTAATCGACACCAGGATTATACCATTGGTTGTTAGATTTCCAGAGCATAAATCGCCAGACAGTCCAAAAGCCACCGATCACAGATTCTTCTATGGCTCTCAGTGTGGATTGTAACATTGATCAACAATTTTTCACTCACATTAGAATACTCTTCCGAAGGACTGGACTTGCAAAAGGTCTTGACTTCGTCACCCTCCGGTCAAAGCATCACAAGCGCCATGCGATGTTTAAAAATATCCACCGCCGTCTGTTTGAAAATTTCACTGAATTTTATCGGCAGCACGAAGGAAATTCAGTGAAGTTTTCGGACAGCTTCGTTGAACGATTTCTTCGTAAACAAATGAAATGGCGGCGGAAATTTTTAAACGTCGCATGGCGCTTTGTGATACTTAGGCCGGAAGATGACGACTTCTTCTTACACTATCTAGGTTAAACGGTAAACTTACCTTCCAATCCAGACTTAATATTTTCAGGAAGCAGATAAATTGATTGTATGGAGGTAACTTCCATTGGTCCACCAGCCTTTCTGATGTTTAGGTATAAATGCAGATTGACAATGGTGTTGAGATTAACGACCCAGTCTTGTGTCCACTCAATGCTTCCGCAGGCTCCTGTAAAAAGTACCGTATCCGTTCAATGAGTAGGAATATCTCATGGCAAAAATAATTCTTCTTAAAAAAAATCTGCCGAGAAGAAGTGTTCTACCACATAAATGAGTTTCTAGGTGATACCTAAAGATAGAGATGTCAGATAGTAGATTGTTTCTGAGGAATTTATAAATATAGCTGTTAAATACTCAGCAATTGAAAACTGATGTATTTTTTATTTAAATTTGATTGACATGTGTTGAAATCAAGTTTTTTTGAGGTACAAACCACTTTTGACACGCACCATAAGCTAAAACTCAGCTTTTGTATGTGCTTAATTGGAAAATAAAGTGAATAAATACGTCTTGGATATTTTTTTTTGTTTTTTTTGTTGAAGGAGCACAAATCAGCGCCATTGCTCGAAGTTTTCACAGAATTTTCCTCGTACAAAGAAAAAATCAAGGCAGTTTATAAGAATTGGCGTTTTGAGATTTTTCATCTAAAACATAAAGTATGACAGGAAGTCTGCAACATCGCAAACCGGTACATATGGTGTGCTAGCTTCACCGTTGATATGGCTCAATAGGAAATCGGCTTGGTAAATTTTCAAATGAAATAATGACAAACAAAGAAGAACTATAAAGATAGGAAGCTTAGAGCATCGATTTGGCCAACATTCTCTGAAATTGATAGTTTAGAAGATTTAACTGAATAAATTCCAAATTTTAAACAAAAGAAATCATTATCAAGAAGTGTTGAATGTATGCTTAACTGCTTACTTTTCTATTCCGCGTTAAAGTCCCCGGAGTTCTATATTTGGTTTGCTTTCTGAAAGGTATTTCATAAAGATATACTTTTTCAACAGCGGCCTAGAGCTCGGTCCTCAATTTCTTTTCCATCCTACTCACTCATGGCCAACTTTTCTATGCTGCGTTGAAGTCCCTAGGGTCTGCAATATGTTTTGCACTCAAGGGGTGCGGAGAGAAGGGAATATGTATTATATCGAAAAGAAATTTAGCAACCTCCGCAGGCCCATACGATGTTCCTCCTCAGAACATGGCAGAACATTCTGCCGTGCTAAGTAAGAACCAACGCCGTATGAGCCATCAGACGTTGCCGACAAATCACGAAATTCAGAAAAACTGTAAATATTTCTTTGCCGATTTTGCAGAGGATTTCTTGCTTAATTTGATCCGAAAATTCTGGAAATTCCAAGGAATAATATTCATACAACTTTCTTCACAAATAAGTTTCAAAGAAGAAAGGCAACATTTGAATCCATAAGCGGCGTTTTTACTTATCACGGCAGCATCTCTCTGTGTGTATACAACTGCATTCTGAGAAAAGAACCCACCTTTAGTGCAAACCTGTATTTCTGATAGGCGTGCGTCCAGCGAGCAGTCTGAATCGACACCCGGGATGACCGCGCTGGCTTCTTGTGTATTTTTTTCGGACTGAAACTCTTCCAAAACGGTTTTGAAGTTGGGATCAGACTTGGGCTCCTCCCAGACTGCGCATCGCCCGCGCAGGAGAGTCCTAGAGATTTCGGTCGCGTTTTCGTGCGCTTTCATAACTTGGTTGACGATGAAATCGCCGCTCCCACGCAGAACGGCTAGGTATACGTGACTTAAGTCTTCAAAAAAAAAAAAAAAACCAAAAAAAAATGAAAATTTAATAATAAAAAAAATTATTAATTAAAATGTTAAGAGGTTGCAAGATGGGATGCGCCGAGTTTCACAGCAACTTACCACTACCATGTCGTTTCAAGCTGGAATCGAGAGAAGGAGGTTTGAAGTTTTATTGCTCCATGAGATTCTATAACAATGACAAAGAATAACGACTCCACGAGAGAGAACTCAACACAAACATTTGGTTGATGCGGTAAGTGAAACACAAAATAACCCACGACTCTTGAGTTTCCCAGTCTTTCCATTGTTTTCTGCGCTATAAATCACCGTATATTAAAATCAACACAAAATTTGGGTTAGATTATATTTCACCTCCTGTATCAAAGAAAAGTACCACGAGAACACACATATTTTTACCAGTGTGTTTTCACGTTCAAAATATATTTTCTTAAATTCAAACTTTTGAAAAAAGACAATTTACGACAGGTTGAATTAAAAAATTTCTCTAACTCATTTTTCTCAAAATGCGACTTGATGGGTGTTTGATGGTCTCTTTCCAGATAGAAGGCTGCCAGAGGGATTAAATCGTATGCAACGTTTCAGGGCTTCATCCGAAAATTTCTTATTTTATTCATTAATAAATGTTTTCGTGATTTCTTTTATTCAATCGCCAAGTTGTATAAGAAGGATCGAAATTGTTTCGAAAAATAATCCGAGATACCACTATTATTGAAATTCATGAGTGAATAGACTAGAATAGAAGTTTACTTTATTTTACCCTTTCGGGTTTATAAAGTTATGGAGACAATATATACATTTTACAGAATTTTCTAATACTTAAAATTTATATTAACTTATTACCAACTTATGCAAAGATGTCGATGAAAATTGCTTTAGGGGTTTCAGTGTTTAAAATTTTGGTAAAAATTAATAGTTAAAATCTAAAATTACAAGAATGTTAAATACTTAGTGCAAAGATTATACATATTTAAATAGGATAGAGGCTAGATTCATCGATGCAAATTAGACTTAACAGGTGACGTTGCAAATGGACTGTCTTTTGCAATTTGGAACTATAAATTCTGGCTCATCAGAAAAAACACTTATCGATGGTGAAACTACCAAACCACGTATCTCGATTTGCGACGTCGCAAACTTCCTGTCATACTTTATTTTTTAAATAAAAAACTACTTAACATCCAGTCTTGAAAATTTCTGTGATTTTTCCTTTTCGTGCGGAGAAAATTCTGTGAAAATTTCAAGGAATGATATTGATTTGGTCTACTTCAAAAAAATAAAATGTGAGCGTAGATTTTTAAACACCGCAAACGAGATACGTGGTTTGGTAGTTTCACCGTCGTTATGTGTATTGGGGAACTAATGGCACTTACGTTGTTTTTGAACCGGGCCAGAAATTATAGTTCCAGATTGCAAAGTGTAGTCCAATTATTCATTTAACGCAAATGATCTGATCTTCATGGCTGTTGCTAGGTATCTGTAAGAAATTCATGAGTGTAGCAAGAACGTACCTTCTGTGAATAAATCCAACTCTGAACACACACGAATTTCCTTAAAAATGACCGGAGTCTTGTTGAAGTCGTGTGTCTTTTTGTTATCGCCGGAATTGTGTCCGGCGCTTCCCCAAATGTGTGTGCGTTCGACAATTTTCCAAACTTGTACCTGGAAAATAAACGCACGCAAGATTCATCTAACACACTCGAATATAAAATGGGAGAGGGAATTTTCATAAAATACTTAACCCTCGAAATTTTTTAGGCCCCCCTCTGAACGCTAGTCTTCACCTCCCCGAAAGATAATACGCAACCCTCAGTTTGAACCCGTTCTTCTTGAATTAGCGTTTTGAGATGCATTTTGCATAAACAATGTTACCTCACGTTGAATTTGCATCATCAATTTTCAAAAAATATGCGTCAAGCACATTTTCTACCTTAACGTGATGCATTCTTATATGCTCCCCCATGTAACGCTCCAGTGACACACGTTTAGATCCTTACTACCTTCTAAAGTCTAACGCATTTTATGAATGCCCCCAGGTACGGAGCAAAGTACATGTGATTGTCCGTCTACGGGAAATGGGACTTCAGTCCATGGAGACGAAATCATCAATACTTAGAGCTATTTTTGTTACGCTGAAGTGAGAAAAAATGTATTTTAAAATTTCGACGGAAATTAGAATATTATAACCATTGGTGAATAGGAATCAAACCCAAAACTGAGGTTATCACAGAGGTCATTAATTTGAACCGAAACCGAGCAGAACATCCTTGGTCCATCTCAAAGCAATTTTCTGTCAACAACCCGATTGAAAAGTAGGTAAGAAATCCTCTTTAGAAGAAAATTTTGAAGAATCATCGCAAATCAGGCAACAAATCTTCTATCCCTAGACAATGAAATGTACTTATATTTAAATGCCGCAAAATTTCCACTCTCAAATTAAATTTTTACAAGGAACCTGCTGAGCGTTTCTAGCATATAATTAATTTCACTGATATTTCTTTTGATTTCAAGCAAAAATTAGCAAAATTTTGAACACAAATTCAGGCGTTAAGTGCAAAAAGGGCATTTCTTGGTTGAGGTGTCTCAAAATCTTCACTGCTAATTCATCTTTTAGAGAAATTACTATTCAGTGAATATTCTGAAATTTTTCGTTTTCAGAATTGTAAAATCATGAAGATTAGTAAAAGTTTCAAAGAATTCCATTCATGTGCGTTAATTGTACTGGATGAAACGTTAGCGGAAATTCTGAGACATCGCAACCAAACAAAACAAAATTGAGTTTTTTCAAATAATTATGTAACCTTGGAATGATATTAAACGTTTCTTCGTCTCAGAAACAACAAAATATGCACCTTCACCCCCTCCCTTTGGTACTCAGTTTAATCAAGTTAATTTCAGCATTAGGGATTTTTGATAGTAATCATGAATACACGGGCATCCGGCATCATACATGGATGATAAGAACGAAGCGCCGCGCATAGGAGATCGTGTCAATCAGAGAAGTCGGTCATGAAATTGTTTACTAAAACTGCAAATTTTGAAGTTTATGTCATAATTTCTTCAATTTAAATGCGTGTGTCAACAGGACTTTTTCCCGAGAAAACTAATGGAGCCACCTTTGGAACCTCAAAGTTCTGAGTAAACGGAGTTATAAGCGTTTAAAGTTACCAAAGTTTGCCCGACTTCTCCTATTGACTTGATCCATTGTGCGCCGAGACGATTTTAAGTTACGATAATACTTACTAGGAAAAATGCAAGCGAAGAGATCGAAAAGCCTTGAGCATCGTATTCATCCAGAATTTTTTTCATCTCTTTCAAAGTAATCACTTGCTCGCAATGTGATAGTATGTTCATGTCCAATACCTATCGAATGAAGCAAAGTTATGATGATTTTGATCGAAAGCAAGTTTACCCCCTGGATTGAGTTCCTCCTGAGAGGAGACGCAGGGGACGTCCAGCAAAATCGTGGACAGTTGGCGTTCAAGATGGAATTACAGGATGCCATATACCAGATGACCTCTAAATCGATAGACAACAATGGTGATTAGGTGTCGCAGAGCGCCCGGGCGCGTTGAAAAAGCGACTTGAATGTATGTAAGTTTACCCCCACTAAATGACGATTGTGGCTGACCCATGCTCAGTATTGCAATATGTGATTTTCCTCCGCCTTTGCAGATACATTCTCTGAAAGTTTCTCTCATATATGAATGAAATTAGGTATTTTCTCAAGAAAAAAAACAAGCGGGAAAGCTCTGATACGTAGGTATTAGAGAAGCGCTCAGCAAAGGAAAAAGTACGTCGTACAAAGCACGAGGACAAGATTGAAAGAAAAAGACGCGGCTCAAAAACTGCATTTCTATGGTAGCGGAAACGCAACATCTGTATCTGATGGAGGTTCAAGTAAAGACATCACTGGTGGCAAAAAATTCGAATGAAAATAACTCAATACCTACACTTTCAGATATAATAATAAAATAACTATGAACTTCATGCCAAATACATTTTTGGATATGTTGTTCACTTCATCCGCTAATTATCTTTAATAACGTTAAAGGGGGTATTATCAGTTAGTAAAAAGAGAATTCTGAGAATCCTGAGAATCTCGTCGGCCATGTTTTGATGAGTTGATGAGTCATGCAATTGCTTGAACGCCCTACTAAAGGAGAACTCTAGAGTTGGTGAGTCATGCAATCGCTTGAGCGCCCTACTAAAAGAGAACTCTAGTGGCAAAACGGAAACAAGAAAGCGTCTTCCTATCGGATGAGCGCTCAAAATTCATACAGACATTTTGAACACAAAATAGAGAGATGGTTTATTTCAAATTCGCAATTTATTGGTCTTATCCTCAATTCATCTCACCTCTAAGTCGAGGATTCACCTTAAACCACCAGGTTTGGTTCAGCATTTTTGAGAGTTTCATAAGGTCGAAATATTCGTAAAAAACTCATTTTGAGCAAATACGCACGTGATGTATTTTGAGTTTTTGGTTGGCCATTCTGTGATACGTTATCAATCCATGTAAAAACACTACCGACAAAAAAGACTATATTTTGCAATCAGGAACCACAAATTGTAGCTTGGTTTAGGAACAGCATATGCACCACTAGTTTCCCTATGCACATAAGTGTTTTTATGGATGAGTAAGATATTGCAATTCCTAATTGCAAAATGTAGTCCATTAATACTGCCGTGCTGAGGAAGAACGCCGTATGAACATTCGAGAATAGCCAAGTTTTCTTGGTAAATTACGTATTTCTGACAACATTCATGCATATTTTTCCTTGAAATGTTCAAATATTTTAGATTAAATCGCGTTACCTTCAAAATTGTCTGAAAATTTTGGAAAATCATATTCACAATTTCCCCAGTAAATTCGGTATTTATCGGAGGAAATTTGACACTTCTCGAATGTTTGTACGGCGTTCTTCCTTAGCACGGCAGAGTATGGTCCTGAATCAGTTTAATGACAGCGGGATTTCTAATGTGCTCACCTTAGGAGGAGCATACGATTCTGCATGGTCCCATGTGACGAGAGGTTGAAGGCTAGGTGTCTCCGGGGGAACTGGATACTGCACTGGAGGGTATAACGCCGATACTTTCGGCTTGTATCCAAGAAGGTACAGTCTGAAAATGAAATGAACGCGGAAAATTATCCCGACCATATCTTAGACTTAACTCCCTTCAAAGAGAAAATACTATTTTCAGTTTTTTATCTTGATGGGATGCTGCATTCTTCATTGGTACGATCTTTACCGGCTTTGAAATAAAATAAATTACGTAAGAGATAACAGTGTATTTTGAGAAAGACCTTATTAGTAATATAAATTACGACCTCGATGTTAGATTGACAAAGACGTAGAAAGAATAATTTAAGAATTTAAGTAAGTCATCTAAGTATATTTTGAAAAAAATTTAATTTGTATAGAAAAAAGTGTTCATAGTGCCGATAAAATTTTAGAAAGATTGTGCAGTATGCTGCAACATAGTGTTGAGAATTTAAATCCACCACTTACTCTCCGATGGCATCCAAGAGGAATTTCACGCCGTCTGGATTGGATCTATTGGTGAGCGAAACATTGGAAATGCTGTCAGGGAACGCCCTTTTAAGGATGGCCTGGAGCAAGCCGTGAGGAGCGATTTCAATGACCACTGCCTGCGCTGGGACGGACCTTAGGACATCTTCGAAGAAGACAGGGCTCAGGAGATTGTTCGTGTGGTACTCAGCAGAACTGTAGGCCGCCAGGTCTGAGCTCAAGTTCTCCTTCGATACTGACGTAGTTATCCATTTCTCAGATCGCTTCGTTTTCTCAGGAATCACCTGAAAAATTAATCGAAACCCCGCAGCGTTTGATTGACAGAAAATAGGATCGACATAGAAGACGGCGATCTAATGGAGCGATCCTATCAGTGGGAAGTGTGTTCGTGTATACCTACTAAAAGGGAAAATGATGAACTAACTATAGGGTCTCTCGTGGGTTGCCTTAAATTAGTCTATTATATTTCGACGGCGCACAATGGATCGAGTCAATTAGACAGGTCGGACATGCAATTTCTTACTGAAACTGCAAATTTTGATGTTTATTTCGTCACATTTTAAATTTTAAGGGGTGCTTTCAGAAAAGAATTTCACGAGGAAACCAACGGGACTACTTCTAAAACCTCAAAGTTGTGTAAGAACAGAGTTATGAGCTTTTAAAGTTTCCAAATTTTGTCCGACCTCTCCTATTGACTCGATCCACTGTGCGGCGTAAGTCCGCAATCGCACATATCTCGTTTGCGGTGTCTGAAAATCTCCGCCTCAATGTTATTTTTTTAAAGGAGAACGAATTGACATCATTCCTTGAAGTTTTTGCAGAATTTTCTTCGCTGTGTGAAGAAAAATCACGGCAGTTTCAAAGAATTGCCGTCGAGTAGTTTTCCGTTTAAAGAATTAAGTATGACAGGGAGTCTGCGACGGCGCATACCGAGTTATGTGATTGCCGACTAACACCGTTGATTTACCTCCTATTTTCCTTAGTAACCATGCGCTTCCACTCATCCAATAGGATCAGCCCATTTTCCTTTTGTCTTCTTTGACAATCGCTCAATTTCAAAAATCAGCCCGCTGATCACCTTTAGTTCCTAGATTTTGTAGTGGGGCATGCAACATTAACACAATTTGTTTCAAATTTTTAACAACAAGGGGGTACCCCCCTTGACCACACTTCGGGGTCCAAAGTGCTTCGCGCCTCGGGCGTTAAGTGTTCCGCGTTACTCATATCACTTTATCTCGTACAGTAAGATTCTTAATTGTTTATATTCATTTGTTTGAAGAATGAACTCAGCCGAACTTGTATAAAAATTGCATTTAATTTCATCAGCAGATTAGAAAAAAATTGGTGAAAATTCCGAACAGATGGTTCAACGGTCATTTTGAGAGAGTAAACACCCAAGTAGCAGTGATTGCGGTAAATAGCGATTTTATCGGTCGGTTATCGCGATTATATCAATGGCAATATATCGAGATATTATCGCATAAAAAATTGCGATACATGGCGACTGAATCGCTACTTATCGCAATTTTTGGTTCGATAAAATCGTGATCAATTTTCGTCGATTAAATCGCCATTTATCGCGATCAATTGTCAGGCGATAAAAGCGCGATTTTATTGCGATAAGATCAAGGATAATCGCTTAAATGTTGATGATCCTGGCGATTTTAACGGCGATAAAATCGCAATATATAGCGATTTTTCCGTTGAGAAATGCTACTTTGGGCAGTTTGGACATGTTGTACGACACCGACAGTGGATCGAGTCAATTAGAGAGGTCGGACACGAAGTTTTTAACTAACTCTACACATTTTGATATTTATTTCGTCACATTTTAAATTTCAAGGGGTGCTCATAGAAAACTTTTTACGAGGAAACCAATGAAACCACTTTCAGAACCTCAAAGTTTTGTGTAAACGGAGTCATAAGCGTTTAAAGTTTCCAAATTTTGTCCGACTTCTTCTATTGACTCGGTCCAGTGTGCGCCTTGGGCATCGTACTTTCAATATTTTTCGCGGAAGCTTATATCGGAAGGTAACAAGAGACTTTTGACTCACTTCTCTTAGATACTTCATCAAGATCGGTGCGGCTGGTTGTATGTATCGAGAATGGTAAGCTATGTTCGAGACGTTGACACTTTTAGCAAAAATTCCTTTGGATTTGAGCTCAGCGACGAATTTCTCAACATCTTCTGTCGGTCCCGATATTGTACAACTTGTGTCAGAATTGTGACAAGCGACATCGATGGTTTCCGGAAGTTGATTTATTATTTCACTATGGCTCATTCCTGTTAAAAATCAAACAAAAAAAATAGCTCAAATTGTGATAGCTCATATATTTAAGAGGAGAGTCAATTAAAGATTGGTTCAAGCTATTAAGGTGATTCGACCCCCCCCCCTTAGGTTTAGAATATCAGTAAAAATATCATGATTTCTAATTTTCAAAATTATTATTTTATTTCTAGTTTAAATTATTTACTGATCATATAAAGAAAATAAATCTATAATCTAGATTTTTAAAGATTGGTTCGACAAGCTATTAAAACTATAATTTTACCCTTTTTAAATACACCGAGGAATACCGATCTTAGAAATATTTGACTTTCCTAGTTGTTAAACATCGTGTTTGAGCCTTTAATTTTATTTTCATGTTTCATCATGGTTCTTATCTTTTCAAGAATGGACCACTAGATAAGGTACGAATTTCAGCATTCTGATACATGCTTCTTAACCAAAATTTTACGTAAAACACGATGCGCACAACGAAAATTACCGAAATTAACTCCTTACGAAGATATTTAATGATTCTTGATGCGTGAATTGAAACCACCCGCTCATGAAAACTCAATGCTCTACGTGATTCACATCGCGCGCTAAACGTTATCATGACAGTCTCTGCGATATAAAAATCTGGCAACCTCATTCTTGACGCTTTGGCTCAATTATAGCAAATTGCTAATAGTTTGAACAACATATGGTGGGAAATGAACATTGCTCGATTGAGAAGCTTGCTGAAACCGTTGTAGTGGACGATTTGACTCACGTAGAGCTTTGAGTTTCTCGTGAGCGGGCAGTTCAAAATCCGTGTAACCAATGTGAAATAAAAACGTTGAAATCTTCGTTAGGAGTTGGTTTCAGTAATTTTCGTTGTGTGAATCGTTTTTCTACGTGAAATTCTGGTTAAGAAACGTGTATCAGATCGCTTAAATTCGTACCTTGTCTAGTGGTCCATTGCCCACCTCCCGCTTCAACAATAAATAGCCTCTTTATCACTATCAAATCTGAAATTTTGCTACATGTGAAAATATAGGAAGAATTATGTACTTGGCCTTCAACAAACCAGAATGTTATTAGAATCTATACCTATTGCAGCCATCATTCCTTTGACTAGCTTTGCTTCAATTGAAGCTCTCCCACGAGCGTGTGAAGCTAGAATAGTTTGTTCGAGGGTCAGGCAATTGTCCGCGTAAGCACAAGCAAGTTCTCCTAGGGAATGGCCAATCACTCTATCAGGTTCAAACTCCAAAGCTCGCAATATTTCGACCAATCCTATCTGAAAGCAGAATAACAACCTTGGATGAGCTCGAATACATTCGAGTTTTATTCTCATATTTAACTGGAGAAAATTTCATATTTACTCTATATGCATGTATAAAAGCTAAGCTCAGGTGACTGTAACGCCAAAATCCTAACCGGGGAAACCGAGGAAAGACCTAACCCTGGGCGTGTCCACTACCCTTTCCAAACCCTTCCTTAATTTTTCCTTCTATTGCATCACCCCCATACTTGCGAATTCTACTCCCACTCAATTCGCTATCTCTTCTCTTACTCCATCCCCATTTTCCTTTCCGGTTTTTTGGCGATTTCCATCTCGCCTTTATGCCTTTTTCTCCTCCGACCATTGCAGGTCATTTTCTTTCATGCTCTCAATTAATTTTCTCTTTAATTTCTACTTTTGTTTACTTATTCGGTGATTTCAGTGATTTTTCCAGTCATTCGTGACGCACTCCTTATAACAATGTTTTCTTTTTCATGGTAAAGTATCGTTATTATTGACTTCCTCGATACTTCTGAGTTCTTAATACCATTTTTTAAAATATTTCTCCTCCTTCCACAGGAATTACAAAAAATGAATGAACCGCTTCACTCTACAATCATTAATATGGTCGCCAATGAATTGTTTTTTTCAGAACTTAGTCTTATTTCATACTAGATTAACCTATATGAGGCTATATGAGGCTAACCTATATCCGCGAAGCGGATGGGTCGCGTAGCGGTCAAGGGGCGTACCCCCTCGTCCGTTTTAAGATGCTACGATGACAAAAAGAATAGTTAATATTGAAAATATTAAAGAGGGCCTCACTCGTCTACAGTGGGGAAAGTGGGAAGGTACTAATTGTATTACGCACGGATCACTAAAGGGAAAAACACTACCTTCCACATCGGCTATCCACATCCACTATTTATTGCAAAGTGCAGTCCAAATGAGGCCCTCAAGCGCTAAAATAAAAGCGCGAGTTTCCAGTGGCTGAAAAATCAGTGCAGCTTTCAATAGGTGCGAAAATAAAGTTAACAGCTCATAAAGAAACATAAAGCAATTAGTTAGATTTGATGTAATTTTATATCATCATTTTAAATGACAGAGCCATACATCGTGTGCAAAAACTCACGAGTTGAAAACAGTGACTCCGTGAGGTAAACTATTCGCACCAAACGCAGAGCGGTCGGCGCGGAGCGCATATTAGCTCCTACAAGAATGGAGGAATACAATACGCATTGCGCGTATTTTACGGTGCGCGCTTGACGCATATTAGCGCCTGAAAGACTGGCAGAATACTGTACGCATTGCGCGTTCACGACGCTACGCGGTACGGTACGAACGCACTGTGGATCAAGCCAATGGATCGACCATGCGCCCAAAAATGAAAGTAAAGGACCATAATGTTCCTTGGCATGTTTTTAAAGTAGACTATATAGCCGAACATAACATACCAATATTACATCTGAAAAAAAAAATTTAAAGTAATGTAACGCACGAGTGATAGAGCGTGTCCACGTTAAGGCGAATTTCGCGTATTTTAGCTGAATTTTAGCCATGACGTTACTGCTATATTTTAATTATCCTATATTTTTGTATCAAATGTTGGGGTTTGTGCTCAATTATTGATGCAATGAGGAGAGAGAAACACCCATTGCCTTATTTTCCATCCTTATTATGTATTAATAACAGTGCATAAACATGGTACCCTAAAAAACCAGGTTTTCCACTTTCAGTGAATGATTTTGACATGATTTTAGAATATTTCAGAGAAAACCGACCATGCGCAGCGTTTCTCATATTCCCAGGAACCATTATCAATTGAGAAGTTTTGCCTTTTTTTGCCTCTTTAGAAGTTAGCCACATAAATGTGATGACACCTACCTCGCAGCTTGACAAGGCTATTTTATAAGCTCAACTTTTATTCATTGAGAAAGACTTCTTTTGAGTCATCAACCTATCAAAATTTAACTCAACTCTTTGATGTATATGTATATTGAAAAGCCCCTATTGCCGGAAAATAACCTCAGATTTTCCCCTATCCCCACTAATTTTCCTCCGAAACGGGATTTCCAAGGAATATTCAATTTTCTGGTAAATTCGTCAATGATAGAGAAAACCTGAGGCCAGTCTTGGATTCAGCAGCCCAAAATGCATGTGTAATGGTGTATTGAACGCTGAAAAAGTTTCTCCACTGTATCTGATAACAAGGTTTTTTCGGTGAAATGACATTATCCGTGGTAAAACTGGTCCCTTTGTTTTGCATCTAGAAGGACGGGAATTTTATGTAACTCTAGTGTCTAGTGCAACTGCTTCTACTTATTTCTGGCTGCTATAAAGCTGAAGACGGTCTCAGCGTTTTCCATCAGCCGTCAATTTTCTGGAAAATCGAGTCCCCCCCCCCCCAAAAAAAAAAAATGTTTCCTAGTTGCCGAAAATTTTCGTTTTATGGAAGCTCGATTTTGCGGAAATTGAGTGAGTTGTGAAAAAAATCAAAAAACTTTTTTGGCTTTAGCAGCCAAGAATACGCATGAGAAGGCTCATTAAGTACCTAAATTAAAGAATTTGTCCTTCCTTTTAAATGCAAAATAAACGAACCAACTTTACATTGAGATATATGGACGGATTATGTCATTTCACTGAAAAAACCTCGCTACCAGATATAGAAGAGAACAGTTTTCAGGCATGCTATACTTAATCTTCAAATGTATTTTGGGCTTCTAAATCCGAAAACAACATTTGTTTTTCCCTATCACGCACCAATTGCCAAGAAAATAGAATTTTCGTCGAAAAATCTGTTAATAGAGGAAAATCTGAAATTTCCGGAAAATGAGAGGGTGTAGGGAAAGAATTGAGGTAATTTTTGGAATCAGCGCTAAAAATTGCATAAAAATCAGCCATCACAGGCGCAGAGTTTTTTTTTAGATGCAGACCAGTGATATTAATATCACAGGAGCCTTTTTTCCATATTTTTCTAAGATGAAAAAAAACGATTTCTCTTACAAACTGTCGACTTTAGCGATTTTTTAATACAAAATTCAGCTTTTACGTGAAAAATTACCCTAGACATCATATATCCCTGCATCATATGATGGTCGATAGTCCTTTGGTAACCCTATGTCCGCTCCGCCCTGTCCTTTGATCCACAGTGGGACGGTACGTTGGAAATGTGTGATTTCTCGGTGCCGTACCTACCGTGGTGTACGATATGTGCGCCATCTCCGACCAGTGGACACTGCGAGCTCGGAATCGCAGGATCGTAGAGATTTTGCACCTCTGAATGGTACCTTAGTCTATTGAGTCATTGACGCCGATCGGAGTTCGTCCATCTTTTTTTGATCAACCATCAATATAACGAGAACCTTGAGTTCTCGTTATCAAGGACCCTTTAGTCCAGGAGAAAAGTCTCAATTCCATTGGAAATAACGATAGTCCAGGCAAATGGGGAAAAGAGCTTGCAAAAATCCCGGGACGCTTTGTTTCAAAGCCTCTCACGTAATATTTGACGTTGAATTCAAATTTCAACTTTACTCCACATAATTTGTATTCCAGTACTCACTTGGACAGCAGTGATACCGACAAAGCAGTTGAGAATGTTGTCGAGTATGCTCGTGTCATCCGTGGTTATGATGTGCTTGATATCCACACCGTGCGGCCTCAGGACTCGGTCGCATCTATCGATGACACCACGGAAAATTGGGATGTGCATAAGTTGGGAGCCCATCTGATTCCATTGAGAGCCCATTCCTGAGAAAACCCACCACATTGGCCGTTCAGCCCCATCCACCCTCTGAAATCAATATTAGTGTTAGTGGCTAACGTGGTAAGTAACGTATTAACGTGGTAAAGTAACGATTGGAACATTGTAATTGATTTAAAAATCGAGCTACGAGCCAAAATGAACAAAAAATATTTCAAAATACATGTACATATAGGAGAAATAATATAAGACTTACAAGAAACGGAGTAAACGTTTCGACCGCCTACAAACTGCGAAATTTTTCAGTGCATTAAGAACAACCAGTGGAAACATTTTACAACAACAAAAAAATAAAGAAATAAATGAAATAAAAAAGCTATATTTTAATTTTACCTTATTTTGATTTTACTCCAAGATGTAGTTGCAAAAGATTATGTATTTTCGCATGTTTGCTAATAGTTTTGTAGCTTTCTTATTTTATTTATTTATTTTTTTGTAAACTGTTTTCACTGGTTGTTCTTAATGGACTGAAGAAGATCGCAGTTTGTAGGTGGTCAAAACGTTTACTTTGTTTCTTGTAAGTTTTCTATTATTTCTCATCTATGTACATGAAGTTACAAATATTACCTGTTACTTTGGCTTGTAGCTCGGTTTTTTAATCAATTACCATGTTCTATTCAGCTTAGCCCGCCAAATTTGGCAATAAAATGTAGTCACGATTGGAGAGGGTTTAACAAAAACGCATCGGGCCCCTTTGTTGAGGGAAGGAATATATGGGAGAAGGTAGGATTAGTATCAAATTTAACTAAGTAATCGAACATTTCTATTACTAATACAGGGTGAGCGAAAAGTCCCCGACCCCCCCTCTAACTTTTGAACGAATTGAGCTAGGGAAATGAAACTTTGGGAATGTTCCTATCTCAAAGGGAACCATCTTTTGGGGGGGGGGGTCAAAATTTTGGTCCCCCCCTCAGGGGGGGACGGGGGCCCCCCAACTTTTTTTTTCAAATGGCAACCCCTATCTTGTGATACCTCATTCGAAAGAACATAAAAAACTAAGAATTTTGGCGCAAACCGCAAATGAATATCTTAATTTTTGACCGAGTTATGATAAGTCAAAGGTCAAATTTGACCTATTTTCAAAAAATCATAACTCCGATTCAAATTATCGTAAAGAAAAAAATAAAACGGGAAAATTTACCAAATTGTGTCCGCTTTTAAGTAAAAATTGCAAAAATCACTTCCATTTAATTTTAAGGGGGGGCTCGGACCCCCAAATACGTCAATTCAAAGGTCATTCAATTTTCCCGCGAAATAAGCCAATTTCCCCTGGATTTGCCTCCACATTATCTCAGTAAGGTCAAAATCAGTTCAACATTACGTTGGCAAGTCCCCAAATTTCGGGAAAAGTTAAAAAAAAATGATATTTAAACGGTCAAACTTAATTACCTTAAATTTCGTTTTTTTAACTTTTCCCGAAATTTTAGGACTTGCCAACGTAATGTTGAACTGATTTTGACCTTACTGAGATAATGTGGAGGCAAATCCAGGGGAAATTGGCTTATTTCGCGGGAAAATTGAATGACCTTTGAATTGACGTATTTGGGGGTCCGAGCCCCCCCCTTAAAATTAAATGGAAGTGATTTTTGCAATTTTTACTTAAAAGCGGACACAATTTGGTAAATTTTCCCGTTTTATTTTTTTCTTTACGATAATTTGAATCGGAGTTATGATTTTTTGAAAATAGGTCAAATTTGACCTTTGACTTATCATAACTCGGTCAAAAATTAAGATATTCATTTGCGGTTTGCGCCAAAATTCTTAGTTTTTTATGTTCTTTCGAATGAGGTATCACAAGATAGGGGTTGCCATTTGAAAAAAAAAGTTGGGGGGCCCCCGTCCCCCCCTGAGGGGGGGACCAAAATTTTGACCCCCCCCCCAAAAGATGGTTCCCTTTGAGATAGGAACATTCCCAAAGTTTCATTTCCCTAGCTCAATTCGTTCAAAAGTTAGAGGGGGGGTCGGGGACTTTTCGCTCACCCTGTATGCCAATATCATAGCGCTCCTGTGCGTTCTGTAACACCCAACCCCCACAGGTAGCAATTCTGCCTTGACTCCTCTGACAAATCGCATTTCCTAATTTCCTGCCTTACACTGTCGATTCACGATTTTGTCGGGCATCTCCTACGTAAAGTTTTACCCGTTAAAACTTATAAGTCGAAAAATTGTTTTGAACGTAAAAATATGTTATAAACTTCGTCTTTAATATTTAGCCTTATGAAAAAATATTCAAAAGTATTCTTACATATGGATGTGAAGTTTGGCAGCTGAAGGAACGGACGCAGGGGATGTTCAGAGCAATAGATATGGATTCCTGGAGGAGGTCGGCAGGAATTTCTAGGAGGGATCGGGTCCGCAATGAAAAAGTGCGTTAAATCATGGGAGTCAAAAATGACATCGTATTCGACGTCATGACCAGACAACTTGTCTGGTATGGTCATGTCAATAGGATGACTGAAGAGAGGCTGCCGAAGAGGATGCTTGATTGGGTTCCTCCTGGGCGGAGACGAAAGGGACGCTCAGTGAATGGGTGGCGACAGGGGGTTTTAGAAGAAATGAGGGTGTGCTAACTCCCTGAAGGGCTTTGGGAGGATAGGGGACTTTGGCGGCTAAGTGTCGCAGAGAGCCAGAGAGCGTTATAAAAGCGGCTTTTGTATGAAACAATAAAATTTCAACCTCATTTTCTCAACTGGAACTTTATGGCACTCGGTACGTCTCTGTAAAACTTGATGAAATTATCTCAGCTACCTCTGTTATTTTGGGATGTATAAATGGACGTAATTAACCCTTAAAAAAAAGCGGTGGTTTCATTCGAAGTTCACCTTAGATTTGAGCGGGGTCCTAAAGCCGTTGGCAGACAGGATCATGTATCCTCTGAGATTATGGTGTTTCAAGTCTCGGAAGACTCCGTTCACCAGATCCGCATATTCTGGCGTGATATTCATCGATTTTGTATGCTCCATTATCTCCGCAATCCCTTTCTCTGTCCGTGACGACATCATCAGAATTTGCGGCAGTGTCTCGGAAATTTTAGTTGAAGATCCTCTCCTGAAATAATCAGCACACCAGCTAGTAGTGAGGGGGATGTTCAGAACTTTGGACAGTGACGATTTTTCAAGGTGGCAACACTATTTTTTCTCCGTTTAAATCCGTTAAAAATATCGAATTTAGGTGAGGTAAGCTACCTCGCCGAGAATCGATTGTTTTACACACATTTAAATGGAGGAAAAACAGTGTTGCCAACTTTCAAGAATCGCCTCTGACTTTGGAGAACGATTCGAATGTCGATCGGTTAATATGTTGCAAATTTGACGGTAATATTCAAAATTGACCCAAACAATCGATTTTTTTAAAAAAGAATATGACCGTGCAATTAGTTATTATAGTACACTATTTTACAGATTTTTGGCTTTAGTAAGGCGGAAAATGATTGAAATTTTTAGGTAAAATTTCCAGACAGTTTTCTAGCACAATGCAAATTATTTTAAGAAAATTTGCAACATCGGTTTGTAGTGACGTTCTCTCGTTTGAGAAACGACAGAACAACGATGGACGCTGTGGGGGATTCACTCTTGACTTCCAGTGGCGTGGCGTGCTTTGCGATCCATCAATATTTCCCCATTTGAAGCTGTGGTAAATAATCGATTGTTAAGGTGTTCGCTGCGAACACCCTGCTTATCGATACTTTTCCATACGTTTAAATGGCCGATCAATCGATATATCGCAAAGCACGCCACGCTACTGCTGACTACACAGCCTGCACCCACGTAAAATGGCAACTAATTGACCAATTTTGATCGATCGATTTCAGCAGTTTCAGTACTCTATTAGTAAATATAATACTCTATACTCTATATATACTCTATTAGGTATAAATACTAGTCATCCTCTTCAGTATTGCAGCAATTTTTTTTTCTCAGAACAAGTCTAAAATTTCACTGTAAGGGCAACGCCTGGAAGTAATGTGCAAATATACATTTTGTAATAAAGTACTACAATCTCTGGCTCCACCCGTCAAAACTTTTATGTGCATAAAGATACGAATGACACGTACGTTGTTTCTAAAGTGAGCCTTAAATTTTAGTTCCTAATTGCAAAATATGGTCCAAATCATTCCTACTCAATTGTCGGTGTTGCACATTGACGGTGGACCTTCAAATAAAGGAATCTAGTTTGTGGCGTTTCAAAATCTCCGCTCCTATTTTCGTTTATCAAAGGAGAGCAAATAAACACCTTCGCTTGAAATTTTCACTCAATATTCTTCACACAAAAGAAACCAAACCTCGAGAGTTTTCAAGAGACGACGTTAAAAATATTTTTCCGTTTGAAAAATAAATTGCAAATGTGATAGCGGCGCAAACCGAGACTCGCATTTATGCAATGGAGAATTTGCACACAAAAATTGTATTGCTTCATGTGAGAGTGCCTAATGAGCTGAGTTCGCGGCATTTTTCATAATTTTTTTTCTGAAATGGAAAATTGGAGAAAGATAGATTTTAAAGTGAGAAAATGTGCCGCTTTATGACGTCATCTGGCGGTCTTTTCCATTTAAACACATGTATTTTAGCAGATTATGTTATTTTATCATGTTTTCTTCAATCATTCTTCAATTTAGAGACCAAGGATATCCTCGCACTCAGTTTTCCTAGCAATATCATTTTAAAGATGAAATCACCGAAATTTAAGACACCCGCAAATTCTCCATTGGACAATGTAAGTCCGCAACCACGTATCTCGTTAGCGGTGTTCGGAAATCCCCGCTCTTATTTTATATTTTTAAAGGAAAACAAAACGACATCATTCCTTGAAGTTTTCGCAGAATTTTCTTTGTTTAAGGAAGAAAAATCATGGCAGTTTTTAAGAATGGAACACTAGCCAAGGTACGAATTTAAGGATTCTGATACATGTTTCTTAACCAGAATTTCACGTAAAACACGATTCGCGCAACGAAAATTACTGAAACCAATTCCTAACGGAGATATTAACGTTTTTATTTCACATTGGTTACGGGGAATTTGAACTGCCCGCTGACAAGAAACTCAAAGCTCTACGTGAGTCAAATCGCGCACTACAACGGTCTCAGCAAGCTTCTCAATCGAGCAATGTCCGTTTCCCACCATGTGTTTTTCAAACTATAAGTAATTTGCTGTAGCTGAGCCAAAGCGTCAAGAATGAGGTTGTCAGATTATTTTATCGCAGAGACGTTCATGATAACGTTTAGCGAGCGATGGGAATCACGTAGAGCTTTGAGTTTTCATGAGCGGTTGGTTTCAATTCACGCACCAAGAATCATTTAATATCTTCGGAAGGAGTAGATTTCGGTAATTTTCGTTGTGCACATCGTGTTTTACGTGAAATTTTGGTGAAGACACAAGTGTCAGAAAGCTGAAATTCGTACCTCGTCTAGTGGTCCATTGCCATTGAGTACCTAGTTGCCTATTTAAAAAATGAAGTAAGTATGACAGGAAGTCTGCCACATCGCAAACCGAGATACGTGGTTGCGGACTTACACCGTCGAATTATTTTACCATTACCATCGATATGCAATGTAACGAAGACGACCTGAATTTTGTGAAAAAATGATCACTTACTGTGGCCGTTTTTTTAAAAGCAAATGTCCAAACTGACCCGCAAATCCAACAGAGTTAACGGCAACAAGATCGCCAGGCAATGATGTCGTTTCTGACACTACCTGCAAAGGAGATATGTATCACAACCAATAATATCATTGATATAGTGGGTTTCATCAGGGTGTCGACAAAATTTGTAAACAAATATTCTTAACTATTTCCTAACTTTTTCCTTACCGTTAAAATTATTTTTTGCCGATGGTCAGTTCAAGCTTTCGAGAAAATGTCGAAATAATTATTTTTTAAAAAAAAAAAATCAATCAATAATAACTGGCCCATACCACACAAGCTTTTTTGTGAAAATGGCATGCACCATGTGCTTTTCGGCGCTCACGGACCAACAAAATGACCTTTTCCTTGCCATTTTCCCATCCGATTTTAGGAATTGAACTCTGATAGATAGAAATCTAATTCTCAGCTTACTTGAATTCCCTTGGATTCCAGTTGTGGGAGCGGTGAAGTTGTGTTGATGGTCGCTGGGATTTTCGAGTTTGTAAGAGCAAAGAGGGCTTTGACCGTCCCGAAGGCGCACGCAGCTGTATCGGCGTGACCTGCGTTTGATTTCACCGATCCAATCAACAGCGGTTCTTTCCGGTCACGGCAAAAAACATCGGCTACAACATCAATCTCCTTTAAATCGAGCTCCTGCAAAACGTAAAAATAGACAGGTTTAGTCACCAACATTAGCGAATCCAAACCACGTATCTCTGGTTGCAATAACGTTGCCAATCTTCTGTCACATTTTATTTTTCTGAGGGGGGCCTAATAACTCGAGGTTTTGTGCAATATTTTGATTGATTTTTTTTTTCATTTTTTCGAGAAAGCTCTTTGAAAATTGCACGCATTATTTCTACCAGTATTCCATGGAGAAAATAAATTATGTGCGGAAATTTTCAAAATCCTCAATCGGGATTCATGGCTCGGTTTAGGCAAGGTTGATGTTTCCGCACAAACTTTCCGATTTTGACATTTTCGTACACAATCTTGAATTGACATTTCCGCTCAAAATTTATCTGCAAATTTTACTTATTCAAACACTTTTGCAACACCGAGTAACGTTGCCAGAACTTTTTATACGGGACATATTTGGCACGGAAATGTCAGTCACAATTTTTTTTTTTTTTAGGGGGGGGGATGACAAAAACAGATGTTTTTATGCGGAATAGGCATACCTCTTATGGTAAGGAGGGCAAAGAAAAATCCTTAGGGAGGGAGAGTAAAAAAAAGGACGGTAATTATACCACAACATAGGAGTTTAAAGCATAGTATAGGCTGTGTCGATGCTGCTGCCAGCCTTTGAATGGGTCAGTTACGTTGGTCACAGAATAGTGTTTAAATGCTTGATTCTTGAAGATCAGCTAAAAATAATAAGATCCGTACCAACAGCAACTTTCTATGTTCAATATTTAACTCGAAATATCGCGCTTTAAAAAGTCGGGTTCTTGCCGTCATCTACCGCGGCAATGACATCCTTGGTCTCTTCCACCTTGCTCTCATCCGAGTATCACGTTGAGTAACCAGTGAAAATGTGTGTCTCCCTGACAAATGAAATGGAGGTGGAAGAAACCAAGAGGGTCTCTACCGCGGTGGATGACGTCATTAAACGAGTTTTTTTTTTTTTTTTTTTTTTTAAAAAAACGAATTATCTTCGATAATATTGAACGTAGAAAGTTGCTGTTTGGATTGATCTCATTATTTTCAGCTGACCCACGAGAATCAAACATCAAAAGACAATTAGACTGCATTTTGCAATTTGGAATTATAAATTGTGTCTCATCTGAAAAAACACTCATATGCATATGGAAACTAATGGCACATACGTTGTTTTTGAACCGGGCTAGAATATATAGTTCCAAATTGCAACAAGTTGGTTTTTGCAATCGCTAGCGATAGCAATATTCGTCATGGGAACTTTAGCTTCTGGGATATGAAAATTTTAAGGTACAGTTCGTTTGCAGTATATCTTCAGAATTGAAGGGGCTATGTAATTTTGTGTCAACATCTCTTTTTTAACATTTTTAATTTTTTTTTTCTTTGCATACAATAAAGCTGTTATTTACCAATTATTTATTTTCGTTGGATTATACATGGTTTTCGGAAGTTAACGCATTTAACTTTCAGTTTCGCTTTTTCGGCGTAAAGTATGATATTTTTACTCTACACATATGCCCGAATACGCATCATAAGTGACCTATGTGCCTCCTAAGTTGCCATTTTTTCATTCAAATAGATGTAACTGAAATGTTTGATGTGCACTATACTACTTTCATGTCATTGCTTTATTTATTTTTTGAAAAAAGAAAATACCATAATTAATTTGGGCGAACAGAGAAAATATACATCAATATTTGGGTCAACATCTCCCTGATTATATGAAGGATGAACATATTAGTATTTCTGTATCAAAAAACTTAGCTTTTGTCTTCAGAGATACAATGATTCTAGTCCAAGTCAATTTGTTATATTGAAAAAACAAAAAAAAACAAAAAAACAAAAAATAAATCACAACCAACCAACAACAACAACAAACCAACAAAAAACCAACTGAAATGTTAGACATACTATTTTCATGTCTTTCTATTTGTATCAATAGGTACTTTTTGCTTAACTTACGAACGTTGAATGCAAATAAACTTTATTGAAAAAAAAAAAAAATAACGTTATTAATTTGGGGGAACATGTGGCTAATTATATGAAGGAGGTATATTCCAGTATTTTTGTTTAACATATTAACTCACGAGAAAATGTTTGTACATTTATCATCTAGTATTAATTATTTTTTGATGATTGGTCTAAAACATTCAATACAACCATTAAGAATTAACTGCCATCGCCGGGTATCGAACTCCCGATCACCTATTGCCCGCACCGTATCAAAAATGTGGGGCGCCTCAGTCAACTAGGCTATCTCAGAGCCGCAGCTTACTGAGTAAAAATAGCATTTAAAAGACTCGGAAGATGGGCGGGACTTATCACAAGAGTTGTCCTTGAGCGATTCGCGTCTTCGTAGCCTCTGAGATATGAGAAAAAGAGCTAACTGCCTTTCTCTGTGAGACATTGTTTGCCTATGCTATCATGTGTCTCGAGTCTCATCCCAGAATGCATTCGCAATCGCGGCAGTAAGCTGAGGCAATATTTCTGTATTCATGGAATAAATCAATCAGTCGAGTTCCAATTTTGGCTCATATATCCGTAACGGGTCCTCCAGAGCAGTTTTCCACCTTGCACAATAGTTATAATTTCTTTATTTCTATTTGTAAAATTTGAGGTGGGATAATGGCGGCTTCTCAAGAGCAACGAGGTAGGCGATCTTTTGCACCAACGAACAGAAAACTGATGGCGAAAAATAACCAATGAAAACCTCCCAAAAAAAAGAATTTGCCCAAAAACGGAACTTCGTGGATCTGCGCAGATTTACCAGTCAGACACGACATCTCAAGCTGGAAAAAAACTCGCTGAAAGCGAATTTTAGCAATCAACACAACTTGACGTAGAGACATGATTGGCTAAAAAATACAACGGTTTTTGATACATCGGAAAATCAACCAAAAATCGAACACTGGGCGAAACGCTCAAGGTCGCAGAGGTATAGGGAATCCCATAGCGAAAGCAACGGAACGATTCTAATATCATGGGGAACTCCGTTCCCATGACAAAATGCAGTCCAATTCTGTGACCAGAGCAACTGAGCCATTGATTCATTTCTAATGCTTGAAATACAAGTAATGTCACTTATGCCTTGAAATTTTGATCCGAGATACTGAAACCTGTTCGGAAGCATTTAGTTTCATTCCATCGAATAATAGTGGGTTTGAGCAGTGGCGTGGCACACTTCGATATATATCGATATTTCCCCATTTGAAGCTATGGTAAAGAATCTATTGTTAAGGTGTTCGTTGCAAACACCCTGATACTCGATACTTTTCCACAGGACTAAATGGCAGATCAATCGAGACATCGCGAAGCACGCCACGCCACTGGATTTGATGACCCGCGTCGGAAACACTAATTTTCCGTAAATTGAAAATCTCGACTCTGGTAGGAACTATATAGGCAGCTAAGCTACAAAACCACGTATTTTCATTACGTTGATTGGTTTCCCAAATAATAAAATATGAATGATAGAAAGTCTGTAATGGCCTGGTTACACGATCAAATTCCGATCAAAATGATGACCAATATGGCGGTCGAGAGTTATCTAGATTGATGAGTAAAATTAATTAAAACAGCGTGTTGATTGAAATAAGCATGCAATAAGCACGGTTGTGTGGAAATCAGATGAAGGATGAGCCCCATAGCTCCATCATCTACCATCAAATTTTTGCAGCCCGCAGAAATTTGATGATAGATGGTGCGCACCAGTCACCATTTGATCGAAATTTGACGGGAATTTGATCGTGTAACCAGGCCATAACGTCGCGAACGGAGATACGTGGCTTCGCATTTCGGCCATATCGAATTCTCTGATGCTCACATCCAATACAGCGCAAATACTGCAGGCTGATTGTCGAAACTGATAGACAAAGCTATAGACAAAGGAGACGAAAGGGATACGGAGGGATCGTATTGGTGGAAGTGGGTGCAATGGTTGAAGAAGGTATACCTATGTGATAGAATAACTAACGGCAACCCAAGAGAGACCTTAAACTTAGTCCATCATTCTCTCCCTCAGCTATAGGAACCACCCATTTTAACGGATAGGTTCGGCCCCTATACTCCCTATCAGAGGCGGATCCAGCAATTTGGCAACACCGAATTTCCTCCATTTAAACCTATGCTAAATAATCGATTCTTGTCGGAGCACCTGGCCCCTACAAGAATCGATACATTTCCATAGGTTTAAATGGAGGAAATCCGGTGTTGCCAAATTGATGGATCCGCAAATGCTCCCTATGTCTTCTTTGTCTATCGCTATGTCTATCAATTTCAACAATCAGCCTGCTGGTAAAACTATTCTTGACTTACCTTAACCCCACACCCCTCAGCTTCTACATAGGTGACTTGACCTGGATCAACTTTCCATTCCGAGTAGAGTTCGCGCAACATCTGCTTGGCCGGTTTTCCGTCGAAAGCGCAAAGGCCCCCGCATTTCGTGCCGAGAAATTTCTGATCCGAACCGATTACCGTCGCATAGCATCGCTTTGCAACTGATGCTTTCTGCAGAAAGAATGCAACCCAGCCCTCGCTCAAATTATACCCGTGAGCTAGAGATTAACGGAAAAATTCTGAATCAGCATAAATAAATTAACAGAACCAATTTATAATAAATTGGAATTATGACACAGTAGCAAAATGAAGTCGATCATTTTGTTAATAAGGTGGTTTTGAATTTACTAAAACTGCCCTTGCTTATTTCAAGGTAGATCTGCACATACCTTTAACTTTGTCAAAATTCTCGAATTTTTTCATTTGTATGTATGTATGTATGAGCCGCTTTTACGGCGCGCTAGGGCGCTCTGCGACGCCTATTCTCCACAGGAATCTGTCATGGTAGAGATCCTCCGGAAGCTGGCATCTCGCCATCTCTTCATGGATGCCCTCTATCCACCGTTTGGCTGGACGCCCTCTCCGTCGCCTACCTGGGGGGACCCACTCCAACACCTTCTTCGGCAACCTGGTATCAGCCATTCTCTGCACATGCCCATACCATACCAATTGCTTGGTCATGATATCGTGCACAATCGTCCCCTCAACGCCCATTATCTCTCGGACACGTTCATTCCTGACACGTTCTCTCCTCGAGATTCCAGCCGATCTTCGCCAGAAATCCATCTCGGTCGCCTTGAGCATTTCTTGGGTCCGCTTCTTCAACTGCCACACTTCACTGCCATAGGTGATAATAGGCTTGACAACCGAGTTATAAATTCTCTTCTTGTTGTCTTTGGAAATCCTTTGGTCCCAAAGGATCCCATTAAGCATGGCGATGGCTTTCCTTCCTAGAAGATTACGGTCCCGAATGGCCTGATCCAGCTTCCCATCCGAAGTCAGCTTCACCCCCAGGTACTTGTATTGTTCGCAACTTTCTATATGTTGACCATCCTCCAGGACTATGCTTTGCTGAGCACCTCCGACTGACATCTTTTTTGTCTTACGGACACTAACCTCGAGGCCCCATTTGCGGTACTCCTCCACCAACTTCCGGGTCATATACTCCGCGTCATCGTGATCTTGACTTATGACTACCTGGTCGTCAGCAAAGCATAGGGTGAACAGTGTTGCTTGGTCATTTAGAGGGACACCCATGCCGGCACACTTTCTTTTCCATTCCTTCAGAACGTGCTCTAGATATATCTTGAACAGCGTCGGTGACAGACAACATCCCTGCTTAAGCCCCTTAGTGACAAAAAAACCGTCTGAAAGCCTTCCTTGGCACTTAATTCTAGCAAAAGCCCCCCGATAAAACTGCTTGACTGCCCCAATAAGCCCTTTACTAAAACCAGTTTCTTCTAGGACTTCCCAGAGTTTCACAAGAGGAATACTATCATAAGCCTTTTCAATATCCAAAAACACTAAATGAAGCTCCTGGCCAACAATTCTCTTCTTTTCGGTTAACTGGGTAACACAGAACAGATGATCAGCGGTAGACCGCGGTCGGTCATACGGTCGGTTGCAGGTTTCATTTGTATACCCTGGTAAAAATTGGCAGTAGAATCTGTGTTCCAAAATACCATAGACCTACAGCCGGCTATAAGGTTTCCAATAGCTTCTATAGCCGGCAACACAATTTCTTATAGCCTATGGCGACTAAGCAACAGCCTGGCGATAAAGTGTATGCTAAACGTTACTAATTACGGATGCTAGGACTTAGTGAGTTTTTGGACTACCGCTCTCTTTTTGGGCCGCAGTATCTTGATTTAATTTGCGAGGAAAGCTCCGTGCTTTTGAAGGATGCCTGACATTCCTAATATGTTGGAGCGCCTTCAATTTCGTATGATACTGTGCAATACCTCTGGTGTGAAATAGTTGCTTCAAGCGCCGCGGTACGCTGCGGTGCGGCGGGCAGCCAGCGCAGAACGCGCATTGGCCCCTGCAAACCTAACAGGGATGCTTCACGCATTGCGCAATGCGTTTAGTATCCCTGTTAGGTTTGTAGGCGCCGGTGCGCTGCCGCTCCGCTTTGTGTTAGGCTCTAATATTTAATCTCGCGGAGTCAGCGTTTTTCAACTCATGACTTTGAAATGTTTGCACACTCTGTATGGATTATTCTCATTTTAATTGATGAAAAAAAATATTTAGTAAAGGAAAATATGATGTGCGTTTTGTAAATATTAAGGTGATTCCGTACAAACTTGAGGATTTACAAAGCACAAGAATTTCTACACAATTTCGTATAGCCTTTTATAGCCGATGGCGAAAAAGCAATAGCCAGGTGCCAGGTGATATAATGTAAATCCCGGAAATAGGAACTATAGCTCGGCTGTATAATTTTTTATCGCTTCGTGTAGCCCGGCCGTATGATTTTTTCCACTTTCTATAGCCAGCTATATGATTTTCTATCGCCCTCTTCAGTCGGCTATAAGAACTCCTATGGTATTTTGAAACGCAGCTCTTATCGCCAATTTTTACCAGGGTATTGTGTATTTTTTGCAGTGGCGAACCATTTTAACTCATCCTTCTCTATTACGAATGATTAATATATATATATTATTCTACCTCTCCTTCTCTATTGCTAATAACTGTTAAATATCTTCTTTTCATTTATTAATTTAATATATTAATTTAAGTGCTGTTTTGTATATACAACACCTAAATATTACTAATTATATTCTTTTATGTATATATTATTCTACCTCTCCTTCTCTATTGCTACCTCTACCTCTATTGCTACACAAATATCCATTTTGAAGGTCATTTGGATGAATTTTCGTTAAGATTTTAGGTAATCCGCAACCAACGCAGGTACGCATTTTTGCAATTTCACCGTCTCTGCACGGAACCTCCTTAAGGACAGAAGCTGTTTAAGAAAACTACTATGAATACCGCTCTAAACCACTATATAGTGGTAGTTATATAACTACATCTCTTTTCTGAGACCAGGATGTTCGGTAAATTTGCTCAAAATCTCGAAGATTGCTCACTTCTGATTTAGACTCACCTCGACTTCCTTACGCCGTTCTTACCTTGTTCATCGAAAGGGCAGCACTTCCCGTCCCTCGCAGAGAAACCCATCCCATCTAGAATTTCGAGGTACCTTTTGCTTAGAATGACGTTTCCAACGGATATAATTGCAGCGTCGATTCTTCCTTCTTGCATATCTAATTTTGCTTGCTTGAATGCTCGGAACAGCATTCCACGACCTCCTTGAGTCATATAACTAGGTCCTGAAATTCATAGTTCAAGAGGACCACAACGGATGAACAATATTCACACACTATTACTTAAAAAATGTTTTTAAAATATATTGCTGAAAACTATCAAATGGACTACATTTTGCCATTCGAAACTGCAATAATTTCAGTAGGCTGATTATTGAAATTGATAGACAAAGCAATAGACAAACGAGAACTTCATGGATGTTAAGATAGATATAATTCATCTTTGGAGCGATCTGTGGTTTGCAAACCCCTCTATAGGGACGTTTGGTTTAAAACTCTCATCCCGGACTTCGAAGACTGGCTTCTCCGTGACCGGGAAATGGAAAATAGACAAAAAAGGCGAGGGGAAAATGGAGTGATCCTATCGGTGGAAGTGGGAGGTAGTTACAGACTGAGGAGAAAAGCTTCGCAGTTGATAAGAAACGCGTGATAAGCAGAAAAGAACCAAGCCACGTCAGCTTTTGCCACATTCAATCGGGCAATTCAATTGTTTACGCATGAAAACGGTTGTGCGGGTTTTTGTGCATAAATCAGTGAATTTTCTGCACAGTGCGAAGCAAATTCCTTAAAATTTTCGAAGGAATCCGCTTAAACGTTCTCTCATAAAAAAATTAAATTCCTCAATCAAAGGTTATAACTGACGTGGCCTGGTTCTTTTCTGCTAAATGCGGTCCTTATGTTTCAGGACGACTTCGGAACCATCCTTGACTCAGTTTGTTCAAAATTCGTCGATTGCCTCCCTTTTGCCAACGTTGCGTATTTTATAACTTTGCATGCAATGGTTGTTAGTGAATTTACCGGTAAGATCAAAAGCGAACGAAACTCTGTTGGCGCTGAAACATCTAGCCGTGCCAAGGAGAAAGTTCCTATTCATCGAGTAAAAGGCACCAATCTCTCCTTCGCTTGCATCGTAACACGAATAAACTGCAGTTCGACTTCCTTTCAAGACCCCTGGACTCACTCCTACATGTGAAAAAAAAACATGTTTGACCTGATAATTTGAGGCATATGGAATCAGAAGGATCAGATTTACAACGTCATCGTGAAGAGTATCGTAACTTACGGGAGTGAGGTCTGGCAACTCAAGAAAAGAACTGAAGACATGCTTAGGGCAACTGAGATGGACTTTTGGCGGAGGTCTGCTGGCATCTCAAGAAGAGAGCGTATCCGCAATGTAAAAGTACGCGAGATCATGGGTGTAGAGAAGGACATCGTGCACGATATCAGGTCCAAGCAGTTGGTCTGGTATGGACATGTGCGAAGGATGGCAGACGACCGGTTGCCCAAGCAGGTCTTCGATTGGGTTCCTCCCGGAAGGCGACGGCGTGGACGTCCTGTGAAAGGTTGGCGACAAGGGGTGGAGGAGGAGATCAGAAGGTGCCAATTGCCTGATGATCTCTGGGAGGATAGGGGGCAATGGCGATTGGGCGTCGCAGAGCGCGAGGCGGCGCTATAAAAGCGACTTTATGTATGTATGGAATCAGAAGGACACAAGCCCTCATTTGAACGAAACTAGATAATAGCCCCGCTCAGTAGGAACGAAGCTCTATCTAAATAAATTAAAAGAAATGGACAATTCGCAGGTTTCTGAAATTAAATGAATTTCGTCATCAAGAGGAAACTAAACTGAATACGAGGATGCCATTGGTTCATACATTGAACAATTCTGCCGTCCAAAGTAAAAACACCGTACTCTCTCTTCAACTCGTTTCCAATTTTTTTCTGACAAAATGTTGTGTTGGAAAAAACCTAACAATGATTCATCCTTCATCTTTTCGATACACCTCCATCATACCATTCGAAACTATAAACGAAAAAAAAAACCCTTACGGCAATTGAATTGTCTTGTAGTAGAACAGTACGTTCTAGAAAAAAATACAAAATTTTGAGTGGAGTTACGGCGTTTTTGCTGTGGACGGCAGAATGACTGAAGGAGATATGAGAAAATGATCCAATCTCCTGCAATACATGTGTTTAAATGCGAAATGTCACCAGATGACGTCACTAGACGATACATTATCTTACTGTTAAATATATTTTAATACTATTTCCCATATCAGAAAGTTTTTTCTAAAGGAATGCTGCAAAATCAGCTCTTTAAAGCACTTTCAGGTGGAGCGATACAAAATGTTCGTGCAAATTCTCCAATGGTGAAAATTGAATTTTGAGGATTAGATAAATGAGCCAATCCCCCAAAACTCAGACAATTTTCAAATTACGGTCTAAGAGTGGGAACAATTGGACGTAGTTCTACCAAACAGACCTATGTGGAAGTGAGAAATATGGGGTGTGCTCGTTAGTTCTCTGGCCGTAAGAGTGAATGAGAATAATAAAGCGCCAGTGACGTCAGCGGTGACGACGGGTATCCTCACGAAGGCGGGAACGTTCTTTAACTCATGAGCCCTGTCCACAACGCTTTCTTGCCCTGCCCGCGGCTCATGAGTTCCGCACTCAGTTGCACATAGGTCTGTTTGATAGAATGCATTATCCCGCTTTTCCAATTCTTCAAAAGGAACCACGCCCACTTTTACATTGCTTCTTATGCAGATTTCTAGAGCACACCCCATATTTCTCACCGCCACATAGGTCTGTTTGGTAGAAATACGTCCAAATAGTTTTTCATTTAAAAAATAAAGTATGACAGGAAGTCTGCGACGACGCAAACCGAGATACGTGGTTTGGTAGTTTCACCGTCGATATGTTAAAAAAGGGGTGAAAATTTGTTTTAAAAAAAAAGTATTTCTCACCCTTGGATGATATAGGTTATACCTCTCTCAAAAACTATCAATCAAAATCAATGGATTTAAATGCGGGCCAATTGGACCCGACTTGGGACTTTGCGTACATGGAAAAAGTCTCAGACATCTAAGGGTTAAGGCCGCTAACTGGAAGTGGACGGCAATGCATCAAAGCGTAGAGAATTTCCATACAACAATTTGAATCACTGTATAGAGATTCATAATTAGATTGGTCTGTATGCCGATCCCTCGCGTGCCTTGCACTTCCCATCCGCCCGTCGGCTTTTGAATATGAAATTAATTAGCTCCTAACAAACAAAGCATATGCATATCGATGGCTGAATGCGGAAAATTTGTATCTCAGTTGCAACGTTTTAAACATCCGATTAAATAATTAATTTTCTTCAAGGCAAAACTATTCATAAATGCTCCCTTGCAATTTCGTGTAATTTTTCTCGAAACAATTGAAAAACAAATTCACGGGGAACTTCAATTAAATTTGTTGGTTTTTTCCATTTTAATAAATGAATAAATAAGAGTTTGGGGGAGGTACTCGTATACACAACTTCGCAATCTGAAAGACGAATTTTTCGATTTCAGTCATCGCCATGCAAATAGATCGTATCCGATAGTGGTTCAATGTATCGTTTGGTTCAAAACAATAGATCATAACCTCAAACAAAAATTTTAAGATTTATGCTGGATAAGCTGGAAATGAGAAAATTCCTAACAATTTCACCTTTCCTTGCCATTTTGTACTCATAAGAATCAAAAATGTATAAAAAAACCCAGTTCCTTCAAATTACTCAATTGACTTTTGAGACTATGCTACAAGTTGAACCAATCCATATCGATACAATCTCACATGTTTGATGTATCGAATACGATTCATCACAAACAAGGGAGGAATACCCCAGTGCATGACAACTGGACCACATTTTGCAAGTAGAAACAATAATTTCCGGCTCATTATATGTAGATACAATATATGTATGTGTCGTCATCATTCCAGTGTAGATAGGTGTTTTTATGTATGAGCCATAAATTGTAGTTCCTAATTGCAAAATGCAATCCAATTAATATGCATTTTTCGATTATTGAGAAATCTGAAGTTCAGTGAATGCAAACTTTTGGCGGTCACAATAACTTTGCTTAAATAAATTATTGTTTTTTTCATTTTATACTTTTTCTTAATTTTTCATTCCACGTTTCATAATTTATGTGACTCGTTGATGACAACCTCATTTTTGGGCAAAGATCATATAACAGGAGTTCAACCGCACCAAAGTTGTGGCATATTTTCGATTCACACCGTCGATTCAACCAAAGACGTTAACTTTTCCACTTCCGCGAGGAAATACGTACTTAACTTAACTACTGTAACTTATGCGTCTAATGTAAGTAACTGACCGGCATCGATTACAGCTTCCACAGAAGTTTCCAAGCAACGTTTGATCATAAGATCCATCGACGCCGACAAAGTGGGAGTCACATTGAAGAAAAGAGCGTCGAACTTATCGTGATTGTGTGCTTTGCCACAATGAGTCGGAAAATTGTAGTCTGAAACAAATACGATGTCGACAAGTCGAGTTAAGTTGAAAGCAGCTCTTTACTCAAAATCTGCCATGAGTAATAAGAAATTCTACTCTCCATGTCATTGGACAGACATATCACACTGAAAAAGCAATGCGCGATCAGGATGCATCATCAATGTAAAAACTCCCGGTATGCTACATTTTTATCAGAAGCGGGTCCAGCGATTTGGAAACATCGGGTTTCCTCCATTTAAACCTATGTTAAGTAATCGATTCTTGTTGGAGCACTTGGCCTCTTCAAGAATCGACACATTTCCATGGGTTTAAATGGAGAAAAACAATATTGCCAATTTGCAGGATCCGCCAATGCCATCAATTTTTATGAAAAAAAAAAACAAAACAACGACAAAAATTGCGCTTTGTGTAGCGGATGGGAACGAGACATGGCAGTTTCAAGTGGATCACGTATTGAAATAAAGAACCACTATTTCTGGTTCATTTTAGGAACAACATATATGTCATTGGTTTCCCTGTGCAGAAAGGTGCTTCTGTGGAAGAGCCAGATATATTGGTTCCTCATGTTCGAAATGTACATGTATGTATGGGTTGCGCAAGAAGGAGGCTCGAGCTATAGGCTCCTAGACTCAGCTATCTAGAAAATAAAACGCGATTTTCAGCTCTTGAGACTCGTTCCTGACTGCTTTAAGATGGGGGAAAAATTTTAGATTTTTCAGCGTGTTCGCATTTCTTTCACCAAGGCACATCCTAACTACAAAGCATGGCACTTTCTTCTTCAACTGGGCAGTACAACTCGACCGAGTTTAAGTGATAAGATTTTTGAGCCTGTAAATGTCGCAGGCAAATATTAAAATCAGACATTTTGTCAAATGCCTAGGCACATAGTTAAATATTCTAACTTAGATTGAAATTGTGATTATTTTCCTGATTTTAGACAAAATACATAGGCTGTCCCAAAAGTTTCGCATCGGTACACCGTATAAGCGAACAAAGAAAGCTAGCAAGTTGCGGTTTACAGAATTCTTTAGATCAATTCATTAGCTACAAAACGAGCCCAAGGGCTCGTCAAGTCGAGTTCATTTTGTCAAAAATTGACGAAGATACAGCGTTTTTTCGGAGACGTGTTGGGTGGACACCTCCAAGATTTTAGGACTTTTTTCAGGAAAACAAACAAACAAAGTTTAAACAACAGATGCGTGTATTAAAAGAAATAAACAAAATAAGTATTTCTAATGACGTTTATATACTTTATGGCTCCTCATCTGACAATTCTAAGCTTCTTCTTTCTTTTTCAAAGTACTTTCCTTCAGCTTTGACGCACAGACGCAAGCGTTCTTCCCATTTGACCAAAATCGTTTTTGCGAAATCCTCGTGAGTGAGAGTTCTAAAAAAAGCTTGAGCTGCGGCCTTAATTTTAGCAACTGAATTGAACCTGGTACGGTACCTCGTAAAGCGTTTTTTAGCTCTGGAAAAAGCCAGAAATTGCAAGGCGCGAGATCCGGGCTGTAGGGGGGGGGGGGGGGGTGCGGGAGGATCACCATGTCTCTTGACTCCATAAATTCGCGCGTGAGAATGGACGTGTGTGGACGAGCGTGGTGCTGGTGAAGGATCCACGTATCCTTCATATCGGGGTGTTTTCTACGAATGTGGGTTCGAAGAGTATTTAACACACTGATATAATACGCACTATCAACTGTTTGCTTATAATGTTTATACTTTGTTTGTTTGTTTTTTTTTCCCTCGCAAAAAAGTCTTAAAATCTTGTAGGGGTCCACCCAACACTTCTCTGAAAAAACGCTGTATCTTGGTCAATTTTTGACAAAATGAGCTCGACAAGGGCTCGTTTTGTTGCTAATGAGTTGATCTAAAGAATCCCTTAAACCACAACTTGCTAGCTTTCTTTGTTGGCTTTAACGGTGTACCGATGCGAAACTTTTGGGACAGCCTTTGTAGTTAATCACTCCTGTAAGAAAAAATTCTCAGTATAAAGCACCACACAATAGTATTTCACTTATCTTAAACTCTTTAGCGTGTCGCAAAATACAGATTTTTTTAGATTCTCATCATTTAAAAATATGATAGGCAATTGGAGAGGAAGAGACAAAAAGAGTTCGTAGGTTAGATGAGTTATTTTTCTAAAAAGATTGATAACTCGTGTGCTGTTCGCCATAAAATCAGAAAATTTTGTAGACCGTCAAAATTTAACTACCAGCCTAGGCATTTGACAAAATACCTGATTTCACTATTTGCCTGCGACATAGATAAGCGATTTTTTTTTTTCACGAGCCAATTATTTTTAAAATGAGGCTGTCACAAAATTTCTGACTTCTAAAACTGAGGCTCACTCAAAAAGAACTGCTCAAGAGATGACGGAGGATATGACCCTAAACTCCGACCGCAGTGTACGTTACGCATCCGAACTCACCTTCTTTCCACTTGCGTTTGTCATCCGTAACAAGGTTTGTTTTCTTGAACAAAGCCTCTTCAAACTCAGCAACATTCTTGCATTCTGGAAATGCACCCGATACCCCGGAGATGACGACTTCTACTTCCTCCTTCATGTCTCCAGATAAGGCCGAATCTGCCAGACAGGGTTGAAAATAACCGTCAGGTAGAACTGGACGCACACAGGAACTCGCGTCCGTATTTTAATACGTTGCAGACGAGCTGCCGCACACGGATTTGTCTATGGGCAGTCAAAAGTAGAAAAGATTTGCTTCAGTGCACTTACAAATAATGGCACTCAGAGGAGTTTACCTTTACAGCTCTGCGGGCTAATAATTAAAATTGATAGACAAAGCTATAGACAAAGAAGCCATGGGGGGTATGGAGCGATCCTATCGGTTGAAATGTGTGGTTCTTATAGACTAAGGGAGAGAATGATAGACTAACTGTCGAGTTTCTCGTGGGTTGCCGTTAGTTAATCTATTCCTACTGCCTTTGTCCATTGTAGGTAACCACCAGCTTCCACCAATAGGTTCCCTCCATATAGCTTTTGTCATCTTTGTCTATAGCTTTGTCTATCAATTTCAATAATCGGCCCGCAGAGCCCCTCAGTTAGTCCATCATTTTCCCCCTACGTCTAAAGAGCCACCCGTTTCAACCGATACAATCGCTCCTTACTCCCCATGTCTTCATTGTCTATCGCTTTGTCTATCAAATTCAATAATCAGCCCGCCGTGCTGAGAAAAAACGCCGAATGTTCATAAGTGACGTTTCTGCGTGGGGAAGCATTTGATCCATTCATAGAGATTTGAATAGAGAACAGAGACGTCATATTTGTCAGGTACGATTTACGAAGTTTAACGTACGATTACGAGAAAGATAACTACGGCCGCGCGAAAGATATTTTGTGGCCTACCTCAAAAATGGGAGGCGAAATGGAAATTCGGGTAGCCTGCGAGTAAACTTTCGCGTCAACTCTGCTTACTTTAAATTTTCAGTCAAGAAACGCCACTGATGAAAATTCGGATGATTTTAAATTCCTCTGATTCAATAATTATTATAGATTTTGAAGTTTTGAATATTTTTCCTCAAAAAGGTACACCAAAATAAATTGCATGCAGAAAATATTCTTCGAAAATTTGAAAAAAAATCGCGACCGGTTTTTCAGAATTCGTTCTTGATTTAAAAAAAATTGGCAAGGCCTTGATGTTTTCTTCCGTTTGCTCGGCCTGCATGAATTACACGTTTCAAAAAGGTTCCATGACTAGAATTTTGGAAAAAGCATGTTCACCATGAGAACTACTTCTGAGGATAGATGGATAGATAGCTAGATCAGCCCTACGTAAACGCTGGATCTGCGCTTTCTGAGGCGTCGCGTCGCATAGTTGAAAGAGCTAATAAAAGAGGTAGGACATGCAATTTTTGGATAAAATTTTAAATTTTGATGTTTATCTCGTCACAAATTCAACTTCAAGGGGTGTTTCAGAAAATAAATGTGACGAAAGAATCTATGGAACCACTTTCACACTCTTTTGCTTCATATTTTCGAAAGTATAAGCTTTCAAAGTTTCCAGATTTTGTCCGATTTCTCGCCACCTTTCTGATGGCCTCAAAAAGGTGTCATCTCATCGAAAATTGCACCACGATTCCATAAAAATCAGAGCGTGCTGAACATTTCAATCGAGATTGGCAACTGGATTTCTTGAACTCGTAAAGCGGAGCATAGCGAGTCCGCGCCCTCAATTTTGCAGATGCCACACGGACAACCATCAAGCATGAATAGTTGTATCTCTGCGCCGTTAGCCCGTCTACTTGTTCTATTTCCATATTGTGTTAGCTCCAGTTTGTCTTATTTGATGAGGTGCCTCGAGGGCTACGTGAAATTAATTTTGAATATAAAACATGCACCCTCCGACTGATAAAGGAATGAGTTGTTAGGTGAGGCTGCGCAACATTGCAATTCAATTTAGCCCCCTCTGACTCTGATCCCCTCAATTTGAATGAATGCCTTTTTGTGGTGAATCTTAATATTTCCATATTGATGGTTTATTCGTTTTTTCAAGGCAATGGAGAATTTGCAGGTCTCTGAAATATGAGGAAATTTGTGTGCAAATGGAAACTACTGAGTGGACTGAACACGAACATACCCTTGGCCCATAAACTGAACAATTATTGGGGGAGATATGACAAAATGATCTAATCTGCTGAAATGCGTGCATGTGTTAAATAATGAGAAATGCCTTCAGAGAACGTCATCAGGCGGTGCGCATTCTCACATCTAAATCTCTTTTTATACCATTCCCCTTACCGGGAAAAATCGGAAAAAAATACAAAATCAGCTTTTTAAGCACACTTCGGTGAATCAATCAAAAATTTGTTTGCAAATACTCCATTGTTTCTACTACTGAGAAGGGGGAAGGTTAGTGGCTACTAAGGATAGTGGCGTGGCGTGCTTTGCGATATATCGATTGTTATGCCATTTAGACCTATGGAAAAGGATCGATAAACTGGGTGTTCGCAGTGAACACCTTAATAATCGATTCTTTACCATAGGTTTAAATTGCACAACAATCGATTTATCGCAAAGCACGCCACGCCACTGACTAAGGAAAACAAGAAAATCAAAGTGAGCCGTACCGCAAAAATAATGTAGCATTAAATCGCAATTTTCTTTCAATGTCTTCATTGCACCGTGGTACAATTGGGATAAAACTTTTCAATTTAATTAATTTTCGAATGATTCCGTCCAGCATAAATACGTCCGAATTGGTGGATTGTTTCACTTACCTAAAGGTGGGGTTTCAGAATTATCGATGCTCGTCTGAAGATGGTGTGAGATGGGGCTGCAAATCGGAGGGAAACCGCCAAGACTGCACCTCGACGAATACCACGCTCTTCGCCGGACATCGGGAGTATATTCATTCATGATCTTTATTAATTCATTCATAAGTCATTCAGAAGTCGCGTAATTGAAACGGAAAGATGCGTTTTCCTTGCAACAACGTAGCGAAGCGATCGGGTCGGCTGTGATCCGATTTGAAAATTACACTTAACGGCCGGAAATTACTCTGCCCAGCGGCTCGATTGTCGAATCGATATATCGAATGACCTTGATCGATAGAAAGCATAGCTAAGATAGGGATCTATCGATCAGGATCATTCGATATCGATTCAATAATCGACCCTCAGGGAGGAAGAGAGGTCGAACTGTTTCCTCCACCGCAGGCTAATTATTGACATTTATAGCGCAATAGTCAAGGAGGACGACAGAAAAATGGAGGGATTCTATTAGTGGAAGTAAGGTTATTACTATGTGAAAAGTTACGGATATTTAACATTGAGATAAATAGGGAAATATGTGGAATTTTCAGCTTCATCTGGCAACAATGTGAGGAAGCGTTGCGATGGACAAAGGAGGTAAGAATTACGGAGGTTGCCATCAAAATGGGTCATGGACTAAATTTTACTAGATGAAAAAAATGATTATTCATTATCATTTTTGGCAACAATCTTCCAAATTTCACTTTTACATTTTTAACTTTCTCATATTTATATATAAGGTGAGTATAATCGATGTGTGCTAAATTTAAAACTTAACATGAGTGTAATGACTTACAAACGGCATGCGGCAACCCTCAAAATATCCCAAAGTTTTCAACTACCTGATATTTTGACTGCTATGGTAATTTTTGAGATTTCGATCCGAGAAAGTTATAAACGCGCTATGAGTAATGTAGCATATCGATGGTGAATGTGCAGAAGCGCGTATCTCGGAAAACACGATCCTCTAGGAGAGTAAAAAAAATTGTCTACATTCCTCTTTATTGTTAGCAGAGGGGTAATAATTCTTGAGGATAGCAAGAATACAATTTTTTCCAGACTCCATCAGCATTTTGAATAATTTCTCGAGCTGTTAGAAAATACGGCAGAAATGCCGAGATTTGCGTTTCAGCACTAAGAGTTGACACTTCATCACGAGATACGCATTTTTGCAATTAGTATTTTAAACCTGTTGTTGGCGTATTTGGATCATTTGAAGACTAAAAAAAGACTTTCAGGCTAACAATTTCTTATTAGACAAGCTTCAGCTTGATCTCATATGGCCAGACCAAGCATTCTATGATCGGAAAATGACATTTGATCACAAGATACGCATTTCTGCAATTAGCGTTTTCAACTTGCACTTGATCATTAATATCAAAATTAGAGTTTATTCATACTTAAAACTTGTTTAGAAGCTTTAGTTGATCCAATACGATGAGTCACCAATAAGTGAATCAGAAAATTAGCTTCCTTGAGTTACTTTTACACCATAGGTGAGAAAACAGTGCGTAGTCTCTAAAATATGTCGTCTCTGCGAGGACCCTCAAAAAAGCATATAGGTAATATGTACTTTTTTTTCTATCCCCCCCCCCCCCAACACTTTGGCATATACACTGTCACGAGGGTCATCCCAAAAGTCTTGCACGTTTTTCCCTCATTTTAAAAGTATTAAAGACACGGAAAATCAAATTAGATGTTCATATGATGCATACTCCCAGCTTTAATTTAATATCAAGATTTTTAAAAACGGATAAACGGGACGCTCAGGATGTCATTTCTCCCGCATCGCCTTTGATGAGTTTCCCGGTCAGTTACTTGTAAAAAATCAAATTTTTTAATCAAGTTTGCAACTTTGGAATGGAATGGACATGTTGCATGTGTGAGGAATTTGCAATTTGACTGTTGATTCTTACGTAAAAGTTCGCGAGAAACACGATGGTGCCACTGATATTCTCTGAAATCAACTCCCAAGCTCAAAAAAAGATCTTAAGTTGAGGCCAAAATGGAGGGAATATCCCACCCTACCCTGAGAGTCCACCTCTACATCATGACAAACTCTCCATGCAAAGATAGGGAGCAAATACATTGACAGGGCTGCCACTTTATTTGGGGACTCCAAAACTGAAAACACGGCAACCCTGCTAATGTATTTGCTCCCTATCTTTGCATGGAGAGTTTGTCTTGATGTAGATGTGGCCTCTCAGGGTAGGGTGGGATATCCCCTCCATTTTGGCCTCAACTTGAGAGCTTTTTTTGAGCTTGGGAATTGATTTCGGAGAAAACCAGGGGCATCATCGTGTTTCTCGCGAACTTTTACATAAGAATCAACAGTCAAATCGCAAATGGGCCTGTTGCAAACTTTTGCTAGAGCAAAAATAAGAGTTGTTTCTTGTAGATAATGCCTCAAAAATCACGATGAGCGCATCGGCAAAGTCTGAAATGCACTCATAACTTCACAATCTGCGTAAGAAATTTGCGTTTTTTAAGCTTCCCGCTTCAAAAACGATACTACGGCGTAGGTGAACATTTTGTTAGAGGAGTCGCTCCATCGTCGGCGATATTCATCATGGCCGACGCTTGCACGCAGTTCCGCGCGTAATTCAAGGAGAGTTCAAGGTCAATCCATTCGGGCGTGGAAAATATGAACGTTAACACACGCCGATTGTTATCTGGTCTAATCCAGTTCAGGTGTTATCTCGTCCCATCAAACGTGTTTTGGCGGATTGGCGTCGGCCATGATGAGTATTGCCGACGATGGAACGACTCCTCTTACAAAATGTTCACCTGTGCCGTAGTATCGTTTTTGAAGCGGGAAGCTCAAAAAACCGCAAATTTCTTACGCAGATTGTGAAGTTATGAGTGCATTTCAGAGTTTGCCGATGCGCTCATCGTGATTTTTGAGGCATTATCTATAAGAAACAACTCTTAGTTTTGCTCTAGCAAAAGTTTGCAACAGGCCCATTCCTCACACATGCAACATCTCCATTACGTTCCCTGGTAAAAATTGGCGATGGGAGCTGCGTTTCAAAATACCATAGGAATTCTTATAGCCGACTAAAGAAAGGCTATTGCAAATCATATAGCTAGCTGTAGAAAGCTGAGCGAATCATATAGCCGGGCTATACGAAGCTATAAAAAAGTATACAGACGGGCTATAGTTCCTATTGCCGGGCTTTAGCCTTTATCGCCATTGGCTATAAAAGGCTATAAGAAATTGTGTAGAAATTCGTGTGCTTTGAAAATCATTAAGTTTGATACGAAACTACTTTAATATTTACAAAACACACATAATATTTTCCTTTAAAACATATTTTTTTTCATCAATTAAAATGAGAATAGTCCATACAGAGTGTGCAAACATTTCAAAATCATGAGTTGAAAAACGCTGACTCCACGAGATTAAATATTAGAGCCTAACACAAAGCGGAGCGGCGACGCACTGACGCCTACAAACCTAACAGGGATACTTCACGCATTGCGCAATGCGTGAAGTATCCCTGTTAGGTTTGTAGGCGCCAATGCGCGTTTTGAGCTCTCTGCCCGCCCGCCCCGCCGCAGCGTGCCACGGCGTCTGAAGCAACTATTTCACACCAGAGGTATTGCACAGTGTCATAAGAAATTGAAGGCGCTCCAACATATTAAGAATGACAGTCATCCTTCAAAAGTACGGAGCTTTCCTCGCAAAATAAATCAAGATACTGCGGCACATAAAGAGAGCGGTAGTTCAAAAACTAACTAAAACCTAGTAACTAGTATCCGTATTTAGTAACGTTTAGCATAAACTTTATCGTCTGGCTGTTACTGAATCTCCATCGGCTATAAAAGGCTATAAGAAATTGTACAGCCGGCTATACAGAAGCTATTGGAAACCTTACAGCCGGCTTTAGGTCTATGGTATTTTGGAACACATATTCTACTGCCAATTTTTACCAGGGTTCCGAGAAACGCATCTGAATGAAATCCAATTTTTAAGGACCAATAGAAAGAGTCCCACGTACCAGAATCTGAAAAATTCATCGGGATCTCAAAACGATAATTCAATTTACAGCAATTGTATTCCTTTTGATTTCAACAAAAGGAGTTCCCTCAATCAGCAGGTTGTCAACACGTACAACACTTTTTAAAGTTTTATTGTGTCAGTATCTGGGGTCATGGAAGTATTGAATCCCTCAAGTCTAAATTCATAAAGCTTTATCGTAAGGTTATGGATTGATCGATTTAAATCGACCGGAAAATGAAAACGTGAACCAATCGACAGTGATTTTATCGACAAATTATAAAAACAGGCGTTGATTCGATCGATAAGCACACTTTTGAATTGATCGACAACTTTTTAAAAAACAAGCGTTGACTCGATCGACACCCTGGTAAAAATTGGCGACAGGAGCTGCGTTTCAAAATACCATAGGAGTTCTTATAGCCGACTAAAAAGGGCTATTGAAAATCATATAGCTGGCTGTAGAAAGCGGAGCAAATCATATAGCCGGGCTGTACGAAGCTATAAGAAAGTATACATTCGGGCTATAGTTCCTATCCCCGGGCTTTACACTTTATCGCCATTGGCTATAAAAGGCTAAGAAATTGTGTAGACATTCGTGTGCTTTGGAAATCATTAAGTTTGATACGGAACTACCTTAATATTTACAAAACACACATTATATTTTCCTTATAAAACATATTTTTTTTTTCATCAATTAAAATGAGAATAGTCCATTCAGAGTGTGCAAACATTTCAAAATCATCACAAATCACAATCACAAAGCGGAGCGGCGACGCACTGGCGCCTACAAACCTAACAGGGATACTTCACGCATTGCAGGATGCGTGAAGTATCCCTGTTAGGTTTGTAGGCGCCAATGCGCGTTTCGCGCTCTCTGCCCGCCCGCCGCGCCGCGCCACAGCGTTCCACGGCGTTTGAAGCAACTAATTTACACCCAGGCCCGCCACAAGGGGGGGGGGGTACTGGGTCCTTGGTACCGGGGCCCGGGCCCTGGAGGGGCCCGTGACGCAGGTGACAAACTACTACGAATTCATGTGTAACCCTTGTCTCGTAGGAAAAGTGAAAAAATTACCCTAAAAATTCCGCAAAAGGTGAATAAAGTTTCAAAAACACACTAGGGCACCATAAAATTTTTCTTACTTTTTTAGAGATTTCTATCTATTTTCAAAATTTTGAGTAGGTATAAATAGAATGATATTTTTCGTAACTGCGTTTCATTTTCTTCCGTTGTCGGATGCTTAGAGGCTCCTATCTGGGCATCCTCGACTTCAATTGCTCAACTCCCTCGCCATAGACGTACGAAAGGGGAGTCCAGGGGGGCCCGGCTCCCCCTAGAATTGAAAAGTATCATCTGCCCCCCTCAAAAAAAATGTATAGATGTTTTGAATGCAACAATTCGAAAGTATTTGGTGCTGAAAGTAAAAAAAGGCGTAATTATTCTGCAGAAATTGATGGAAAATCTCCATCATAAGAGCTTCAAAATGCGTCCAAATACATTTAAAATTTCAAAAATTTCCCGAGGGAGGCTCCCCGGATCCCCCCTCTGCGCTAGGGGCCCGGGCCAGAAAACTGGTACCAGGGCCCGAGATGAGATGTGGCGAGCCTGTTTACACCAGAGGTATTGCACATTATCATAAAAAATTGAAGGCGCTCCAACATATTAAGAATGACAGGCATCCTTCAAAAGTACGGAGCTTTCCTCGCAAAATAAATCAAGATACCACGGCACAAAAAGAGAGCGGTAGTCCAAAAACTCACTAAGTCCTAGTATCCGTATTTAGTAACGTTTGGCATAAACTGTATCGTCTGGCTGTTGCTTAATCGCCATCGGCTGTAAAAGGCTATAAGAAATTGTACAGCCGGCTACAGAAGCTATTGGAAATCTTACAGCCGGCTTTAAGTCTATGGTAATTTGGAACACAGATTCTACTGCCAATTTTTACCAGGGCGACGAATCGTAAGCGCTCGTAACTTGTTCCGAAGTTGATTTTTGGACTTCTCGATGTGCGGCTAGAGGCCCAGTGAATGTCCTTAATTTGGCATAATATACATGCAGACAGCTTTTTCTCGAAACAACGTTTTTTAAGCTATGAGTATCAAAATGCCACGACGTTTAGGTTGAAGGTACACTCAACTGAAGGTACGAAAAAAGTGTGCCCCTCTCGTTCGGCAACAATGGGAAAATAGGCCACTGAATGACGTCACGCAATTTTACCGTCCTTGATGCACAGTTCAAATCGGCTGCTCCGCGCGGGAATGTCTCTGAAATACGACGCATTTCATTTAATTCAACTTAATGAAACTTCCACTGTACAATTAAACGGTATTAATTGAACCCCACAATTTATGAGAAAAAAACTTTCGGGAAAAAATTCCCACATTTCGAAACATAATTAAAACGACCGTTTTCAAAATTGCAGAGCCGTGCAATTGGACGTTATGTCTTAAATACACGATTTGGACATTTTTTAAAATTCCGATTGTCTGTGCCTTTCGAAGAGTATACCGTGGGTACCGATGTACCGTTTGACTACCTTGAGCGGTTACACAACAAGAAAAAGTAATCAAGAAGTTGTGTTAACATGGAAAGTAGGGCAAATAATAACAAGCACTCTCCGTCGATTCCTTTCGGCCAGTTTTTCGTACGGAAAAATTGACAAAATATATCGTTCAAGTTAACCAAATCTATTGGTAGAAAGTGTCCAAATCCATGTAAACTGATCACGACAGTTTAGGTTGCCCTTAGTAGATAAACCAGTATGATAACCACTCGCTGGTCGCTACCGGTAATCGAGATATAGGAAAATCTAAGCACGGTGGGTCAGCAGGACTTTCTCTTACCCTGGAGGGGTAAGAGAAACTCGTTACCCCAAAACTTCCGGATTTGGTTGATAGAACCAAGAATTTCTTTAATAAAAAAAATCGTCGTGGTTGAGCTAATTGGAAAGAAATTCAATCAACAGTAACCAATAACACTGACTGCCTATTCTTCAGTAATTCATGTAACTTTGGTGAGGGCATCAATTATATTAAATAAAACAAAGAACATAATATGAACATAATTGGTCATGGGATATGTTCCTCGGAATTATTATATGGCCGGTCTGATGTATAAAAATTCTAAATCACGTAGAATTATTATTAATAAATGAGTATTATCAACAATACCTATAGAAACAACCACCTACATGATTTTTCCTATGTATGGGAGACTCCCATATACCCCTTCCAATCAATATTCTAGGCGGATTTGTATATTTTAAAACAATATTAAATTAATTAAGTATTTAAATGAGTATTAAAGTTAAGTTATATTTACATATGCATAGGATCTTTATATTTTATTGACCAAGACCTCTTCAAACTGGTGAAAATTTTCAATTGTGATACCTATCCCAAAAGTTTTGTAGACCACCCCTCTATACTTTGATATCGGTTACTAAATTTTCCATCACTCGTAACATTGAAGATTTGATCGTATTCGAAGGTTGTTCGATGTATCGTTTGGCTCAAAACAATAGGGCTTAACTTCAAACAAAAATTGTATGATTTAAGAGGGAAAAGCCTAAAATGAGAAAATTCCTAACAATTCCACTTTTCATTGGCATGAGAATAAAAAATCCATCACAAGAAATCCGTTCCCTCAGATTACACAATTAACTTTTGAGGCTATGTTACAATAATTGTTACATGTTGAACCAACCGATATCGATACAATCTCGCCTGTTTGATGTATCGAATACGATCCATGTCGATAGCACCCCGATCTCTTGATTGCATTCGTGCAAAAATTAGACAGACAGTGAAAAAAACGGCAACCTGACATGTTAAAAACCTATTTTCCACTCGTTGGACGCGTGAGTGTAGACAGCTAGAAACATTCGTTTTTTCCAAAATCACGGAAAAAAACCCAGAAAACAATACTTCCTCTACGCGCAATAGGAGCGCGGAAGTAAAAATCTACCGAGCCGAAAATGAAGGACATAAGTACTCGAGCTGCCTCACTGTACAATTCGTCGTCTACCTGACATAAAGGCGTAGCTACACTCTGCAATGAGCCCTGTCTACCATACAATTCAATGCTTTTTCGGGCTCACCTCAATGTGTAGTTACGCTCTTATGTCAGCCAAGCGACGAATTATTAGTAAAACTAGAAAAACTCCAATTGCAGCGCGTGACATAGCAAGCTCGAAAATAGCACACACAGTTCGTTGCCGTTATTCTTAGTCAATCTGCGATCTGTGAGTCGAGAGGAGTACTAGTTGTGTTTGTTGGGACCGTAGGCAGCTAGTGGTAAATGTTATTGAGTATCCTGCAGAATTTTGTCCAAAATATTAAATTTATTCCTCATATTGCCTCACTTAGGTATGTAACAAGACTCTTGGTCTTCATTTTGCAATTTTGCAATACGGATATTTCCGGCTTATTTTAGAAATAACATATCGATGCTCTAAGTGCTCTCCGTTCGTGACACTGCAAACTTCCTATTCTACTTTATATTTTCTACGGCAAAATGTCAACGTAATTTCTTGAAAACTTCCTTGACTTTTCCTCTCTGTTAGCAGAATATTCTATATTTCAAGCTGTAAAGGTGGACTCTCAGGATAGCGTGGGAAATCCCCTACATTTTGGCCTCAACTTGATAGCTTTTTTTGAGCTTGGGAGTTGATTTCAAAGAAAACCAGTGGCACCATCGTGTTTCTCGCTAACTTTTACTTAAAAAGCAACGGTCAAATCGCAAATTCCTCACACATGCAACATCTCCACTCTTCATAGTATGCGTGTTCTGATATATCTTTTAAATAATTATTTTTCTTATATTTTATTTTTCATGAACTTTTGCACCCTGTGCTACAATGCTACATACAGTTTCTTTTTCTCGTCTAGTTTGTTCGTCTGACCCGATACCGTCGGATCTGGATCCAATCACTCTAGATTCGTACAGTTGTGACAATCATTGCAACTCCTTGTGGGGCAGGGTACCCCTGTTCAACATCCCATGGACACGCGGGAGGCGCGACAAAGACGATTGTGTCTGCGGTTTCAACGGCATAGGCTTGGATCAATTTATGACCTACCAATGCGTTCAGCAGTCTATTTGGATGCCGTTCAGGAGCAAGCGAAAAGTAGCCGCAAGAGGAATTCAGGTACCGATGCTTAGTCAAAAATGTCCGTGTTTTGGGTCACATTTTAATGTCAAATTTGGTTGGCTAATGCTACATAGAACACTGGGGGTTATGTCCCCCCCTGGCCGCTTCGCGGCCCAACCCCAAGAGGGCGCTTCGCGCTCTCTTAGGCCCGCGTCAACAACAGAATAACCAAAAAAAAAAATTGAAAAATCATCATACCCGACTCTCATTTGTCCAATCTCCCTCTTTCCGGGAGCGATTGGTACTAAGCGATTGGTATGGACCAATAAGAATCGAATGAAAAAATTGGCATTAATTTCAAACTGCATGCCAAGACTGAAACAAAATGGAATAGAGGGCTTCGTCGCTTTTGGATGTATAGTATGCAGCAAAGGAGCATATCTTCGATTCACTTACCCTAGGTACTTATAGACGAAGATTCAACATTTCCCGCTTAGTTCAATTTTCCGCTAAATGTGAAATTTCCGCCATTTTTTATTGGCGGGAATTTCAAATTTTGCCCCCCTTTCTAAGCTCCCTAGTCTACTCTTATAACCTGAAAAACCTCTCAAAAAAACCTGGGTCCTATTTCCAAAATCTGATTAGAATGGGTTCATCTAGGGACTATCGCCTGTCGATGACCGCAAAAATCATGGAAATCGGTCCAGGAGAACGCTCAAACGAACTATGACAAAATATAAAAATTGACATTGTTTAAATTGGAGAATTCGCAACTTTACCTCGTAATATAAAAAAACTTGGGTCATATTTTCAAAATCTGAATAAAGTGGGCACATTTAGAGATAATTGCCTGTCGATAGTCGCAAAAATCATGAAAATCGGCTCGGTAGAACGCTGGAACTAACAAGGGGAGTCGACGAGTGACATCCTGGGATTGGGTTCATTTTGCTTGTACATGAAGGAGAGACAGATTTAAGGTTCGCGTATTTTTTTTTAGCCGCCACCTCCCAACCGTTTTCGAGAAATCGATTTTTAAAGTTACGATTTTTGCACGTTTCCGCGCGGAGTCTCGGCGAGTCAACTGATTGTAAAACGTTACCAGATATGCAAAAGGAGGTCTCGGAACTTACAGTATAGATGGTGATTGATTTAAAAAGAAATATTGAGCTACAAGCCAAAAATAAATTAGACAGTAATATTTCAAACTACATAGAGATGAGAAATAATAAAAAAACTTACACGAGACAAAGCAAACATTCAGGAAAACAACTGCATGGTCGTCCCTAGTGTTGTACCAAACAGCACTTCTCTTTGAGGGAATAATTGTGCTCATAAGAGCCATTTCCCTCTGGATTGAGATTTTCACTCCGAAAAAAATGTAAAGTTGTTTTAACATTCTGGATGTGAAAAAGTGTGAGAGAACTTATAAACTGCTAAATTACCCGCTACAGTAGTCAATTCAACAATGTGAAGATGTAAAACTAACTGCCTCGGCGGGTTATTCAGCAGTTTATAAGTTCTCGCACACTTTCTTTACATCCAGAATGTTCAATCAACTTCACTTTTTTTTCGGTGCAGCTTTAGGCAGATTTTTAACTCATGTTGGCTACGTCACCAACTTTTTCTGTCTAAATTTTGAATATGCACATGGGAAAATTGGGAAAATGAGTGCTTCGATTTACAACATTATTGTTAGTTATTCATTCTCTTTTTATTGCCAGGCGCAAGTTGGCCGGATGGATGCACGGCAACGATTCGAAGTTTTCAAAGCGGTCAACAACAGAAGGTACGCCTCGCGCGAGGAGGAAACGAGGCGATTCCAGATCTTCCAGCAGAACTTGGCCACGATCGACACGCTCATGGCTCAGCCGCAAGGGTCTGTCACTTTCGGCGTCAACGCATTTTCGGACTATACAAGTGAGTGCGACCTCGTATTACTGCTAGAGTACCTATATTGAGAAAGTATGGCCACTGTGCCCCGCATGGAGAGGCTTAGGACCCAAAAATGGCGGTGCGTTGTTTTGGTTTTTGTGGAAGGGAGAGGGGTCATTGCCAACTTTCGACGGTTTTCACCAACCGCACTTGCTGCCAACCTTACTACATCTAAAATAATTTTTCTCAATAATTGCACACGATTAGCCTTAAAAATATGTAAAGAAGTCGCAATAGTGCATTTGGGTAAATTTCTCGTTACGATAAGCGAAGAAAACTACATTTTGAGTCATTTTGCATCACATTAATTTATGGCGTCCGCCATTTTTGGGTCCTAAGGGCTCCATTTAACCCAATGGCTGAGCCAATCAGAGGTGGTAACACCAGTGGCCGTACTCTCTCAATATAGGTACTCTAATTACTGCCAAACGGAACTGTGTGCATTAAGACATGACCGTGAGACCCATTAGAATATATGCATGATAGGGCTCACTCCCTTTCAATGCATTTGCTCCCTACATCTTCGCATGGAGATTTTGACTGAGCATAGGGGTGGAATCTTCTATAACGGGGGCGATTCTTTCCACTATGCACATTAAGTTATGAGCCCTGAGATCCATAAGAATACATGCATGACAGGGCTTATGCCCTCTTTGTGTATTTTCTCCCTATCTTTGCATGGAGATTTGGACTGAACATAGAGGTGGAATCTTCTATAACGAGGGCGATTCCTTCCACTATGTGCAATAAGACATGAGCCCCAAGACCCATAAGAATATATGCATAACAGGTCTCGCGCCATTATGCACATAGTTTCGTTTGGCATAAATACGTCCAACTACTTTCCGACTTTGCAGATTATCTTTCATTGCAACTATTAGAAAAGTTAAACAGTTTGACGTCAGACTGACAAGATTGTTCTTGTTCCAGAAAGCAGTCTACATCAGTCTGAGTGCTCAGGCGTCACACTGAAACAATGACGTTAGTCCGATAACAGATTAAATCTCTCTCTATTTTCAGTCAATCTATCAACAAGCACGGAGAGCGAGTATATATTAGCAGGGTGCCACTTTTCCCGAGAACTCTCTAATAGAGGCGTTGGGTGCAGAAACGGCATTCTCTAGTTGCGGTGTCCCAGAATCTCCATGGTGCTAATTTTTATTTTAGGGAGGAAACTATTGGGTAAATTTTCTGAAATTTTACGTTTCTGGCTCTGTAAAATCATGAAGAGCATTCAGTAAAAGTAACGACAAATTACGCAATTCGCTTTAATTATAATAATTGAAGCGTCAGTAGAGACTTTAGGAAGCTGCAACCAAGAAATGAACGTATTTCTGCCAAACGGAACTATGTGCATCATGACGTGAGCCCTGTTCTGCCGTGCGAAGCAAAAACGCTGTAAATCCATCAAGATTTCCCCGTGTTTTTTGGAACTTAACACTTCACAAATAAAAACGGGTTTACCCATGCATGCACCTCAAATATCTAGGTTAAGTTCTTGATAATATTTGCAAAAGAATTCTGTAAAAACATTGTCCCGGGGTACACACGTTTCTCTGCTTTGATACATCGTTTTCGAAAAACTTGAAATGGCGTTTACGGCGTTTTTCCGTTGCACGGCAGTGTTATCTATGCATGTACTCTTTTGGGTCTCAGGACTCAAGTTTTAATGCACATAGTTCCGTTTGGCAAAAATACGTCCAAATGCCCTTTCTGTACCCAGTGCTTCAATGGACCACAAGACAAGGTACGAATTTAAGCAATCTGATACATGTTTCTTAACCAGAATTTCACGTAGAACACGATTCACACTACGAAAATTACCAGAATCAACTTCTAACGAAGATATTAACGTTTTTATTTCGCACTGATTACGAGGAATTTGAACTGCCCGCTCACAAGAAACTCAAAGCTCTACGTGAGTCAAATCGCCCACTACAACGGTTTCAGCAAGCTTCTCAATCGAGCAATGCTCATTTTCCACCATGTGTTGTTCAAACTATTGGTAATTTGCTATAGCTGAGCCAAAGTGTCAAGATTGAAGTTGAAGATTTTTACATCGCAGAGACTGTCATGATAAACATTTATTGCGCGATGTGAATCACGTAGAGCATTGAGTTTGCATGAGCGGGTGGTTTGAATTCACGCATCAAGAATCATTAAATATCTTCGTCAGGAGTTGATTTTGGTAATTTTCGTTGTGCGTATCGTGTTCTACGTGAAATTTTGGTTGAGAAACATGTATCAGAATGCTGAAATTTGTACCTTGTCTAGTGGTCCATTGCAACTACGCTAACCCTTTTAATGTACAGGGTGAGCGAAAGTCCCTGACCTCCCCTCTAACTTTTAAACGCATGCACGTATCAAAACAAAATTTTGGGGATGTTTCTAGATCTATAAGAACTACCCTTTGGCACATCAAAAATTGGCGGGGGGGGGGGGGTGCCCCTCTTGCAAGGGGCGCACACTAACTCGAGATTTTCAAATGGTAGCCCCCCCTTTCGTGATACATCATTGGAAAGGTAATAAAATAAGAAACTTTTTGGCGCAAATCGGAGGTCGCCACAACATTTTTACTCGAGTTATCTTTGGGCACAGTTAAAAATATGCGTATTTTCAAAAAATCATTGGTCCGGTTTAGGAAGGTGCAGAAGGCCAATCAAGGCGGCAAAATTCTCGGCATTTTATGTACTCTCAGGAAAAAAATCGTCAAAAACCTTATCGTTTACGCCTAGAGTGATTTTTGCCCCTCTCCCGCAATTAACTGTGTTTCTTGCGGGAGGCGGGATTTTTAAGGGGTCAATTAACACGGTTATTACTATTTATCTATAATTTTCATTTTTGGCACTTGAGCCCTTTTGTAACTGACCTTCAATTGCTTTCCCTGAAGGCGTTGTGGTTCTGGGGTGCAAGAGCTCTTTCGTTCATGCAGACTGATTGACTAAGTTTCTACCGTGCGTGTTGTTTTTTGTGCACGCATGTCTCGTGTGGCTTCCAATTAATTATATGTATACTTGTATATTGTGCACAAACGAGAGGAGGAAATTCACACCAACTTTCGCAATCTTTTTTAAAAAAGAAAGATTTTTAAAGTATCGGAGCGTCGCGTAAATATTTTTTCTTTCAACGAATCTGCTATGGTATTGATACTCGATTTCATCCATTTGGAAAAAAGACACGGAAAAATAAAAAACCGAATCATACACGCACGATGGAACTTGCTCAATATGTTTCAGCGAAATTTGATCATTCACAGTTCTTTGAATCATTACCATTATTTTGCCTTGAGTTAAGCAACGAACAGACAGTGTTGCAAGGTTTGTTCATATGTTATTGCATGGTGGAATTTGTCAGCAAAAGCAATCGAAAAAGTTCCGTCGGCAGAAAACGAGAGTTTAATTTAGATTTTGTTCCCAGGCCAACCACCCAATGTGCATACAATTGAATTTTGGGTGAATTCGATTAACCCGACGTTTTAAAAGTCAGTACATTTTGGAAACTTTTAATTTCTTCGAAACAATTAAATAGTTTTAATAAGAACTAGGAGGCTCCGCCCCCTGGCCGCTACGCGGCGCAACCCCGACCGTCTCCGAAGGGCCGCTTCATACTCTTCTTACTCCCCCTCCTCACCCCGTCAATCGAGCATCTTAAAAATAATTTTTTTTTGCGTTTTCCCAATTACGGACCTTGAACTCCAGCCCATCGACCGTTTTACTCCCCTTCCTTACCATGTCCATCGAGCTTTTTAAAAATGATTTCATTAGAATAGAGAGTATTTCCGCAAAAACCTTCATTTTCATAAAATCGCAAAAGTTCGATGGTCAAAGAAAAACTTTATTGCAATTGATTCGTGTCGTGTGAAAACCACCAATGTCCATTTTTCCAGTCTTGAGTTTTTTTTGGGTTGATAATACTTTCCAGAGTTAACTGCAACTAGAGTCCCTTTATACTGAGAGTCAAGACAACACCCCCTCGTGGAGTCACAAACGGCAATAAGGATTACACAAATGTTGAACGTTTTTCGTAATCTTTGATCAGCCCATTCTTTCCTCCGTTCCTTCTCTCATTCCGTTTGTTCCTTCCCGAACCCGTAATTCCTCGGTCCATTCCAGATTATAATCTTTGCAATCGGTGAAAATGTAATCTTTATTCCCGTTTGTGACACTGCGAAGGCCTAAAGCACGGGAACCAATCAGAAATGGATTCACATTGTCGTGACTCTCAGTATAAAGGGACTCTAACTGCAACCATGGAAGTGCTGTCAGTACTTGATTTAGGGTTTTCCTCTTCCCAAAACAAGTATTGGCCCCACTTTCATGGTTGTACCAACTCTCGAAAAGCACTATCGATATAAAATAATTGAAAGCTGAAAACATAGACATTCGCGGTTTTCGCATGGCACGATTCAATTTTAACATTAGAGTTCAAGTTGAATGTAAAAAATACAATATTTAAACATTCATAAGATTAACAGTCAATATTTTTATACTGGCAACAAAAAACATGATCGAAGATTTATAACGTTGCAAACGAATATGCGCATTTTGCGACTTTACCCAACAATATGGGGCCTTCCTAGGAACAGAAGTTGGTTAAAAAACGAACATGAAACGGCCCTAAGTGATTTCAACGGAAAACACGAGCCTTGCACGCCGCACATGCATCAATTAGTCCGCACCTACAAATAATTTTTTTACCCTATTTGACTAACGTCATATCCTGACAAGTGTTCTGTGAAACACGAAAAACGACGTAAGGACATTTCGATGTTGTCCGATGTTTTTCCGATTGAATACGGATTCTTGGGAAAACTAAGCATAATTTTCTCCAACTTCCTTCTCAGAGATAATTTTTGTATCGCAAGAAGTTTGGCAACATTCGAATATTCATGCGACGTTTATTTTCAATACGTCGGTTTTTTTAACGTGAGTGCTAACCTTGAGCTACCATGATGTCAGGATGGGAGAGGATGTTTTTAACGTGAATTTTTTACTTTTTCCGAAAGTATGGACTTTGACCCCATTAGGATGGCGCACTTGCATTTTCAAAAAAAAAATAAGGATGGTTACAAACGCAAGGTTGCCAATGTACGAAGCACGTCGAACAGCAGCCATTCTTGTCGGATGAAGCGCGCCGAATACTAAACGAATCCAAGGATGCAACTATTCGCACTCAAAGGAAGTCCATGTTGCATACGCAGGGAATTGAAGGAGTTTTGTATTTCCAAGCGCTCACAGCCACAGCTTCACCGATGCGATGTGGTAAGAATCCAAAAAGACAGAACACCTTCAATTCTTTGCTTATACTACCAGGACATCCCTTAAGTACGAATAGTTGTATACAGTTGTGTACAGTTGTAATGTGGGCAGCTCCTCGAGCAGTAAGATAAGTTTTTACCGGTTTGTAATCATTCAAATTGGTAGAATACGTCTCCAAAGCTCCCTGATGGTCTTTGGGAACATAGGGCGCCGTAAAAGTGGCTGTTACGGATGTAGATATGTAGAAAACGGCAAAGAAGATGTTGCATGTGTGAGGAATTTGCAATTTGACTATTGATTCTTATGTAAAAGTTCACGAGAAACACGATGGTGCCACTGGTTTTCCCTGAAATCAGCTGCCAAGCTCCAAAAAATGCTCTCAAAGTTGAGAGCGTAATGGAGGGGACATCGACGCTATCCTGAGAATCCACCTCTACATCAAGACAAGCTCTCCATGCAAAGATACGGAGCAAATACATTGACAGGGCTGCAACTTTATTTGAGGACTCTAAAACTGAAAACACGGCAGCCCTGCTAATGTATATCTTTGCATGGAGAGTTTGTTTTGATGTAGAAAAGGACTCTCAGGATAGCGTGAGATATCCTCTCCATTACAGCCTCAACTTTGAGAGCAGTTTTTGAGCTTGGGAGTTGATTTCAGAGATAATCAGTGGGGCCATCGTGTTTCTCGCGAACTTTTACATAAGAATCAATAGTCAAATCTCAAATTCCTCACTCATTGTCCTCCAAAACCCTCAGTTTAGGATTGAATTTTACATATGATTTCGCCCATGACGTCAGAATAGATATAAAGAGAGACCGTCTAGTGGCCTCTCTAGCTACAGTTGGATACTTTTATTTTCGGCAATTCAGCACTTCCTAATTAAATATTTTAAAGGTACAACAGTCATTACCCTTTTTTCAACTGTTGACCTACCTGGCATAACAAATGAAGCGAAAGTATGTTCTACCTCTGTTCAAGCTTTCAAAATCGACCAATCGCTCAGTCATGTCCTTCAATCTTTGCGAGAAGTTTGAAACAGAGTTGAAACTCTGCAAAATTTGCTTTTCATTGGTCCGCGATTTCGCTAGGGCTACATGTGCTAAATTTTTTCTCCACGTGAATGATTCAGCTGTTTTCAATTCGCCTTTAACTCTGTCAGCAGCAATTGTTGTTACGAATATGTTGTGTGTTCTTATTTTAGTTCATTACATACTCGACTCTCTGAAGGCGTTGCATGTGCGCAAATAGCGCACTCTGTTGGAGAACAAAGGAAGTACGGCTATGAATTAAGCAATTTATTTGATATTCACTTCTATAGTTCTTCAACAGAATGCGTTATTTGCACTTACGAAACACCTTCAGAGAGTTGAGTATGTAATCAGCTGAAATTAGCACGCACAGCATATTCGTAACAACATTTGCTGCAGACGCAGTTAAGGACGCAGCCGTATAGTTCACGTTGAAAACCATTTTAGATCTTAAATTAGTATTGTTCCTGAAGGAGTGTTGTATTTTACGTTCTTTTGACAGGAGATTCTCGAAGAAGTTTTCATGAAGTCTTAAAGCAGTTTTAATGAAAAATAAAATATACCGCGCCAAAAAAATGTCCAGTCGAATTTTCTGGTTTTTCAGAGACTGAAACAGCGCCGAAATAACTGCGCTTTTTGTCAGTTTTTGGTGGTTGTGTTAGAATAACCTACCTTGGTGTTTGCGGTTAAGGGGGTTTTCAGGAAGTTCTCAAAATAGCATTATAAAAAAGGCATTTTTTGCCAACCTTAAGTCGAAATCAGCATTATAACCTAGAAAGGGATTACATTGATTTACCGCCACAAAAAATACAAGATACGGAAGAAAAAATTAAGGTTCGTAACTTGCAAGTAGAAGCTTCAAACTGTCCGCTCGTTCAAAGACTATGATCGAAAGTGTCAGCATTGAAAAATAATACCTATATACATTTGGCAAGTAACTGGAACACGGTTTCATGCACATTTTCTTCCTCTAAAACTAAGGTCTACCCATTGGTGCTGTACCTAGGTACTATATCTAAGGTAGTACATGAGTAATACTACTTATATGGGTATTCTAATACTAGAATACCCATTTGGGGAGAGTAAAGACATGTCGAAATATCAGAGACAAAAGACTCTCCACTGGCTTCATGGCGACAGGTGGAAACTTTTACGTCGGGTATTCAACAGTACCTTATGGACAATTATAAGGGAGCAACAGCCATCACCCTTCTTTTGGCTTTTGATCTACCAACATGAGCTTCGGGCGACGGCATGAGCAAAACTTCGGTTTGTTTGCATTGCTCAACCCAACACGTAGCTCAACATCCACCTAGTAGGTAAGTTAACTGTCGAATGTTGGAGTCCTGCAGCCTGATTGTTGAAGCATTAAAAAGTTATGTCGGCAAGATAAGACAGGACAAAGCCCTATCTGCGCCGTGAAATACATCAATTGGACTGCACTTTGCAATTTGGAACTATAAATTCTGGCTCCTCTGGAAAAACACTTATGTACATAAGGAAACTAATGGCACGTACGTTGTTTTTATACAGGGCTAGAATTTACAGTTCCAAATTGCAAAATGTGGTTCAATTTTCGATTCTTGTCGTGCCGACATAAATTTCAACAATCAGGCCTCTGAGAGCAAAATCTTCCACCATTGCCAAAGTAGCAATGGACCACTAGACAAGGTACGAATTTAAACATTTTGATACATGTTTCTTAACCAGAATTTCACGTAGAACACAATTCGCGCAACGAAAATTACTGAAACCAACTTCTGACGGAGATATCAACGTTTTTATTTCACATTGGTTACGAGGAATTTGAACTGCCCGCTCACAAGAAACTCAAAGCTCTACGAGAGTCAAATCGCGCTCTACAACGATTTCAGCAAGCTTCTGAATGGAGCAATGTTCATTTCCCACCATGTGATGTTCGAACTATTAGCAATTTGCTATAGCTGAGCCAGAGCGTCAAGAGTGAGGTCGCCAGATTTTTATATCGCAAAGACTGTCATGATAACGTTTAGCGCGCCATTGGAATCACGTAGAGCATTGAGTTTCCATGAGCGGGTGGTTTGAATTCAAGCACTAAGAATTATTAAATCTCTTTGGCAGGAGTTGATTTTGGTAATTTTCGTTGTGCGCATCGTGTTCTACGTAAAATTTTGCCAAGAATCATGTATCAGAATGCTGAAATTCGTACCTTGTCTAGTGGTCCATTGCTCTCTGCCTCTATGCCAGAATAACAATGAGCTTGAAACTCTAATGTAGGCGAGGAGTTCAACGCACTCATTGGGGTGGTTAAGATAAACCCAAGAGGACCCGAAAGCAGCACCAGTCTGAGGCCGCGGATGCTTGGGGGTTGGACAGGTTCCGGATCCACGAGCCGTTCTGGTAGGAGGAAGAAGAACGAAAGGAGTCGCTCTACGTCACCGCGCAGGGTGGAGCGCCACCCTAGCTTCGAGGACCGGAGCGGTTCTCTGCCCCCCTCGTGGAGACCGGCCCCCTACGAGACTTTGCACTACTACGGCCGCGAACCTGAGGGCCCCATCGTCAAGGATTGGCGTGTTCCTGCTCACCTGTATCCACCGGTTGAATCTCAAGTCAGTTTCGGTTGTATTACACTTCCTTCTTCATAGACAGAAAAAAATTTAAAAACAATAAATAAAAGAATTAAAAATAAAAAACAACCAAAAAATATAATAAAAACAAAAAATAAAAAAATACTAATGCACGATACAATTGCATGATATCAAAACCAGGCAGCCGGTTTGGTATGGACATGTGCGGAGAATGGCAGATAGTAGGTTGCCCAGAAAGGTATATTTGATTGGGTTCCTCCCGGAAGAAGGCGGCGTGGACGTCCAGTAAAAGGTTGGCGAGAGGGAGTGGAGGGGGGGATCAGACGGTGTAATCTGCCCGATGATTTGTGGGAGGATCGATTCCGATGGCGATTTGGAGTCGCAGAGCGCTCTAGTGCGCTGAGTTAGCGGCTTGATATGTATGTATGTAAAAAATACAAATACAAAATAAATAAATAAACACAAATAAAAAAACAATAAAATATATAAATTAAAAAGCAATAAAAATATTTAAAAAAATAAAAGTTAAAAAAAAATAAGAAAAGATCTTTAGGTACTTTTCATGATCCAGTTGCGCTACGGTCAATATAAATTGAAAATCAATAAAAAAAATTAAAAAAAAAAGTTAAAAAAAATTAAAAAAAAAAGTCTTCACTTTTCATGGTCCAGTTGCGCTATGGTCACAGAATCGTGTTTCAATGGTTTTAGCTGATACGAACTTACATTATCACACCTATGACGCAGTAATGATTCCAGCAAATTGGCAACATTGGTTGCTCTTCAATATAACTTATGGAAATAAATCGATTCTTAGAGAAGTCAGGTGTTTCGACAAGAATCGATCATTTAGCATGAGTTGAAACCGATGTTGCTAAATTACTGAATCCACCTCTGCTATGCCGTTAGAGTGTCTCCGTATATTACGTGCATAAATAAAGAAATACATTATTAATTCTAATTTCAGACCGCACATGGAAGAGAATGCGGCGCATGTTGGGCTTTCACGACAGCTGCTGTTGTTGAGATCCTCATGGCTAGAACACAAGGAAGGGTCACAATGCTCTCAAAACAAGGTAAGTCCACAAAACCACGCGCAATAGATATTAGATGAAAATGAATAGGTAAGTCCACAAAACCATGCATAATAGATATTAGGTGAAAATGAATAAATTTTACCTTAAAAGAGGCTATTTTGGCAAAAATCATTCTCGGAAGAAATATTGATTAGAATTTTGCTGCATATAGAATTGCAACGTTTCTGAGCTGCGATCTTTTTACCTCAAAAGTTGAATAGATTGACTCCCAAAATTCCTTCCAATCCATGTAAGAGGCCACCGTAAAAAACGCTGATAATTAGATCACGTTAAGCAAAAAGGAACCAAGCCACATCAGCTATTGGCAAATTTAACTGGACAATGTAATTGTATACAAGAGAACGTTTGTGAGGATTATTTTGAACATTTTCATAAATTTGCTTCGTACTACGCAGACAAGTTCATAAAATCAGCACAAAAATCCGCACGAGTGTTTTTGTGGAAAAAATTGAGTTGCCCAGTTAAATTTGGAAATAGCTGATATAGCTTGGTTCCTTTTTGCTTAACGCGGTTCAATTCACACTTGGTTGATCAAGACTCTTCTCTGCACCCATTCGTATATTATTTAGTCATTTCCTCTGTGAGGGTACGGAACTCCATTCCAAAGTTGCATAGTTGACTTAAAATATTCGAAATTTTACAAGAAAATGCCCGTGCAATGTTTGTCCAATTATCCTGACAATGGACCACTAGACAAGGTACGAATTTAAGCAATCTGATACATGTTTCCTAACCAGAATTTTACGTAAAACACAATTCGCACAACGAAAATTACTGAACCCAACTCCTAACTACGAAATTAACGTTTTTACTACACATTGGTTACGAGGAATTTGAACTGCCCGCTCACAAGAAACTCAAAGCTCTACGTGAGTCAAATCGCGCACTACAACGGTTTCAGCAAGCTTCTCAATCGAGCAATGATCATTTCCTACCATGTGTTGTTCAAACTATTAGCAATTTGCTGTAGCTGAGCCAGAGCGTCAAGAGTGAGGTTGCCAGATTTTTATATCGCAAAGACTGTCATGATAACGTTTAGCGCGCCATTGGAATCACGTAGAGCATTGAGTTTCCATGAGCGGGTGGTTTCAATTCACGCATCAAGAATCATTAAATATCGTTGTGAGGAGTTGATTTCGATAATTTCCATTGTGCGCATCGTGCTCTACGTGAAATTTTGGTTACGGATCATATATCAGAGTGCTGAAATTCGTACCTTGTCTAGTGGTCCATTGCAAAATACAGTCCAAATATCCCTCGCCGAAGAGCACTCAAAGATAAAGCGCCTTCATTTGCGCAACTATGCAAAATAGCACACCCACGCCGTAGGTATATTTTTAGTTTCCTCGAGCTTCGAATTCAAATTACCCAACAATTCGTGCACTTAATATCTATTGTACCTATCTTCACCTTTACCTATAACGAATTTACTTACGTCAGATTTTACGCAAGACAACGTAATAATACGAACGTAATGAAATGTACCGAGAGTAAAATATCAGGAAGCAGCCACTATAGAATCACTGAGGAATGGAAATCTCCATGTCTTAAAGTGCATGTTTTTCTAGATATCTTTGAAGAAAACAGCATTGCGTATTAGAAGTATGAAAGGAAAGAATAAAGTCTTATTCTTAAGATCCTGACAGGATAAATAAATAATTTTTAACGGAATTTTGCGAATGTGTTATACACCTGATGACGGAGCACGGCTCCGAGATGGCCATCGTGTAATTCGACGAAAATCCACTGATATGTAGAGGAAAAGTGTTCGAGGGTTAACCGTAATTGAACGGAGTTAAACAGAAAGGAACCAATCCACATCGGGATCGAACCGAGAAAAAGAGGTTTAAAGTTTGGCTCCTGCATAAGACTCAATGTAAAAGATAAACTTCAAGTTTGATTTCTGCAAAATTTAATCCAACAAAAACTTTAAATTTTTGCGATAGATAGCAGAGCAGTGGTTGAGTTCAAAACAACTCTTAGTTCAATTTTTTTCCAACATGTGGGTTGGTTCCTTTCTGCTTAACTCAGTCCAATTTTTCTTACGTGTAAATTTTTGCGTTTAGTCGTGCTATGGAACAGTTTGCACTGTGCGGATCGACAAATTCGATGAGTGAAACGGGTCAAATCGCCCATGCCTCCGGAAAAGGAACTATCCTAGACACTAGAAAAGGATGTTGCATGGAAACCTAGATTCACAATAGCGCAAGCTCTAGACATCGGAAACAGAATACATACGTTCACTCTGATTAACACGACCGCGGAACAATGGCGTTTATTGGTTTGCCTACCCCACTTCGCCGGCAGGGAGCACAAAAAAAGCCTTGTTCGACAGGGATTCGAAAATCGGGAGCGGAATGAAAATGTTTCGGAAGAAGACCGCGTAGCCACGAGCGGGGAGCATGTCCCTGGCGCCTTCTCTTCCTCTTCCTCNTCTAGTGGTCCATTGTATGCGATCAGAAGATGTAATTTTCAAACAGATACGTCCAAAAGTCTCCTGGTAAAAATACGATTTACGAGGGGCAATTTGACAACATTGAAATGTAGTTTCGTTCTTTCGTAAGGGAACCGAAGAATTTGGGGAATGTTGTAGCTCTAGTCGATTGCGTCCCTGAAAACCATGGCTGCGAAAGTGGGGACATCGAGGACGCGCTGTGGTACGTGCAAGGAACCGGGGTGCCCAAAGCGGACGATTATCCTTATCTGGCGAGGACCGGCGTTTGTAGAAACACTGTACAACCTTACGCGAGGATTGTTCAATTTGCACCAGTGCGGAGCAACAGTTTGGAGGCTCATCTAGAGCGCAGTCCACTCACAACACTCATGTTCTTTCCTCCGATACTCCAAGTAAGAGAAAAATGAATGGAAGGGCTTTGGAGGACAATGCGCATAGTAGCAGTTCTTGCTATTCAGAGAAATGTATGTTTGAGGTTTTGAAATTACATGGATCCTTAGGGCGGAAAAAAAGTTCAAACTGACTTTTTGATGTTTAAAAATTGGATTTTTGGAATGAAGTTTTCACAGCTCGTGAATTAAGATTAGTTTAACTTGAAATCATAAATACGTCAATTTCTTCAAAATCTGTATTTATGCGCCTTGCCCTCCAAGCCCCGCAATCGTTCGATAAGAAAAAGCCAAACCTCCGAAAAAATTAAAATTCCGTTTTGTCATAGTGACAAGAACTTCTGGGGGCGGGGAGGGGGGGGGGCGCCACAAGTCAAATTGTGATAAAAATGTTTTAAATATTTTTCTTTATCACAGTAAGAAAACTTACAGATCACACACGGAGAGAAAAATCAATACAAAATATTCGTTAATACGGGAAGTAAGACATGAAAAAAGCCTCCGGTTGACAATTTCAAGAAAAAAATGTCAGCTAGTTTTCTTGAAGAAATGTAATAAAGAAACGAGTGGTGCATACCAACGTCGTAATCGGAGGAATGCATTTTCCGGGTCTCTCCATTGTTTTCTGCACTAAATTCACCGTAATCAGTACGAGAACCAACACAAAATGTGTGTTAGTTTGTGTATCACTTACTACACATTAATTAAAAGTAACACGAGAACTCAAATATATTTATCAGCATGCATCTGTTATTTTCCTCCATTTTTTGATTTTTTACAAAAAAAATTGCATGGAAACGATGGGCACAATTGGACTACATTTTGCAATTTGGACTAGTATTTCTACCTTACTTTAGGAACAACCGAACGTTATTATTCCTATGCAGAGAAATGAGTCAATAATTGTCGGTCCTAAGTTAATTGCAAAATAAAGTCCAATTTTCGTTGGATGTATTTCGAATGACATCTTTTTTACAGTAAATGCATATGGCGGAAAACACCCATCTTAATACTAATCCACATCGTCGGAAATTTCAGAGTTAAAGTGGAGGGCGTTTCACTCCGAAATCTATGCGTCTCTCAGAAAACCCGAACAAAACCCGAGCGGTGGCATGCTGCCAGCGCGATACGCGCACTAGCGCCTACAAACCTAACTGGATACTTCACTTTTTGCGCGATGCTTGAAGTATCCCCTTAGGTTTGTAGGCGCCAATGCGCGCATCGCGCTAGCCGGCCCACGGTGGATCGAGTCAATGGTACAGGTCGGTCATGGGCGATTCGGGCGAATCGCATTTTTTAAGGGTCAAAAGTGTTCCTCAAGAGTTATATTTTAAGGATCTGACATTGATTTGGAACGAAACATGTTCATTTTTGTGACAGAAGCATCAAAGAGGGGCTTTGCGTAACTTTTTATTTTAGCGAAAAATCGTCCGAGTCTTTCTATTCCATTTAACTTGCTTCTGTTTAAATTAATGCCAATTTCATTGACATATTCTTGTTCTTCAGAGCCTGGAGAACACATTGCACTAGTAATTTTTTGTGTTCGGCCCATTTTTTTAATGATTATGTTTGCGCTAATGTGATCATCTCAAAAAGCGAAAAAAAAAGTTTAGGTAAACTTTTAACTACCTATCCGCCACCATCCGCCAGAAAAATTTGTATAGGCATGTTCGTAGGAGTCCTGAGAATACGATCCCGCAAAATTTGGGTGCCACTTTGCGCCACTTTGGCCGTGACGTAACTTTTTCTGTTGCGTTCCGAGATTGTGCGCGAGCCTCATCTCGAAAATCAAGCGACCGGTGAGCTGCCGCGGCACTTAGCTTGCTTCTGTTTAAAATAATGCTGGTTTCATTAATTGATTCTTATTTTCCAGAGTCTGGAGAACACATACCGCTAATAATTTTTTGTATTCGGCCCATTTTTTCAATGATTATGTTTGCACTAATGTGCTTATATCAAAATGCAGAAAAAAAAGTTAAGGTAAACTTTTAACTACCCATCCGCCACCATCCGCCAGAAAAATTTGTATAGGCATGTTCGGAGGAGTCCTGAGAATACGATCCCGCAAAATTTGGGTGCCACTATACGCCACTTTGGCCGTGACGTCACTTTTTCCGTTGCGTTCCGAGATTGTGCGCGAGCCTTATCTCGAAAATCAAGCGACCAGTGAACTCTCATAACTGCTAAATGACCCAGGTAGGTATGATTCCTGTTCATCGGAAACTGAAAAACAAGTTTCACCATCAAGACGTGCTCTTTGGCCCGTTTTTCGTATTTTCATTATTTCCTAAACTACATATCTATAGGAGAACTAAAAAAAAAATCGGGCATATTTTCACTCGGACATCCTTTTATATCCCTTATAGAAAGCTTTTTTGGGACGTATGCGTAGATAGCCTGAGGAAACTTTTAGCAAGTAACCCCCCCCCCCTTTACTTGCCTGGCCCCTGACTATGATGCCATTTTATCTGTTGGCCTCCGCGATTGCTCGCTACCGGCCACTGGTGAACTCTGATAACTGATGCTTCTTTCAAATACGTACATATTTTTTAATTTTTCTCCTATTTCGATGTAAACAAAGTGCAGTTAGTGCGAAACTAATTACACTGCGAGTACGTTTGAACGTTACAAGTAAGGGAAATTTTTGAATTTTTGCGTTTTTTTGCGTTGCTTGTTTTTTAAGTTTGATGCGGTTTGAGAGCGGAAGACGAGGATGAGAGTGATGGGGAACTGAATATGAAGAAGAATAAGGAGAAGCAGATGACAGATGACTGTTACATGTTTAAATTTTTTTTTCTTTTCTTTTTTTTTCTAGCCATCTAGTGTTTTTCCTACTCTAAGTCCCTGTTCCGTCCTCTGAATGTAAATATGAATTTAAAGTAAAATGGATCTTGAATATTTTCAAAGAATTCATAAATGTATTTCATTTGTTTTCTCACCGATCTTTATGCATAAGAATGATATGTTATGACAAAGTTTCGAAATTAACTTTGCAGTGAAGGGAATGATTTATCTGATGCAGCAGCTCATAACCGGGGAGGTATTTTTGCGTATTTGTGACACTTATTAGTAAGTTTTCATAATTTTATTCATAATTTATCCTCTTCCATCATGAAAAATTAAAAACTCCGTCCTACGAAGTAAAACACAGACGTCTAAACTTTGCACCTGTATAGTTTTCCCGACAAAATGCTCAAATACGGGTCTTCAGGTACGTTGTTCACCAAAAATAACATCAAAAATGAATTCTACGCGAAAAATTACATGTGATATGTGGTACTTAACCGATCAAATGACCAGGAATATTCGTTATCTTCGTTACATTGGAAGCGCAACGCTCCATGACCGACCTCTCCCATTGACTCGATCCACCGTGCGGCCGGCCGGCCGCCCGCCGCGCGCCGCAGCTTACCACGACGCCTCAAGCATCTATTTCAAAACAGAGGCGCTGTACACTATCATACGACATTGAAGGCGCTCCAACATATTAAGAATGACAGGCATCCTTTATGGGTACGGAGCTTTCCTCGCAAAATAAATCAAGATATTACGGCACAAAAAGAGAGTGTTAGTCGAAAAACTCACTATGCCCTAGCATCCGTATTTAATAAAGTTTAGCATAATTTTTGAATTTCAATCGATAAAAATTGACTTGATTTAGGCAGAAACATTCTCGAGTATGCCATCAAGAAGATTTCATTTTGAATCAAGAATAAAATTGCGGAATGAAAGCGGGTTGCTGCTTAATATAAGTGACTTTTCTTTTTAAACATAGCATCTTCAAAGCGGTTCAGATATAACAAGATGAGATTTTCTTGGGGGATATTTAACTCCTGTTGCACCAAAGAGTTGTAAACAGTTTCAGTGAATTTTTCCTAATGGAATTGTCGCTAACCAATTTTTACCAAAAATCTCAATTATTTATTTTTCTCCGTTGGACCAAACAAACATACATACAAGTCGCTTTACAGCACTCCCTCGCGCTCTACGACTCCTAACCTCCACTGCTCTCTTTCAAACCACAAATCTTGGGGGATTGAGCACCTCAACATTTCTGCTTCAATCCCGTCCCTCCAACCTTTCATTGGGCGCCCTCTGCGTCTTCTCCCAGGAGGAACCCAGTCAAGGACCTTCTTCGGCAACCTGTCTCCTGCCATTCTCTGGACATGACCATACCAGATGAGTTGTTGACCAAACAAACAAACAAACAAAAAACAAGCAAACCCTCATTCTTTTAAGATATAATTCATTTTCATCAAAAAATGTAGTGAGAAATTGTAGTTTGTTTTTACATGTGGACCAGCTAACTTTGGGTCTCAATTGGTAAGTAGACCAAAACTCCCCTGCCGAAAAAACTCGTGGACGTAAACTACTGGAAAAAAATAGGTGCGCGAACAAAAAATCGTTGGCGAAATGTCCTATAACCGAAGTTTTGGCTGCAACAATGGCTATGTAGTAGGAGAAAAAAATCTGGAAAAATGTATTTATCACAAACTTTTCCTCTTAATTTTTGATAATGAAGGCAAAATGTCTCAAGGGTTGTCATTTCTTTAATCACATTCGTCCCCGCTAGTATCATTAGTGCCTTGTTTGTATTCTCATTAGTCCTGTTTCCTGAAAAATTGAACGAAAAGGAACCGAGACACATATTGGAGGAGCAACGAGTTATGAATAATTTTAAGTTAAAGTATTCGCACTTTGGTAAATTTCAAAGTGGGGAATAAATACTTTGAATGTGAAAAGCGGCGTTTCGTGTGACTCAAAGATCAATTTTCATATAGGAATGAATCTTCTACCCTCCTTTTTTTGCTTCGATCTTGAAGTGACTTGGTTTCTTTCTGTACTAGATTCACGCGCGGTTTTAGCGAAACTTTTTTTTTGGTTTCAGCACTACGTCTCTGGAGTATTCGATTCACCCTACTGCGGCATCAACAGTATAGAGGATACAAATCACGCTGTTGTTATCGTTGGCCATTACAGAGGTTATTCTTTATGCACCCTTTCATTATTTCAGAGAAATTAATCGTAAAATATTAACTGAGCCAAAAGAAAGCGCCAGGTCTATGAAACTTGACAAACTCGAATTCGGAACCTCATATGCAAAGGCCCTAATTTATAATGATAGGTGTGGACTCTAAATAAGATTTCTCTTTTGCAATAAGAGACATTGGCGCGGATCCAGAAAATCGGCAACATTGTTTTTCTCCATTTGAGCCAATGGAAATGTATCGATTTTTTAAGGGGCCAGGGGCTCCGACGAGAATCGATTATTATTCAACATAAGTTTAAATGAAGGAAATCCGGTGTTGCCACATTTCTGCAACACTAAACGGGCTGAATTGAACAGAAAGGGCCCAATTCCTCTTTTTAGGGGAGATGAGCACGATGCAGTTTGAGCCCAGCTGGCCGCAAATTACCTTTTGTTAAATTCCGAAGACTAAAAGTTAATTTTAGATGTGGATATTGGCATTAAATTGCATCTCTATCATGGAGTCTTGAAGACAGATACGACTTCAAAGCTCTTTTTCAAGGTTCCATCTAGATGTGACTTGGATTCTCTTTATTTGAATCGATCCAAAGGAGGTATCATTCAAAGAAGAATAAAACCTTTATTGAGTAAAATGACATATGGCGTGAATTCAACCCAGAATGATTTCCAGTCATTAACATAGAGAGCACGTTTAACAATATCCTGGACGATAGAAAATTAAAATGTTCCTTTAATTTCTGGTATTTCAGATGCGTGGATTCTTCGCAATAGTGCAGGCAGCCAGTGGGGTTTGAACGTAAAAACTTTTTTAATTAATATCTAAATATAATAATGGATGAGTTATACCGAGAAAAAATTCTGTAATAGAGTAATGATGACTCAGAAGGATACAGAGCTTACACGGAAAAAATTGCATGGTCGTCAGAACCCGCGGCTGGTCAAAAATACGTCAGCTACCGTGCGGTAGATACAATAACTACCGCGGTAGAGGGCACAACTAACCTATAAGTTATCGCAACTACCTAGCTGGCGCATTTTTAACCAGCCACTAGTTGGGACTACTATCCTAGTTTTTCCGTGTACTTTGATTGTTACTTACACGCAATCGAAATATTCGCTTTACTCTACCGAGATAGTCCGTCCATCGAGCCAAATTTCAGAAAACTGGTTCCATCTACCAAGTAGTTCGGTTATGAAAATGGATAATTCGGTTATGTACCTAACAAAAATAGGTTCTGTATCACCTGGATATTTCGGTTTTCGAACTCCACGCCAGAGACTAATTGAATTGCATTTTGCAAAAAGGAACCAAGAGCATTCCAATGTCACTAAGATTGTGCAACTTTGTTTGGCTTCTAAATTTAAACAGATTATCTAAACAAATTTTATCTTTACTCTCAATAAACTATAACTTCGAGACAAAAGTTACCTTTGTAAATTTAATTTTTTACATAATTTCAGTGATTGTTTTAGAGGATTGTAAGGTACACAATCTTAGCAACGCTGGAATGCCCTTGGTTCTATTTTACGAAAGGCAATCCAATTACTCCGTAATTCTTCAATTTTTTAGACCTGCGAGCATGGTCCGGGCTGATCTCAGTTACATGCACCGTATGCACCAAGTGGACTACATACATGTGAACCATGTGTAAAATGACGGGCTTTCCAATATCGACGGTGAGACTAACAAACCACCTATATCTCGTTCGCTATGATTAAAAATCTCCGCTCCCATTATATTTTTTTGAGGGAAAACAAATCGATATTATTTCTTGGAATTTTCAGTGAGTTTTCTTCCCACAGAGAGGAAAAAAACATGGAAGTTTTCGAGAATTGGCGTTGAGTAGTTTTCCCTTTAAAAAATAAAGTATGACAGGAGGTTTACAACGTCGCAAACCGAAGATACGTGGTCACTCAGAGTCACCTTGCGTGGGCCATGGTCTACTTCAAGTAGGAGACCCACCTCCAGTAATACAGGATGTCCCAGGATCAAGTACGAATATTGAAGGAGTCGATTCTGTGGGACAAAAAAAGATGTTTTTGAGGTATAGCCTTTTCCCAAAAACGCTTGCCCTGGGGGCCACGGCCCCAACGTTGGAGGGAAAAAAATCGTCCATTCAACATTGCGGCGATGTTTATCAACCAACATTAATGAAAATTGGTGAATGGGGGTAATTTTTAGCGCTCTTGTCATTTTTTGACCTCAAAGAAGGGAAAAACTCATTTTGAGGCGGGTTCTGGAGGGATATCGAACCTAAAAGTGGCCACATCACACAAGCAAGTCAGACTTGCTTTGTATTGTATGTTTTTAAAGAGAGCTGCATGGCATCAAATAAATATAACTGCAGGAAATTCAAGGCTCTCAACTGGTTTTGCTTTGCAATAGAGTCTTAGGTGGTTTTCATGAGACTTTCACTATTGTCAATTTTATTTTAAAATCACTGGTATTCCGCCCTAACATAATATTACCGGCCTTAAATGTTTACATGTTGCACATTTTTTTTCACAACTGGACGGATTTCGACAGAGTCAGTTTGTCGAGAGTTATTCGGCTCCACGTTGAGAAAATGAAGCGAGAGAAAAATTGAGGCAAAGTTTCACCTTGTTGGACTGTTTTTCTGTTTAATAGAACAACGCTTTCAAAATCGCGTATTTGCTTCGATATTGCGGTGATTACAGCGTAATTTCCCTTTTTTTTTTGTACAAAATCGCTGCGGAAATCGCACATTTTCCGCGGTACCGAGATGAAACGCGCGTAATTTCGTTTGATTTAAAGAGTCCGCTGAAAATATCGCATATTTATTATGATATTGAAATGGAACTTGCGCAACCTCTCACTTTGTCACACGTGGAAATCATCTGAGCAACTATTCGAACTCCAGAGTAGGTATGTGGTATCACGTAAAATTGAAGGAGAATCTTAGCCCTCAGCTAATCTCAAGTACTGATGCTCATGAATATTATTGGGCGCTCATTGATATAAAAATAGTGTATTTTCTGCGGTATTGAGGAGAAAATTGTTTGATCTAACATGATCTTAATCCATTGCTAGATAAGTTGCGTTTTTGCCTCGGTATTGAGGTGAATTACGAGTAGTTTTTAACTTGTTTCCATGTGTGTTGGAAAATTTGCGGAAGTACCGCGATATTGCGGTGAATTACGCGTAAACTTCAATGATTATACATATAACCTCAAACCCACACTGAAAAAGAACTATGGCTTATAAACCAATTAGTGGTTCATATATCATCATATCATCATATATCATATCATCACTAATAGTAGTAAAGCAACATATAATAATAGCACATACACCTTAGTGATAGTATAAGTGCTCATACGCGGTTCTAGACCTTCATGCTTGGGTGGGGGTGCCCAGAGGTGGAAAATGTCGGAGACCAGCCCCGAAGGGGACGGTCGCTCAGGGGAGGCCTAAATTTCGGCCCTCAAGTTTTATCCCTTTCCTACTCTCCTTTCTCTTTTTCTCTCCTTCCTTTTCTACTTAAATACCTATAAATTCAATGTAGAAAATTTTTAGCAAAACTTTCCATCAAAACTACAATCTTACCATAAAAAAACAGTAGAAGCTTTGTAAAACACGGCTTTCAATATTAATTCTGTTTGAAACATTTTCAATTAATTGCTGGGATTTTTCCTCAGTGTGAGCGACTACAGAATCTTTAAGAGCAGTAATTTCACGGTTCTGATAACCGTACTTAATTTTTGCTTGGGGGTGCCCGGCACCCACTGGCACCCCCGTAGAACCGCCTATGTAAGTACTTTAGTATGGTTCACAGACTGAGAATTATTAGTTCATTTACGACTATTTGTTGTGTTCCATATGAACCACTAATTGGTTTATAAAGCCATGGATTTTCCTCCGTGCACCCTGATTCCGTGTTAGAAAAAAAACCCGCAGTATAAACATACAAATGTTCCTCTGTTGAAATATTCATTTTTGAGGAAAGCTAGGAATAATATTTCCCGAAAATCACTAAAATATTTTAAAAGGTCACTTTAAAATGACACTTAGATGTGAGGCTCAAATGACGCTCAGTAAAAAAAGACAATGAGAGAGGTCGGACAAGGAATTTTCAACTAAAAATGCAAATTTACATTAGATAAAGGGGGTTGAAAAGATCGCAAAGGCGGTATACTACGTATACGCCCCAAAACTATTGAAAACTATAGAAAACAGGACTACATGGCCGTACAATGTATACGTTTAAATTGAAACGTTACCACAAATCGACGGTGCATGTCGGCAATCACATAACTCGGTTTGCGACGTCGCAGACTTCCTGTCATACTTTATTTTTTTAACGGAAAACTACTTACCGGGAATTCTTTAAAACTGCCGTGATTTTTCTTCCCTGTGAGAGGAAAATTCTGCAAAACCTTCAAGGAATGATGTCAATTTGTTCTCCTTTAGAAAAATAACATAGAGGCGGAGATTTTCAGACACCGCAAACGAGTTATGTGATCGCCGACTTACACCGTCGAAATGCGTTCCAGCATAGGGAAAATTTGAACATTATTAGTTCAGATTCACAAAAAATTGGATAATTTAAATTGTAAAAAACCAGGTGAAAAAATGTACCGTTCAGTTATACGCGAAAATTAATTCTGTCCCAGGCTCGATTTTTGGGGTCTCTTCCATGACGTTTCAAAAATTAAACGGTTCCATGGTTTTCGAGGATGTAAAATGAAAGAAAGGGAAAAATTGAAACATGCCGTGAGTAGCAAAATAGCTTTTCCAAACATATGTTGAAAGTTTTTAATGTACACATTCTACGGTAAAGGTGCCTTCTTCCAAACAATCTCATATCTCGCTCATAAATGAAGACAAGGTCCAGGAATTTTGTCGCGTAGTACATATATAGAAAAAAATAGATCTCTGGGGAAATTCCATACCGGTTACGTTCCACTTAGCCTCTCATTTCAAATCACTGAAAACTTTGCGATTGTAATGCATTCTCTCCGGCAGTTGAATTTTAGAGCGAACTTTTCACATTTTTTTAGGGTGAGAAATTGAAGTGAAGGTTACCAATTTTTCAAGTGACAAGGTTTCAGACCAGCTCACAGTCAATCCATTTCTTTCATATTTTCGTCGAACCCTGTTTCAAAATTTCGCTAGATTTCATATATTATTCACGATTATGATTGGGGACAAAAGTGTGTTTCCACGAAGAATAGGACGGTGTGTAAAGAGCCGAACGTCATTTCACGTGATTGGTAATTGCACCTTCTTAATTTTCCGCGAATCACTTGGAGATGACGGGCTTCAGCTCTACCACCGCATTGTGAATGCGTCTTTTTTTGTCATCAGACAGAGCTATGACTCTCGCACGCCGAATGATTCCGCGCATAATGTGAAAACTGCTAAAAATGACTTTTGTTCGTCGCCGGTTGTGAAAGAATTCTAGATTGGCATCATCATGAGCCCTTATTTTTACATTTACATCCTAAGGTTGGTTGCTGAGGCGTCTGCTAACTATGGAGGTAAGAACTATGACAATAAAAACAAATGAGATCATTTTTTTTAATATACACAGAAAAATGGATTGCTGATTTAACAATTAAATTGTTAAAAAATATGTCCGACATGTTTCGACCGTACATTTAATAATGGTGGATTGCTAATTTAAAAACGGGTGTGATTAAATTAGCACATCTTTTATTGTGAAACCTACATTGAAACATGTCGGACACTTTTTTGACAACAAAATTTTTAAATTAGCATTATCAATTTTCCCATGTAGAACAGCCCGTGACATTGAAACAAGGTTGATAAAACGGGAAACAACACTAAACATGTCGGGAGTAAGCCGATACATTTTAGCGGACCACCCAACCTAAAGCTCTTTTTCTTCTTCTTTTGTTGGTTTAATTGCTTATACTCCAATGTGGGAACCTACAACCAACTATAGACAAACATTCAAATATATGTTATTCTGACTTTTAGGAGGTGTATAGGAATAAATTACTAGGATTAGATTATTAATCGGTATAGATTTCTAGATGTTATTATGACTTCTGAGAGGCGTAGGAATAAATTAATAGGAATATATTATTAATGGGTATAGATTTCTACTTAGTTATGACCATCACAATTTTCACGCTTAGAGACCCTTCAAGGCGACCTCTCATACTAGGTTGACACTGGGTCATGGTAAACAAACAAAGTGAACATACGGTAGATTGAGGATTTTTTTTTTTTTCGGATAATGTAAATTTGGAGGAGATGGATGGATTATTTAGGAAGGTATCATCTGATGACAGAGTTACTAATGTTTGTTCTTGTCTAACTAATGTCTAACTAAACCGCACAATGGATCGAGTCAGTGGGAGATGTCGGACAATATTTGGAAACTTTAAACGCTTATAACTCCGTTTATACAAACTTTGAGGTTTCAAAAGTATCGTAGTTTCGTTGGTTTTCTCGTGACTTTTCCTTTCAGCGTCACCCCTTCAAATGCAAAATTTGACAAATTAAACATCAAAATTTTCAGTGTTAGTTCAAAATTGCATGTCCGACCTCTCTAATTATTGACTCGATCCACGGTGCGCGGCCAGCAACCTGGGTGGTGATCACGCCCGCCACAAGGGGTGGGATACTGGGCCCCTGGTACCGGGGCCCGGGCCCCGGAGGGGGCCCGTGTTACCCGTGAAAAACCATTACGAATTCACATGCAACCCTTGTTTCGTTAGAAAAAGTGAAAAATTTACCCTAAAAATTTCGCAAAAGGTGAATAGATTTTCAGAAACTCGCTGGGGCACTGTAGAATTCTTCTTAAATTTTCAAAGAAGTATACTTCCCGGAAAATGTCTATCTATTTTCAAGATTTTCAGTACAGAGGGATATTTTTAGTAACTGCGTTTCATTTTCTTCCGTCGTCAGATGCTAAGAGTCTCCAGTCTGGGCATCCTCGACTTCAATGGCTCATGGCTCAACTCCCTTGCCATAGACAAACGAAGGGGTAGTCCCGGGGGGCCTGGCCCTCTTAGAACTGAAAATAGTATCCCCCCCCAAAAAAAATAAATAAAAATTTTCCAGATGTTTTGAATGCAACAATTCGCAAGTATTTTGTGCTGAAAGTATAAAAAAAACATGATTATTCCGCAGAAATTGATGGAAAAATTCTTTATGGAAGCTTCAAAATGCGTCCGATTAGTCGTATAAATTCTAAAATTTCTCGGGGGATGCCCCTCGGACCCCCTCCCTCCGTGCTTGGGGCCCGGACCTTAAAACTGGTACCAGGGCCCGAGATGGGATGTGGCGTGCCTGGTGGTAAGAGTTAATAGACCCCTTAGAGTTAATAGACATAGTCAGACACGACTCAAAGTTGTTATTATTATTAATTTTATTTTATTTTTTTGAATAGATTTATTTTATTAACTTTTAAAAAATTATAATATGTTCTTCATTTACATTATTGGCCAGGGCGAGAAGTTTTGTTAAACTCTCGGCTCTTTCCTTCCCTGGGATTTCTTCGTTACTAGGGATCCATAGTAGCCATATATTATTGGGCTGATTGTAGCAGAGGAGTGTCTTCATATCATTTATTGTAGGGGAAGGTCACAAGATTGATTGAGACGATTTTTAAGTACATTTTGAGAATCAGTGCAGATTATATATTTATATGATTATTGGTTAGACTGCATGTATATTCAATTGATCTCTTAATTGCATGTGCTTCCGCGTCAAAGATCGACGCAAAGTTTGATGGTTCATATAGTTTAAAAACATTTTTGACAGTGAAAACTGCTCGAGAAAAAGAATCGAATCTCATTCATGTTATCCGTAGGTAACGAGCAACAATTCCGCAATGAAATATGCATGTTTTATTTGAACAAGCATCAAAGAAAAATGAGAGGGGATAGCGATTCGTCTGTCGAAGTACAACAGTTTCGTCATGTGGGTTTCAATATCCTTCAAGTCTGTGGAATTCTTAAAAGCGGGCTTGTCCGGAATTATGGCTCAAAAAATACGCAATAAATCACCACGTCATCTACTCAACTGGTACTTTTAGAATATTGAATAAATACACAAGGCATAGTGACCCATTGGAAACTCTTTGTAACTAGCCCCGATATGACAAAGACATTTGACATTATATGACGATATTATTTTGACGATATGACATTTGGAGGTTCTTTATTTTCTTCAACACAAATTTCTGCTTAGTTACCGAGAAGAGCAGGAACGCCTTTTTTCAGAATCAAGAACGATTCTACGAAATTTGGGTAAAACGGCAATTCCCCCCCCCCCAAATCGTAATTAGTCATGCTCTAATTTGAACCTCTGTTAATTTAAAGTCTAATTTTAGAATTCATGCATGGTCACGAGATATTTTTCTGAGGTTTACTGAAGTAAAGATAGGTTTTCTCATTACGAGATTTAGAGCATGTTCCTTACCGTGATTCACACAATATCCACTCATACGTTCGATTTCACTCGCTCAAAAAAATTACAGACATTTTGTCCCATAATAGTCATTTAAGTAGATGTTGGACTAGCATTATTTAACACTTTACCATAATTGAAAACAAGATTTTCAAGAAGATAAGAATAGTTGTGAGGTTGAATACCATAATGCCTTGTCTATAACTTACCTCCTTTGCCTACTGCAACCACACGCTTCCACCGATTGGATCGCTTTATTTCCAGTTTGTCTTCTTTATCTATCGCTTTGTCTACCAATTTCAACAATCAACCCGCAGAGGATCACTCGTGACCAGTATGCATATGCTCGAGTGGAACACTATCCCCCTCAGTCTTGCACTGATACCCATACTGCCGTGCTAAGGAAGAATGTCATATGAACATTTGAGAGTTGCCATTTTCTTCGATAAAATGCTTATTTTTGAGGAAATATACGAAAATTTTTCCGTTAAATTTTCAGATACTTTAGGTGAAATCGCGAACAAAATTACCAGACAAATTTGGAGGAACATTTTCATAAGTTTACCAGGAAATTCGCGTTTTATCAAAGGAAATTTGGCAACGCCTGAGGGTTCATACGGCGTTTTTCCTTAGCACGGCAGCATAAGAGCTCGAATTTTTTACTGTAACTCATGGTGTCTTGAATTCTTAACTATGCTCATTAATTGATTTTTCCTTTATTTTCCGTGATTTTCAGCAGTTCATTCTCTGACAAAAAACCTAAGTTTCTCCCTACACCCCCAGAACTTTCTTCAGAAAAACTATATCAATAACTTTATAGGATCTCTTGATTCTAGGATTGCAGGCTGGCGCACAGCGGAACGAGTCAACAGGAGAGGTCGGACAAAATTTGGAAACTTTAAACACTTATAACTCCATTATCACAAAACTTTGAGGTCTTAAAAGTGGTCCCATTGGTTTTCTCGTAAAATTTACTTTGACAAGCACCCCTTAAACTTTAAAATTTGACGAGATAAATATCAAAATTTGCAGTTTTAGTCAAATTTTTTACGTCCGATCTTTCTGATTGACTCGATCCACTGTGTGGCGGTGCGGTGTATCGTAGTGAACGCGTAATGCGTGAAGTATTCATCCAGTCTTGTAGGTGCCAATACGCGTTGAGCGCGCACAGGGGAATACGCGCAATGCGTGAAGTATTCATACAGTCTTGTAGGCGCTATGCGCTCGCGCGGTTTGGCGCGACTAGTTAAACTCGTCGAGGCAACGTTTTTCTCTTTGCTGTTACGATTAAGTTCCAGCACACTCTGTGTGGCTTACTGTCAATTAAAATTATAATAATAATAAAAAAATCACGTAAAATCTAACTAATATTCTCCTATTCATGTACACAGGTATTTATTAATAGAAGTTAACTAGTAGGATTGAAAGTTCACTCTATTTGCTCTTGGACTGATACTCATTAGGGCTCAAATTATGGACAATAATTGAAATGTTTAGACATGTTTTTGTCTTGATTTCCCCACGAATTAGTGTGGAGTGTGGACCCAGCACTATTCTACCAAACTAAGGAAAAACGCCGTATTCAGGCGTTGCTAGATATATTTTGATAAAACACGAATTTCCTGGTGAATTTATTAATATTTTTCTTCCAATTTTGCAGGTAACTTTGTTTGCGTTTTCACCGAAAGTTCCTGAAAATTTCAAGGACAAAGGACCCCGCACACCTCTTATGGGAAGCTGCACCATGAAGCAACGTTAATTTATTTATGTCATTCGATTCTCCTCAAGATGCTGATCGAAAGTTATAATTGCGCCAACTTTCTACGATGCACCGTTTTCGCAAAAAACCGCCCTCCTCCCGCTCTCGACGCTCACGACGCTCCTCACGCTCTCGACGTTCACTGGCACACAGCCGCTTGTCAATCGAGTACTGAAGTGAGGAATATAATCTTTCTGGCTTTTTATCGCCGAATAATTGAATCTTCTCGGCGGTTTTTTGCGAAAACGGTGCATCGTAGAAAGTTGGCGCAATTATAACTTTTGATCAGCATCTTGAGGAGAATCGAATGACCATGGTGCAGCTTCCGATAAGAGGTGTGCGGGGTCCTTTGCATACATTGCTTAAAAAATAAATGTTTTATATCGAATGAATTTTGGCAATTTTTAAATGTTCATACGGCATTATCCCTTAGCACGGCAATGTTCTGCCACCTAGTTAGGTAATTACAGCCCGAGACGCATTTTTAGTATTTTTTTCTTGCCTCTCCTTTTAGTTAATTCAAACGTTTATCGTTCCTTCATGGTGCAGCTTCCCATAAGAGGTGTGCAGGGTCCTTTGCATACATTTCATAAAAAATAAATGTTTTATCGAATGAATTTTGGCAATTTTTAAATGTTCATACGGCATTATCCCTTAGCACGGCAGTGTTCTGCCACCTAGTTAGGTAATTACAGCCCGAGACGCATTTTCAGTATTTTTTTCTTGCCTCTCCTTTTAGTTGATCCAAACGCGTTGGTGGGTGGTGGAATACCTTGGGACGTGGATAGCTGTCAGGTCCAATGCGACTCGTTGTGGGGCAGGGTCCCCCAGTTGAACGTACCGTGGGCCCAAGCTTCCGTGAGGGACGACTGCGCTTGTAGATTTAACTCCGAGAAACTCCAATCATTTGAGAGCCAGACCTGCATCCAGAGATACTTTTGGCTTCCACTCGAAAAAAAGAAAAAGCTCGCAGAGATGAAAATTAAGGTAGGCATACCCTTGCTCCGTAGAAAGAGAGGGGCAACGTCTCTAAATGGAGATGTTGTACCTATGTGCGAGGAATTTGCGATTTGACTGTTGATTTTTTTGTAAAAGTTCGCGAGAAGTACGATGGTGCCCTTGTTTTTCTCTGAAATCAACTCTCAAGCTCAAAAAAGCTCTCGAGTTGAGGCCAAAATGGAGGGGATATCCCACGCTATCCTGAGAGTCCACCTCTACATCAAGAAAAACTCTCCATGCAAGGGTAGAAAGCAAATACATTGACAGGGCTGCCACTTTATTTGGGGACTCTAAAACTGAAAACACGGCAACCCTGCTAATGTATTTGCTCCTTATCATTTGCATGGAGAGTTTGTCTTGATGTAGAGGAGGACTCTCAGGATAGCGTGGGATATCCCCTCCATTTTGGCCTCAACTTGAGAGCTTTTTTTTTGAGCTTGGGAGTTGATTTCAGAGGAAACTAGTGCGGCACCATCGTGTTTCTCACGAACTTTTACACATGAATCGATAGTCATATCGCAAATTCCTCACACATAAAACATCTCCATTTTGCAGTAAAGAGTGGATTTCAGACTTTTTTAACGTGATCATCGTGATTTTCGGATTGTTTTATCCTCATCAAGTCTCTTTACATATGGGTGTATCTCTAGCGCGCAACAGACTCATTTTTAATGTTTATACTTTTTTTCCCAACACTTGTTAAAGTTAAAATTTGCCTTAAATACACGTGATACCTCAAGAATACGTAATACTGGAAAAATTTCACGGAATTTTATACATTTTTAGTCAGATATGAATTTGTTTTCATCCATCCTTCCTTCCTTCGAAGTGTTTCTTTCGGCTTCCACGGCTTGTTACGATGTTTTTTCCTCTTGCGTGATAGGCGAAAGTCGCCCGAATGAGTTCGGAACAACAATTCGAGGTATTCAAGCGGTCCTATGGAAAGGTGTACAGCTCAAAGGAAGAAGAGGACAAGCGGCTTGAGATCTTCAAAGGAAACTTGGTTGTGATCAAGGACCTCATGGCTACAGCAACAGGAAATCTCGTTTACGGAATGGGCCCATACACGGATCGTACAAGTAAGTGAAAGCGTCGCTCCTCTGACGTAAGGGGGTATCTCTATTTCCACATCAGGCTCGGAAAGGGTAGGGTCATACGGGGATCAGGGCTCACGTGGTAATGGAGATGTTGCATGTGTGAGGAATTTGCGATTTAACTGTTGATTCTTATGTAAAAGTTCGCGAGAAGCACGATGGTGCCACTGGTTCTCTCGGATATCATCTCCCAAGCTCAAAAAAAGCTCTCAAGTTGAGGCCAAAATGGAGGGGATATCCCACCCTACCCTGAGAGTTCACTTCTACATCAAAACAAACTCCCATGCAAAGATAGGTAGCAAATGCATTAGCAGTGATGCCGTGTTTTCAGTTTTAGAGTCCCCAAATAAAGTGGCAGCCCTGTCAATGTATTTGCTTCCTATCTTTGCATGGAGAGTTTGTCTTGATGTAGAGGTGGACTCTCAGGATAGCGTGGGATATCCCCTCCATTTTGGCCTCAACTCGAGAGGTTTTTTTTGAGCTTGGAAGTTGATTTCAGAGAGAACCAGTGGCACCATCGTGTTTCTCGCAAACTTTTACATGAGAATCAAGGTCAAATCGCAAATTTCTCACACATGCAACATCTCCATTGAGATACGCCCCTTCGTAAAATGCCAACTCTTAATCAATACACGGACAAAAGAATAAAGAAATGCATGTAGGAAAAATATTTGCGATGCTGTAAAAACCTTGGTTTATTCTGGCGAAAACTGTTCTACGGGATGTTACATAAGCAAGCAAAGCAGAAAGAAAGTAAGCCACATCAGCTGTTGCTTACTTCAACTAGGCAATTCAATTTTTTACATGATAACGGTTGTGCGGAGTTTTGTGAAAATTTCAGTGAAGTTTTTTTATAGTACGGAGCAAATTCTTTAAACTTTCCTAAGGAGTCCACACAAACATAATATTTTCATTAGAAATACGCTCTCTGGTAAAACAGGTAATTGTCAAGTTAAATTTAGCAGTAGCTAATGATTAGCTTTATTTTTGTACTTTAATCTTTAGTTTAATGAAATTTTAATAAATTCTTAATTTCAGTTTATTAATACATTTTTTTATTTAGATTTTGAATCTTAAAGACAAATATTTTATTTGATCGTTCAATCACTGTAATTGTCATAATTTTATTCAGTTATTAACCTATATTTAAAGATTAGGTTTAAATAACACTGGGAAAAAAGCACATTGGATCTAGAGTCCAGACTCTTGAAAACATTGCCAAGAAAAAGGACTCTTGATTCAATCAGATTTAAGCTCAAATCAAAAGGAAATCCGCTCAAATTAAGAGGCTTGGTTCTTGATTTAAGTTTGAATCTGCTTGAATCAAGAGTCCTTTTTCTTGTCAATGTTTTTAAGAGTCTGAACTCTAGATCCAATGTGATTTCTTTTCCAGTGAAGTCAATTTAGACTAGGTGTGGCTTGGTTCCTCTCTGCTAAACGCGGTCCAGTTGACCTAATGCTATTCGAATATTGTACCCAGGCGAGGAATTCCAGACGGAACTGAGTCTCGCCGAAGTGAACATGAGCTTTGAAGAAACCCCCAATTTGGAGGTGCGAATGCTGAATAATCGCGGATCGAGGGGTAACTGGAGCTTCAGGCGTGCTCGCTCCCAGCCACCGACCCCTACGCCCGCAGGCCCCAAACCACCCCCTTTCGGGTTCCCGCCCGGCTACGAGCCCCCCGACTACAAGCCTCCACCCCCGCCCCGCAGTAATTCCGTCCCGCCGAACTGCAAGTACTTGTCCCCGTGGTTTCTCGGGAAATATCCCCAGGGAGGACCACTGCTGGATTGGCGAGTTCCTGCCGAGTACTACCCGGCGATCGAATCTCAGGTAGGTCGCCGCACAGTGGATCGAGTCAATAGTAGAGGTCGGACAAACTTTGGAAACTTTAAACGGTTATAACTCCATTTATACACAAATTTGAGGATCTAAAATTGGCTCCATCGGTTTCCTCGTAAAACTTTCTTCTGTAAGCGCCCCTTGAAATTTAAAATGTGACGAAATAAACATCAAAATTTGCAGTTCTAGTCAGAAATTTTATGTCCGACTACTTTGATGGACTCGATTTACTGTGCGCCGTCGATGAATCGCTGCGGGGTGATTGTTGAAATTGGTAGACAAAGCGATACACAAATAAGACAAAAGGGATGTGGCGGAATCCTATTGGTGGATAGTTGCCATGGGCAAAGGAGGTGGGTAATAGTAGTCTATTACCCACCTCCTAGTCCTAGTCCTAGTCTATTAGCTAGTGCTAACGGCAACTCACAAGAGACCCTTTAGTTCATCATTTTCTCCCTTAGTCTATAGAAACCATCTATTTCAACCAATAAGATCGCTCCATACTCCCTGGGTCCTCTTTGTCTATAGATTTGTCTATCAATTTAAACGATTATGCCGCTGGACAAGGTACGAATTGAAGCATTCCAATTCATACATAGGCAAAAGCAGAATGTTACTTTCCAATCGCGAACAATGAAACATCAAATCACAAAAATGCCTTAAAAATTCGAGATATATACTTCACGCACATCCGCAGAGTTAAACAAGTCACGAAGGTCGTCCAGAAATTAAGTTTACCTATCCAATATCTCCTAGATACATAGATAGATAGATTGATACATTTTTTAAAAACTTTGAAAAGCTACTATTTTCAGCTTTTTGGTTCGATAAAACTCTAGAGAGTTGGGTTTTTCTGAACACACATCCTCTCCCAACGGGTCCAAAAAATCAACGAGGGTCATCGGAAAGTGGGCTGCTATGTCTATTGATTATGGCAAAAAAGTGGCTTAGAGGTGGTTGAAAAACATGTAAAACATGAGTGAGGACATTTCTCAACTAGGAAATAATAGGGTTAACCTTGTTTACTTCAAGATCAGTTGTATACTAACAAGAGTTTACTGAATTGTCAACGTTAAGTCTCACTTGCTGACTGAATCGTTCATAAGCTTTCAAACTATACCACCCATTCTCGAAGAAATTTCGTCAAAGACGCATTTTTTGGAAAATAATGCAGCCTTTACAACTCCTTTACTGTAAATGTACCCGGCATTGAGCAGCTAGGGTAATTTTTTTTTGGCGAGTGCACGAATAATAGAGCTCAACCACACACCAAAATAAAATTCAGCGTTACAACTCCACGATTTTACCAAATTAAGCTTATGGTAATTCGAGTAATTTAACTAAATAATAAAAGGAACTCAAATCAACAATATAATGCAAACCAATTTGGAAAATCTCGTCATGTAAATACGGAAGATTCGAAAACGCCTTCAATTGAGGCGTAATATACCTCACGCGTTCCGGAGAGTTCAAATAGTTGTATCCCTGCGCCTTAGGCAAGGCGATGGAAGCTTAATATTGAAGTAGGTTCCCCGCTTGGTTTTTCGGTTTTCCTGTGCCGCTACTGCAGTTTCGACCGTAAATTCGTAGTTAATGGGCGCTCAAGCTAAGCTAGTATTTCGGAAATGGGTAATTTGTATAAAGGAATTAAAAACAAGGAAGCGGTAGGAATTTCACCAAATAAAAGTTACTCAAATGAATAATAAAATTCAAAGAACTGCGATAAAAATGTGTATGTAGAGCTTAAATTTGAGCCAAAGCTCGTCCGAGTAAATTTGGATCTCATAATTAACTAGATTAAAAGCAAGACACAAGAATCAAATCAAGGGGATGCGCGCGTAACCGTGGCAGTAGCTCGGAAGATCAGTCACTCCCTTTCTTCCACGCTCCGAATGTTATGGGACCAGAAAATCTCGTCATGTAAATACAGAAGATTCGGAAACGCCTTCATTTGAGGCGTGATACCTCACGCGTTCCGGAGAGTTCAAATAGTTGTATCCTTGCGCCTTAGTAAGGCGATGGAAGCCTAATATTGAAGTAGCGTCCCCGGTTGGTTTTTTGGTTTTCCTGCGCCGCTACTGCAGTTTCGACCGTAAATTCGTAGTTAAAGGGCGCTAAAGCCAGGATTGTATTTCGCAAATGAATAATTTTTGCAGAATAATTAAAAATTAAGAAGCAGGAGTAATTTAACTGAATAATAAAAGAAACTCAAATCAACAATATAATGCAAACAATTTGGAAAATCTCGTCATGTAAATACGGAAGATTCGAAAACGCCTTCAATTGAGGCGTGATACCTCACGCGTTCCGGAGAGTTCAAATAGTTGTATCCCTGCGCCTTAGCAAGGCGATGGAAGATTAATATTGAAGCTGATGAAGCTGGAAAAAGATGATTTTGTGTCAAAAGGACATGCGATGTATCAGATCGATTAGTTCAATTTGTTTCGCTACTCGCCATTTTTCTCGAATTTTGAGATCGCAATTCTGTTGTAAGGAGACTAAAGAATTCACTTACCAATTTTAACAAACAAATTCAACGTAATATAGGCGTGATTTTTTTAGAGAGAAAATATCGCATTCGAGTGCAGTCTCGATATCAGTATAGAGTGTGATATTAGTCCTTAAAATAACACGCCTTTATTAAGTTTTTGTTTGTCAAAATTCGTAAGTGGATTCTTTAGTCTCTTGACAACAGAATTGCGATCTCAAAATTCGAAAAAATGACAAGTTGCTGAGAAAATGGGACCAACCGATGCGATATATCGCATGTCGTTCTGACACAAAATACAGTCAATCGAATCATCTTAAAGTTTCATGCACCGCAGTCCAAACCCACAAATAATCGATGTGAACACGATCAATTTTCCATTTTTCTAGTTAAGGAATGTCCTCACTCATGTTTCACATTTTTTCAACCACCTCTGAGTCACTTTTACATGCCATAAGCGATGGACATAGCAGCTCACTTGCCGTTGACGCTCCTTGAAATTTTGTACCTATGCGGAGAGGCAAAGTGTTCAGAAAAACCCAATTTTCTAGAGCTCAATCGAACCAAATTTAAATATCAATAGCGCGTTAAAATGCTGAAAAATGTAGCTTTTCAAAATTGTGTACAAAACTTTATCTACTCTACTTTAAGACATATTGAATAGGTAAACTTACTTTCTGAGCGACCCTCGTATATCCAGTTCGCGAAGTGGCGATCCGAAAGAGAGAAGACTACAAAAAGCGGGCGGATCAGTGGCGTGGCGTGAATTGCGATACATCGATTGTTATGCCATTTAAATGTATGGAAAAGGATCGATAAACAGGGCATTCGTAGCGAACGCCTTAATAATCGATTCTTTACCATAGGTTTAAATGGCATAACAATCAATACCTACATCGCAATTCACGCCACGCCACTCGGGCGGATTTCTCTTGGATTTCTGCAGCTTTCTGTACTTTCCTCCATGGTTGAATCCAGGCAAACTCTTCATGCACAGATGGAGAGCAAATCCATCATCAGGGTTGCCAATTTGTTTTAAGTTGAAACCATGGCAACTCTGTTAATTTATTTGCTCCTTGTGCATGAGGAGTTTGACTGGATACAGAGGTGGACTCTCAGCGTAAGATCCTCGCCATCATGGCCTCAATTTTGAGAGCTTTACCTATTTTGTCACCTTCCGGCCAAAGTATCACAAGCGTAATGTGACGTTTAAAATTTGGTCTTTTTCACAGAGAACTTGTTCTGCTGTTCGAAAATTTTACTGAATTTTCTACGTGCTGCCGATAAAATTCAGTGAAATTTTCAGACAGCTTCGTTGAACAATTTCTCAGTAAAAAAAATAAAATGGCGGCGGAAATTTTGAAACATCGCATGGCGCTTGTGATACTTTCTCCGGAAGGTGACGGTTTGAGCTTTTGAGTTCTTTCAGAGAAGATTAGCGACGGCATCGAGTTTTTCGCGGTTTTACGCAAGCAAAAGTACTCAAATCGCCAATACCAGACACATGCAAAGGCACCATTGAGGTGTTTCAAAAATGAACAAAATTCGGAATTAATTTCCATCTGCGAAGTCATTTAGTATACCTGTTCTCTTAAATCTTCTTGCAGTCACTCCGAGAATGTGATTGCGGCTCATGTTGGGCGTTTGCTCCTGCCGCTGCTGTTGAGATCTTTTTGGCCAGGGTCCAAGGTGAAGTGACCACGCTCTCCAAACAAGGTGAGACAACAAAAACCATTTTCGAAAGGAGAAGAGGTAGGAAAAGTAGTGCAAGAAACGGATGCATAAACATCCCTGAATCATAACAAGAGCCAAATGAGGTTCCTGAGGAAAGCAGCTACTCGAGTAATTACAATGTATACAACTCACACGGCAGTTTATGGAGGTCCTCAACGTAGCATTAACAAAATGGTTTGACGAATCTCTAGTAAAATTGAACGTATTGAAACGTCTGCCAAACGGAACTATGATGAGAGCCCTGTTATGCATATGGGTCTCAGGGCTCATGTCTTGATGCACATAGTTCCGTTTGACAGAAATACGTCCAATTGACCACTAGACAAGGCACGAATTTAAACAATCTGATACATGTTTCTTAACAAGAATTTTACGTAGAACATGATTCGTGCAACGAAAATTACTGAAATCAACTCCTAAAGAAGATATTAACGTTTTTATTTCACATTCGTTACGAGAAATTTGAACTGCCCGCTCACAAGAAACTCAAAGCTCTACGTGAGTCAAATCGAGCACTACGACGGTTTCAGCAAGCCTCTCAGTCAAGCAAAATACATTTCCCACCACGTGTTGTTTAAATTACAAGCAATTTGCTATAGCTGAGCCAGAGTGTCAAGATTGAGGTTGCCAGATTTTTATATAGCAGAGACTGCCATGATAACGTTTAGCGCTCGATGTGAATCACGTAGAGCATTGAGTTTTCATGAGCGGGTGATTTGAATTCACGCATCAAGAATCACTAAATAGCTTCGTAAGGAGTTAATTTTTGTAATTTTCGTTGTGCGCATCGTGTTTTACGTGAAATTTTGGTTGATTGACATGTATCAGAATGCTGAAATTCATACCTTGTCTAGTAGTCCATTACACAAAATAACTTCGGTAATAGACAATAGCAAAGGATTTTGATAATTTGTCATTACAAAAAAAAAAAAAAAAATAGAAAATTCGGGAGGAAAATTTCGTTGATTTTGAAAAACTGTAAAATATGTCTGAAGGAAGCAAACGGCTTGAGGAACGACCATGAGCACGGTCCTAGGAAGAAATCACTTAAACTCGGTCAATCCTACTCTATATGAAACGATTACCTTAGGTAGTCCTGACGCCAAAAATCCTAACCCGAAAAATCTAACGCTGGGCGCTAATTTCATGCTATATTAACCCACAAGAGGTCTGCAAAGCGGACCATACAGGGCTTGAGGCGCCCTCGGGGGGTTGGGCTGCGTAGTGGTCAGGGGGCGTAGCCCCCTAGCCACGTCTATTCTCACAAGTTTGGTAATTTTGGCAGCATTACTTGACTGCATCCCTGGCGATGGCTGTAAAGGCGGAAAAGTGTGGACCGCACTGGAATACATGAAAAATACTGGACTGCCGAGTTCCGATGCTTACCCGTACAAGGCGAAGAAAGGACGGTGTAGGAAAAACGTTCGACCTTACGCGAAGATTAGAGAGTGGGGGGTTGTCACTCCGGATCCGGAATCACATGAAAGTTGGTTGCCGAACAGTCCAATCGCAACGAATATGCTCGCTCCTGTTGAATTTCAAGTAAGAATTCGGCGCTTGGTTGACAGAAGGGCGTGACCACAATTTGAGATTGCAATTTGAAATTACAATTTGAAAGCATTAAAGTGATTCGATGGACGCCATATTTTGTGTCAGAACGGTATGCGATATATCGCATCAATTGGTTCCATTTTTGCAGCTACTCGTCATCCAATTATGGGATCGCAATTTTGTTGTCAGGAGACTAAAGCAATCACTTACCAATTGTTTATACCAGCCTCCTCCGTCTGCAAATGCAAATTTTTAAATTATAGAATTTTTGGGCATTTTTTCTATTTCAATTTTCTGAGAAACCTGGCAATCAGCTTGGATGCCAGAATCGCGCGCACCGCCGGACCGTTCGCTGTGTACTGCTTATGCAACCAGTCCCGCGTCCCACGCACGCATCACGTGGGCACGCGTCGCGTCGCGCGCTCTAATCACGCGGCCGCGCGTCGCGTCGCGGCTATAAAAGGCGAGCGGCCGCGCGTCTCATCACCAGTCGCAGCTCAACCGCAAGAAGAGTAGCAACCACGGTAAGTACCTCCAAGTACATACAGCTCTCATCCATCGGCGCGCTGGTCCATCTCTAACCGAGCTCTCCACGGCTCCAACGACTTGCGGGTCTTCCATGCCCACATCGCCCGGAGCGCTACCGCACTGGGCCAGCCCGAGGAGCCGTCTCTTGGGGTCTCTTCGGCGTCTCCAAGCGCAAAAACCAACGTGGACTTCCATGTCCAGATCGCCCGGAGTGCTATCACACTGGGCCAGCCCGACCGAGCTATCTCGTGGGGTGTTCTAAGCGCTTCCAAGCGCACAAACCAAGTCCTCTACAGGACAGCTGGCACTCGTCCGCTCTTTCTCAGGACCAGCGCTAGCCGACTCTAAAAGTCGCACTCCTTTTCATGGTGCCGAAACCCGGGAACTATTCGTTGAATAGTTCTCTGTACGAATCTTAAATTTAGCTCTCCCAACTAAATTTTATGCTATTTAATTTTCATCCAAGAAAATTTCATTCTACTTAATTTTCCTAAGAAAATTACTCAACTAAAATTTTCAGGAAAAATCATTCAGCTAAATTTTTCTGAAAAAATTATTTGAAATGGCGGGTGATCAAGACTCCTCAGGTAAGGTGAATCCAGGCACACCAAAATCGAGGGAAAGTTCTCCAGCGCACCTCGCCGAACTAGCAGCGCTCAAGGCGGATCGAGAGAGAATTTTTTCTGCTACCCAGAGTATAGCGGATATTTTCACGAGTGAATTGAGCGAAAAAAACTACAGGGATCACGAGCGATCCCTCCTAAGGATCCAGAAGTTGCAGGCCGACTTCGACGCAATACAATCAGCCGTCCTAAAGGCAAATGTATACGTCGTGAAGGATGATAAGGTACCTGTAACTGCTGTCCAGAAATCTTATGACGAGCTGGTTCGTTCATTAGAAAAAATCTATCAACAAAAATCCAGGAGACCGGAAACATCAAACGGTGACAATGCCGTTGGCGGCGTACGGCTCCCTAGGTTGGAACTTCCTACTTTTAGCGGAGATTATTCAGAGTGGACGTCCTTTTACAACTTATACAAGGCGACCATCCATGATAATGAGAAACTGAAGCCAGTCGAGAAACTGCATTATTTAACTTCTAAGCTCAGGGGTGAGGCCTTGGAGTTAATAAAGAATATAGAGGCCGAAGAAGATCAATACGCTGTCGCCTGGGATTTGCTGATAGGAAGATACCAAAACACAAGAAAGCACATATCTCATCACTTTTTTGGACTGCTTGATATGCCATTCATCAATTCTGATAAGGACATACCTAATGCCTTAACTCAGATCAACAAACATAAGCATGCGCTTCGAGCATTAGGCTACGACTCGAAGGATTATGGACCTATGGTGGTAGCAGTCGTTTTGCGGAAATTGTCTCCATATCACAAGAAGCGTTTTGAAGACTCCAGGACAGATTCCACTGTTTATCCAACGTTGGAGGATGTCATGAACTTCTTGGAGAAGGAAAATGCAAAAATCGATGATGTCTCATCTAAAAGAGGTGAAAAATCAAGCAACGATAATCGATCACAAAAGAAGGCCTTGTATGTCGGAACAAATTCTCGGTCAAGGAGCAATGCTAACCAAGCAGAGCCAAACAAGTCGGCATGGCGCAAGGGCAAGGGATCATCCAAGTCCCAAAATTCAAGTGGTAAACGACGAAATGAATCTGAAATATCTAATTCTGATTGTCCCTGCTGTCAAGAAAAGCATCCATTATTTTTATGCGCTCAATTTAAGGCCAAAAAGACTGAAGATCGGAGGAAAATCGTCGAGTCTCTGAAAAGATGTGTAAACTGTCTCTCTCCAGGAGACTGCACGAGTAATAGCTGCAAGAGCTCTAGAAGGTGTTACGTCTGCGATGAGATGCATCACACTCTGCTACACCGAGACAAGAATTACTCCATGGGTCAAGAAGATAAAGGCAGTTCCAAGAAGGTGATGATGGGCACGAAAAAATCAACGAAGGCTACAGTAATGTTCGCCACCGTCCTCGTAAGAGTAAAAACTCACAATAGCTCCAAAATTGTGAGAGCAGTTCTCGACTCCGCTGCACAGGGGACGTTTATTACGACCGAATGCACTCATGCTATAGGGTTGCCTATCGTCCAAGGGGCAGGAGCCATCCAAGGCATATCCAGTCTCCCAAGTTCTACTCGTGGTACGGCCACTGTGACTCTGTCATCTGTAGACAATAAAGTGTTCGCTAGGGAACACGAACTAATCATTTTGGATAAAATCACTGATTTTACTCCTTCCACGTTCATCCATGATGACGTGCAGCACTTAGTGCGCGGTTTACCCATGGCTGACCCAGAATGGAACCAGCCTGGGCCCGTAGATCTTTTAATTGGTGCGGACCTCTTTCCTGTCTTAATTATTGGAAAACCGCGGCCTCTGGGCACAAATATGCCCTATCTTATTGAAACGAGGTTGGGACATGTGTTAATGGGATCTGCTCCAACGCAATTGCATCCTCCCATGGTGCTCATGGCTGAGTTGGAACAAGGTTCCATTGCCCAGCTCAGCAAAGATATTCAAAATTTGTGGCAGATCGAGACGATACCTTCCAGAGAGCCAACGAGTCCTCCTGATGACCCAGCTGAAATTTCGTTTCGTGAGAATGTAGAGCGTCTGCCCAACGGACAATTCTCAGTACGACTGCCGTTCGCAAAGCCTCCGAGCGCGCTGGGAGAGTCCTATCCACAGGCACTTCGGCGTTTTCTGGCTTTAGAAAGACGTTTCAAGCATCAGCCAGAGTTTCACAAGCTATATGTGGAATTCATGGACGAATATCAGAAGAACGGAGTTATGACTCTTGCTCCGGACAATGTTATGGAGGGTTCACACTGCTTTCTTCCTCATCATGGCGTTATAAAGGAGACTAGTTCCACTACGAAACTTAGAGTAGTTTTCGACGCAAGTGCAAAGACAAGTACAGGCGAATCCTTGAACAGCGTGCTCCATACTGGACCTTCTCTACTAAAGGATATCAGAGACGTACTAATGGGATTCCGAAGACACAAGGTTGTGTTCTCCTGCGATATTCGGCAGATGTACTTACAAATTGCGCTACACCCTGAAGACAGAAGGTACCACCTGGTGTTATGGCGTCCTAACAAGGAAGCTCCTGTGCAGATCTATCAGCTAAACCGGGTCACCTTCGGTGTAGGCAGCTCGTCGTTCTTGTCGAGCAGATCGTTAATAGAGCTTGCCACTCTTTACAAAGACCGGTACCCCAGAGCATCCAAGTTAATTCTGGAGAACATTTTCTGATGATGTGATCTCAGGGGATAGAACCGTTGAATTAACTCGATCTCTCATCGAGGAGTTAATTGCGCTACTCAAGGAAGGCAACTTTGCGCTCAGGAAGTGGACCAGCAACGACTCAAAGGTTCTGGAAGGCATTGCCGACGAAGATTTAGAGGTACCATTTACCTGGGAAGATCCTATGACTTCCTCATTTTCTATGTTGGGTCTTCATTGGCTCCCAAGACCAGATGCATTTTCATATCGAGTAGACCAACCCATCAGGGCTACCACGAAGAGAGCAGTTCTGTCTGCCATAGCCAAAATTTACGACATCCTTGGCTGGGTATCACCTGTGACATTTCTCGCCAAAACATACATGCAACAGCTATGGTTGCTCAAGTTGGGCTGGGACGAACCCCTGCCAGGGGGATTCCAGACCAAATGGGACAAATTCATGCTTGCGCTCTCATCCTTAAGGCAAGTTCGAATTCCAAGATTATTGGCATTAGAAGAATCCCTTGTGCAACTACATGCCTTTTGTGACGCATCTGAAGCCGGTTATGCAACCTGCATTTATATCAGGACCAATGAGCCACCACATGACACGAACTTGGTAACAGCCCGTACCAGAGTAGCTCCGTTGAAGAAGATCTCTCTGCCGCGGCTTGAGCTCTGCGGAGCGACTGTGTTGGCGGATTTAACGGATTATGTGACAAAGCAGCTTGATCCATAATATATAATATCCTATAATATCTCTGGCATTCACGCCTGGACTGATTCTAAAATTGTGCTCCAGTGGATCCAGACCCCATCTTACAAGCTGAAGACATTTGTGGCAAATCGGGTCTCCCATATACAAGAGCTCTTATCCAATGTAATTTGGCATCATGTCCCTTCTAAGGACAACCCAGCCGACTGTGCGTCACGTGGACTTCTAGCGTCCGAACTCTTGAATCAAGAAATCTGGTGGAAGGGGCCAACATGGCTTCGAGAAGACTCCTCACAATGGCCTGCAGCTCCGTTACCGCTCGCGACTGACTCAGTTCCTGAGAGCAAGAATCTTGCAGTACTACTGGTCTCCAAGCCAATCCAAACCTTTTCTAAATATTCTTCTTGGACTAGGACTAAGCGAGTCTTGGCTTACATCCTTCGCGCAATCACTCCAAAGAAGTCACGATGTGGAGGAGAGTTAACCATGGGAGAATTAAAGAAGGCTGAGCTGCAGCTATTCCGGAAGGTTCAAGAAGACTGCTTTCAGGATGACTTACTCAAACTGAAGAAAATTCAAGATGGAGTGAACATCTTGTGCGCTAAGCCGGTTCAAACTTTAAGTCCGTACTTGGATGAAGATGGCCTAATAAGAGTGGGAGGTCGCCTTAAGAATGCAGACCTCGCTGAAGGTGAACGGCACCCGATCCTGTTATCCGGGAAGCATCACCTGACTCAGCTGCTTATTCGCGAGTATCATAAGGATCTCGACCATCCTGGAACCCAAACTCTACAATCTCTTCTCACAAGGCAATTCTGGATAACCGGAGCCCGAAGGGCAATTCAACATTGCGTTCATCAGTGTCTCAAGTGCTTCCGAGCGAGACCAAGAAACAGCGCACCGCTAATGGGCGACTTGCCTGCACCTCGTGTAACGCCCAGCTCCCCATTTACTCATACTGGCATGGACTTCGCAGGCCCCTTTTCTGTAAAAACCTACAATCTTAGATCCGCCCGGACCGTGCAAAGCTACATCTGCATATTCGTTTGCTTCTCCACGAAAGCTGTGCACATAGAGTCTGTACACGATCTAACATCTAACTCGTTTATTGCAGCTCTAAGAAGATTCACAGCCCGTCGAGGGTGTCCCACGGACTTGTACAGTGATTGCGGAACTAACTTCGTGGGCGCGGACAACGCCTTGAAGAAATTAATTTCCCAAGAGTCGAATGATCTAAGCGAGCATGCTCTAGCAAGAGGCATTAAATTCCATTTTAATCCTCCTGCGGCTCCGTTTCAAGGAGGACTTTGGGAAAGAGCAGTGCGTAGCATGAAGGAACACTTCAAAAGGATTGTCGGAGACCAAAAGCTCCAGATGGATGAATTTCAAACCGTTTTGTGTCGGATCGAGGCCATCTTGAACTCCAGACCTCTTACGCCAATGTCAAATGACCCAAATGACCTCGAGGTTCTGACTCCTGGTCATTTCTTGATAGGCAGGCCTGTAGTATCCCCTCCAGAGGAAGAACACGGGGACACTCCTCTTCCCAGGCTCAAGAGGTGGAAGTACGTGGAAGCTCTCTCTCAGCAACTTTGGAAAAGATGGTGTAGTGAATACCTGCAAACTCTACAAAAGAGGAATAAATGGCTTAAGACATCAACTCCGCTGAAAGAAGGTGATCTCGTGCTCATTGAAGATCCTCAACTCCCCACCCTTTGCTGGAAAAGAGGTCGGGTGTTGCAGACGTTTCCTGGGAAAGACGGGCAAGTTAGAGTCGCCACCGTGCGTACTCCCACCGGCGAGCTCAAGAGACCCGTGCTCAAGCTATTTCGTTTGCCCGCGGAGCATTCATCACCCACCATTAACTGCTAGTTGTTAAGTCTCTATCTCTTATTTCATAGTCTTATACAGAGTCTCCAAGCTATTTAAATAATGTTATTTCTTTTTCTTTTTCTCCTTTCCTAATGAAACCCCCTTTGTGGTTTCATGGCGGGCGGTATGTTTATACCAGCCTCCTCCGTCTACAAATGCAAATTTTTAAATTATAGAATTTTTGGGCATTTTTTCTATTTCAATTTTCTGAGAAACCTGGCAATCAGCTTGGATGCCAGAATCGCGCGCACCGCCGGACCGTTCGCTGTGTACTGCTTATGCAACCAGTCCCGCGTCCCACGCACGCATCACGTGGGCACGCGTCGCGTCGCGCGCTCTAATCACGCGGCCGCGCGTCGCGTCGCGGCTATAAAAGGCGAGCGGCCGCGCGTCTCATCACCAGTCGCAGCTCAACCGCAAGAAGAGTAGCAACCACGGTAAGTACCTCCAAGTACATACAGCTCTCATCCATCGGCGCGCTGGTCCATCTCTAACCGAGCTCTCCACGGCTCCAACGACTTGCGGGTCTTCCCTGCCCACATCGCCCGGAGCGCTACCGCACTGGGCCAGCCCGAGGAGCCGTATCTTGGGGTCTCTTCGGCGTCTCCAAGCGCAAAAACCAACGTGGACTTCCATGTCCAGATCGCCCGGAGTGCTATCACACTGGGCCAGCCCGACCGAGCTATCTCGTGGGGTGTTCTAAGCGCTTCCAAGCGCACAAACCAGGTCCTCTACAGGACAGCTGGCACTCGTCCGCTCTTTCTCAGGACCAGCGCTAGCCGACTCTAAAAGTCGCACTCCTTTTCACCAATTTTAACAAAGAAATTTAACGTAATAAAGGCGTGGTTTTTTTTTAGAGAGAAAACATCGCATTTGAGTGCAGTTTCGATATCAGTATCGAATGCGATGTTTTCTCTCTAAAAAAACCACGCCTGTGTTACGTTGAATTTCTTTGTTGAAATTGGTAAGTGAGTGTTTTAGTCTCCTGACAACAAAATTGCGATCTCAAAATTGGATAAATATGACGAGTAGCTGAAAAATTGGAACCAAGTGATGCGATATATCGCATGCCGTTCTGACACAAAATATGGCGTCCATCGAATCACCTTAAGTAATAAGGACGACAGATTCACCGCGAAATGTAGTTTTGCCCTTATGTCAGGAAGACGACGAATTTATCTGTAGTATGAGATTACCCTTGGTTAGTAGTTATCTGATGTGGGTTAGACCACATTTCGCAAATGGACTGCATTTTGCAATTAGGAACTATAAATTTTGTCCCGGTTTTAAAACAACGTATGTGCCATTAGTTTTCTCACGCACATAAGTGTTTTTTCAGATGAACCAGAATTCATGGCTCCAAATTGCAAAATGCAGTCCAAATAGGAACTACAATTTCTGGCTCAGTTTAGAAACAACGTATGTACCATTACTTCCCTATGCAGATAGGTGTTTTTACTGATGAGCCTTAAATTGTGGTTCCTAATTGCAAAATATAGTCCACACATTACACTTAAAAAGTCCTCCGACCGTGGAAGCCGCACTTACGAGCTATATACAGACATACCGTCCGTTCCGGGCTCAGAGGCGGAAAGTTCCAGAAGTAGCACCTGGAGCAATCGACACTACGGCTCCAGCACCCAGAACTTTTCGGTCTCTGAGCCCGGAACGGACGGAATGTCTATGAAACCCGTGACTTTTTTTTCAGTGTGAGACACTATCCACACTATTGAGAATAATGCCGTGCTATAAGGTAGAACGTCATATGAGCCATCAACCGTCGTCAAATTTCCTTTGGTGAAATATGAATTTTGGAGGAATTAAGATGGGAGTGGTTTTTTGCATTTGTCAGAGAATTTCATTCGCCATTTAATCGGCAGTGCCTTAATGTTTCAAGGAAAAATATCCGTAACTTTTCCATAAAATAAAAATTTTATTGGGGGAAATTTGGCAACTTCTGAATGTTCATAAGGCGTTTTTCCTTGGTGCGGTAGAATAATGAACTGCTCCTTTGTTGAAAATGAACCGACTCAATTGACCCGTGAATCGAGTGAAACGGGATTCTGATTTATAAGAAATTTAATCTATTCTTTAAGCTCGCTAAATCCTCCTAAATTTTCATTTCTGGTAACGCTTATTGTTAGTTCTCTCCAATACCCTGACCCTTCGAGGTATTCAGATTCTGAAAATATGACCCTAATTTTTGTATTTTACAGGGTAGAGTTGCCAATTCTCCCATACAAACAATGTAAATTTCCAGATATTTCCATTCAATTATGAATATCATTTCAGACTTNGACGGCCGCTGAGCCTTGCGGGAATATAATTGATACTCAATGTGTCAATAGTACGAAGATAAGTTAAGGAGCACGGTCCAACTTCGGGGTGCACGACGGCAGTTGCTGAGTTGCCAGTTGCCTTGGCCCCTGGAGGGCGCCTCGCCGGCCAGCCCGGCCTTACTTACTTACTTACTTACTTACTTACTTACTTACTTATTGTTAGTTCTAGAGTATTACTGAGCCGATGATCATGACTTTTGCGGTTATCAACAGGTAATCGTCTTTAAAGAAGCCCGCTATATTCAGATTCTGAAAATATGACCCTAATTTTTGTATTTTACAGGGTAGAGTTGCCAATTCTCCCATACAAACAATGTAAATTTCCAGATATTTCCATTCAATTATGAATATCATTTCAGACTTGTTACGTTTTTCGAAGAAATGAACTTAAAAGGTGATTTTTGTTTTGAGGGGTCGTTTTTTGTTCTTAAAAAAAAGCGGAGTGAGCCTTGACCGATTTTAACAATCTTGGTTAGTATGCATTGATTTGATGAGCCTCGATTCTTTTTTTAAAAATTTTGCCGTATGGTGACAAACATTCAAATCAATCAAGTTAACTACAATAGTGGCTGCGTTAAAACGTCTATTCTCCGTTTCAGCACTACGTGTCCGGAGTTTTTGATGTACCTCAGTGCGGCAATGTCAGAGTTGAAGACCTGAACCATAGTGTTGTTATCGTTGGCCATTTCAGAGGTATCTCCATCTTTATCGTTTTTCACCTGAGCTTCATCGAAAATCTTCGAAAACTTCTATAGTTTGGTCCTAAAATTATGGCTTAGTCGGATACCAAAAAATTTAATTACAATGTGATTTGCACGTTACATGGCTCATTCTCAACACGCTTAGAATGTAGCAGAATTATAGTTTCATTGATGTAAAGCGAGGAATGAAAGTCTGTGCCGGAATTTATATAGCGCCTCAAAACTCCGAGTTGTATGAGTGCGAAGTGAAATTAGCACCATAAAAGCGTAAGACACTCCGAAAAAAGAGCAAATTCCGCTCCGTAATGGAGATGTTGCCTGTGTGAGGAATTTGCGATTTGACTAACGATTCTTATGTAAAAGTTCGCGAGAAACACGATGGTGCCACTGGTTTTCTCTAAAATCAACTCTCAAGTTGAAGCTAAAATGGAGGGGATATCCCACCCTACCGTGAGAGCCACCTTTACATCAAAACAAACTCTTCATGCAAAGATAGGGAGCAAATACATTAGCAGGGATGCCGTGTTTTCAGTTTTGGAGTCCCCAAATAAAGTGGCAGCCCTGTCAATGTATTTGCTCCCTATCTTTGCACGGAGAGTTCGTCTTGATGTAGAGGTGGACTCTCAGGATAGCGTGGGATATCCCCTCCATTTTGGCCTCAACTTGAGAGCTTTTTTTGAGCTTGGGAGTTGATTTCAGAGAAAACCAGTGGCACCATCGTATTTCTCGCGAACTTTTACATGAGAATCAACAGTCAAAGCGCAAATTCCTCACACATGCAACATCTCCATAGTGTAAGTCACTCCGTAAGGAGCATGAGTTCCATTCCGCATTCATATCACTCGGGGTTTCTGAGCTCTTTATAGAATCCGGTATAGTATTTCACTCCAAAATTGTTGACTATGAGTGTGACATTCTTCAGTAACAATCTTGAGAACTGTTACTACCCTTGAGAATGGGGAAGTTCCGAATATAACGTGATATGGATTGCATTTTGCAAAAAAGAACCAGAGCATTCCAATGTCGCTAAGAGAGTGCAACTCATTTTACTTTGCGAATATAAACTGCAGCCTGATTGTTGAAATTTTGTGTTCGTCGGGACGACATGGAAGACATAGGTTAAAAGGCGGTGCGTGATGCACTGAAAAAAAAATCTCGGTGTATTTACTAAGAAAAGGGTAAAATTACCAAGAATTCAGGGTTCTATTTGATCCCAGTTTTTTCTTGGTAAAATTACCATTTATGGAATTGGTAATTTTACCGAAAAATCTTGGTAAAATTATCGACTTTCTCGGTGATTTTACTGGACCCCGGTAAAGATGCCAATATTTTTTATCGACTGTGGTAGAATTACCGAGATAAAATGGCAAAGTTACCGGGAATTGATTACTAATAATGATTAATTGATTCAAAGTGGTATTCTTACCTGAAAAAAACAGTAAAAATACCGGTTTTTAGGTAAGCTTACCAATCTGTCTTGGTAAAATTACCAATAATTGGTAAAAAAAAGTGAGATGGTAAAGGCACCAACGGACCTCGGTAAAAACGCCGAGAATTTGTTTTCAGTGTGATTGGTCGGTTATGTCTTATCGCTGCTTTGTCGTGCCTATGTCGGGTTGATCTCACGACAAGCTGACGGCACCTCTTAAGTTTCCGACGGTATGTCGTCCATTCCACCTGACAAAGGTACGTCAAAGCAGCGATAAGGCATAGCCGACCAATCATGCTCCGCCTTTTAACCTACGTCATCTATGTCGTCCCGACAAACGAAAATTGTCTACAATCAGGCTTCTGATCATCGAAACAAGTTTTATCTTCTCTCCCAATAGACTATAAATTCAATATGAAAATTACGTTTGTAAATTTAATTTTTTTGCAAGGTTTCCGTAATGTTATTGCACAATCCTAGCAAAATTGAAACGCTCTTTGTTCCTTTTCGCAAATCCATATAATTATGCCTTCTTACTCACCCTTCTTCCGCCTTAGCAATACATTTGTTGGGTAAACCCCAATTTTATATATATATGAGTCGCTTTTATAGCGCTCTTTGGCGCTGTGCGACGCCTAATCGCCACAAAGCTCGGTCTTCCCACAGGTCATCAGGGAATTGACAATCTCTTATCTCATTTAACACCCCCTGTCGCCAACCTCTCACTGGGCGTCCCCTACGTCTCCTCCCAGGAGGAACCCAATCAAGCATCTTTTTTGGCAGCCTCTCTTCCGTCATCCTATTGACATGACCATACCAAACAAGTTGTTTGGTCATGACGTCGAACACGATGTCATTTTCGACTTCCATTATCTGACGCACTCTATCATTACGGACCCGATCTCTCCTAGAAATTCCTGCTGACCTTCTCCAGAAATCCATCTCCGTTGCTCTTAGCATATCCTGTGTCCGTTTCTTCAGCTGCCAAACTTCACATCCGTATGTTAATATACTTTTGACTACAGCGTTGTATATCCTCCTCTTGTTATCTTTGGAAATCCGCTGATCCCAGAGGATTCCATTTAACATCGCTATAGCCTTCCTTGCTAAGGTGTTCCTTTCCCTGATAGCTTGATCCGTCCTTCCATCCTGGGTCAACCGCACTCCCAAGTACTTAAAGTGCTCGCAGCCTTTGATCTGCTGCCCATCCTCCAACTCAATGCTTTGCTGATCACCGCCAAAAGTCATCTTCTCAGATTTGGATATGCTGACTTCCAGACCCCACTTCCGATACTCTTCTACTAGCTTGCGCATCATGTATTCCGCGTCATCTTGATCTTGAGCAACCACCACCTGGTCATCAGCAAAGCACAGAGTAAACAGAGTTTCGAGATCACCCAAGGGGACACCCATACCAGAGCATTTCTTTTTCCATTCTTTTAGCACGCACTCGAGATAAATTTTAAATAATGTTGGCGACAAACAACATCCCTGTTTTAAACCCTTAGTCACATAAAATCCCGCTGACAACCCCCCATGGCACTTAACTTTGGTAAAACTCCCTTTATAAAATCGCTTAACAGCGTCAATCAACCCCCCGTTAAAATTCGATTTTTCCAAGGCCTCCCAAAGTTTCACCAACGGCACGCTGTCATACGCCTTCTGGAGATCCACAAAAATTAAATGCAGTTCCTGAGCTACGGCCATTTTCTTCTCAATGACCTGGACAATAACAAAGAGGTGATCTATCGTAGACCTGCCAGCTCTAAAACCAGCCTGCTCCTCTGCTTCGTGATCCTGCCATTCGTCCTCGATCTTCGCTTTCAGTATCTTCCCGTACACTTTGCTTATTGTCCCGGTCACTGAGAGCCCCCGGTAGTTGTTACAGTCGTCCTTCCTTCCCTTCTTTTTGTAGATGGCCTTGATCCAAGACTCCTTCCACTCCCTTGGTACCTCGTCACCCCTGATGCATTGTTGCATCAGTTTTCTGAGGCACTCAAAGAGCTTGGCAGTCCCGTACTTGACCAACTCGACAGGAATCCCACCAGGACCCGGTGCTTTGTCATTAATTAGCTCTTTAACCGCTTTAATTATGTCACAAGTGTGGATCTCCAAGTTGTTCATTCTTCCGTTGTCCGTGCTGTTGTCTCGAAACTCTGGGCGCCTTTCCGTCAAAAGATCTTTAAAATGATCCTCCAGTTTTTTAAGTGATATCGGAGAAACGATGTCGCGCTTCATGTCTCTACGTAAACCTTTAATTAACTTCCAGCTCTCAGCACTTTTTCTCCCCCCTAGGTAGGTGTTAATTCTAGAACAGTTGCTTTCCCAAGCTTCATTCTTCTTCCGTGTTATGAGGCTCCTAACTTTAGACTGAGCTTTCCTGTAAGCAACTTTATCTTCAGTCTTTTTAGACGACAGAAATATAAGGTGTTTTTGCCTCTTAAGATTTATCTCGTCTTCAATTTCTTCATCCCACCAGTAAGGATGCTGGTATTTATTACTGGTTTTGTGAACACCTAGGGCTTCTTTCGCTGCAGAGTGGATACAATCTTTGATGAACTGATATTGCTCTTCCGTGGTACCCGAGAGTCCATCCCCCAGCTTCTCATCTAAGCGTTTCCGATACAGAGCCTTGACACTAGGGTGCTCCAAACTTTCGATGTTATACCATACTTCATGATTTTGCGTTCCCTGACTCTGCTGTTGCTCAGGCATTGGCTCTTTATCTTTAATCCCTTTAACGGGAAACGCTATATCTGCTCGGAGGAAATGATGATCACTGCCGCAAGAGAGTCCCCTGCACACTCTAACTTGCTGCAATTTCAACTTAGTAGTGTGCTTTACAATTACATAATCGATGATGGATTTCAATCCTCGCGTTGGCTGGACCCAGGTATACTTATGGATGTCTTTGTGTTGAAAAAAGCCATTCAAAATTTTCATCTCAGTTTGAGAACAAATTGAGATGAGCCGATCACCGTTATCATTAACAGCATCCTCCCCAAACGGTCCAACAACTTTACAGTTTACTCGTCGTCCCGTTCTGCTGTTCAAATCACCCATAAGAATGGCTTCCCTGCCAGCACCAACGTTCAGTATTTCATCATTCAGATCTTCGAAGAATTGGTCCTTACATGCGACAGTGGCATCATCATTTACACCGTATACTCCGAGCAGCGTGATCTTATGTCCGTACAGGTTAAGGTTCATTTTGATAATGCGCTGGTTGACGGCCTCCCAAGTGCCCACGAACTTACGTAGGCTTCTCCGCAAAAGTATTGCTACTCCTTGCTGAGCACGCTGATCTTTGGCTACGCCGCTGTAGAATAGATCATAGTCACCGTAATTCTCTGACCCGTGCCCTTTTTTCTTGGTCTCAGTAAGAACAGCGACATCCACTCCAAGTTTCTGAATCTCCGATATCACTTCCGGTAACTTATTTGAAATGCCTTGGACATTCCACGTCCCAAATACCATTGTCCGTTTTCTCAATTTTTGTCGACGTGTCCGTTTAGTTCTAGTGGTACCGAGGCTTGTATTGTTAGGTCGTTTAACAGTAAAACTTTTTACAAGTACCGGGGAGTTAGCCCGATGACTCAACCCCCAACCTGGAGGACCAGGGTTTGATTTCGGAGTTGCCTCTCCTAGACAGGTTGCTTTCACTTCAGCTCAGAGCCCTGTCTGCCCTTCTAGCAGGTGGTTCATACGCCCAGAGGCCGGTGACCATCTCCACTGCCCCCTTTGAGGCAGGGGCTACCAGCTGGGGTCCGCAGGATTGCTAAACCTGTGACAACAGTCCCCCATACGGGACCCCCAGGGAAACCCCCCGGGAAACCCCAATTTTAATCTGATAAATAGTCAAGACATTTGATAGAGGCTCCCTCCTTTTCAAATTTCATCGATTAGTTGATGACAAAATGTAGCCAAAAATTGTTCTACGTAAAAAATCAAAAGTGGAGGATCCGAGATAAAAAAACTTTCTTCTTGTTTTATCAATTTGAACGTACGTACGTAAGTTCTGTGAAAAAAGTGAAAAATAAAATTTGCACTTTATATTTTGGTTTCAGACGCATGGATCGTCCGGAATAGTTTTACCAGCGATTGGGGCATAAAGGTATGCAATACTTTAATTGACATCATGTTAAGGATTGATTAAATGTTGGAGTTTTCGGCGGTGGTCTGCCGGCATCCAGAGAAATTACAGAGTTAATTTTTGCAGAATTTAACATTTTTCCCAGCATATACTTGCGAGTGCGTTTGCAAAATCGAGTGCGATGCAACAATATCCGCGAAAAGTAATAAGTGAACTTCCGCGATCGAATCCTCGTCAAATGTGTAACATTGATTAATGGCTCGCAGTCACGCGAAGTTCAGGAAACTATTAATATGCCCGGAATTTCTTAGTCTTCTTCGCTCTACCGGTAGAAAAAATTAGAGGAAAGTAATGATAGTTGTGTGGAGACTTTAGCGTAAGTGCAACATCATCGCCAGATAGTCGTGCATGTGCAAAGCTGGAACTGCTCCCATTTGACCGTCCGTAAAGTTTGCGGATCATTCAACGTCAACACAACAGAGGCGGATTTGGCAATTCGGCAACACCGGATTCAGTGGAGTGGCGTGAATTGCGATATATCGATTGTTATATCATTTAAATCTATGGAAAAGGATCGATAAACAGGGTGTTCGCAGCGAACACCTTAATAATCGATTCTTTACCACGGATTCAAATGGGGATATATCGAAAATTGATCATTCACGCCACGCCACTGACCGGATTGCCTCCATTTGAACCTCTGCTAAATAATCGAAACGATAGTGTTATTCGTGCCGGATTTTTTTTTTCACGCCGATTATTCACTACAGAGTAAATAATCGATTTTTAACAGTGTAGCCATCGATATTAAATTTCTCGTTGCGAATACCCTGATAATCGATTCTTTCCCGTGTTTTTAAATGGCAGATCAATCGATTTATCGTATAAGGTCTATAAATAGTGGCGAAGCGTGAACCAACCGGCTATCGAGAATTCCCCCATTCAAAGCTCAGTGTTGGATGTATTTCTGCCAAACGAAACTATGTGCATTAAGACATGAGCCCTAAAACCCTTAAGAATATATACATAACAGGGCTCACGTCTAAATGCACATAGTTCCGACTGGCAGAAACACAATCTGTTAAGGGTCTTAGGCAAGTTTTGAATTTGAACACAACTCATTCAGAAATTCAATATGTTGCAGGGCCACGCTCTCATAAAAAAAGGAAGGTGTGGAATAGGTCTTCAAAGTTATGGGATAAAGGAACCGTACTTGGTTGAACAACTTCCTCCAAGTACTTCAGCTTCAAAAGCGAAACGCCAACGCAAAAAGACAAAGAGGACATGAAGTAAATATCATTTATGTACTTCGAGTGTAATTCTTTTATTTATACCATCTAATATTGATAACATTGTACAAAATTATGAGTACACCATTCAATGTAAATGGCAATAACAATCAGTTCATCTCATTTTTTGAGCATCTAACGTCCCTTTCACAGATCTGGTTACAATCATGAAGCAAAAAATACTTCCTCGCAGATCCAAAACAATAAAAAAGAGCTCGGTTTCTTTTCTACTGATCGGAGATTCAAATGCAGAATAGAATAGTTGGATTGGGCAAAACGCGAAATATAGTTATTTTGACTTCCAAATAGGCAAAATTGCATTTCCGCAAACTGAAGGAGAATCAATGATCGGCTACCTCGGAGACTTTAACGTGGGAGTAAAAAAGTTGGATGGGGCGAAACGCATGATACAACTATTTCGACTTCCAAATAGGTAAAATTACGTATCCGCAAAATGAGGGAGAGTCTTTTTTCGTCTGACTATAGGAGACTTTAACGCAGAAGTAGAAAAGTTGGGTGAGGCGGCGGAACGCGTGGTACAACTATTTTGACTTCGAAATAGGTATAATTGCATATCTAACAAGATGAAGGAGAACATGGTGTTCTATATCATCCCAACTATTCGCTCCGTCAAACTCAACTTTCAGTTCGTATAACCAAACATATGAGGTTAAAGGGACTGATGAAAAAAAGTTTGGTTACACGAATGAAAAAATCGGTTTCAATCAAGGATTGAACGCTCAACGCACTAACTTTCACCAAACTTGTGTGAAAACGTTGAATGTTCAGGAAATTAATGCGACTGCGTTTAATTTTCAGAAAATTTCTTCGAACGTGCAATTTTTTGGCGAAATTTCTGCAAGCATGACATGCCATAGTGCGTAAACTGCATCCCTGGTTGCTAAAAACCGCGTGGGCTGAAAACTTTCTGCATCCCTGGATTCCTTATTTCGTTTGCGTCGATTCTGTAATGGGTTTGTTGCACGCAATGATTACCTTTTCAAAGGGGGAAATCGCTCAAAAGTCACGTTGCACACATCACAAAAGTCTGAAATCCTCTCCTCAGCGCGTAATCTGCGTAATTCATAACGTTTTTTTCTAATTTACCCTGTATGTAGGCACGTTTTCTTGGTCACTGGCATTCAGGTTTGCCCGGAGACAGACCTAACTTATATGAACAAACAATATCGCAAACTGTTTAAAACTCTTCTTGCGTAAGATTTCAACTAATTCAAAGCTATTGTTTTTTTTTTGGAAAATAGAGAAAGAAATAGGAAACAAACGCTTGAAAACGTGGGTTACACGATACCATTAAGAAACTCACCTCTCACGATTGCACTGGCACAAAATTGAATGGTTGAAAAAGAGATCGACGGTAGAAAAGACGTAATTAGGTCTCATTTTCCTAGTGTTCCCCGGAATCTGAGCGACTCATTGGTGACAGAGTGGGGAGCACTGCGAGTTCAAGCCGCGCGCTATCGCGCCTTCAATTTTGCAGATGCTACACGGACATCCATCAAGCACGAATAGTTGTACCTATCTCTGCACCGTCATCAACGGGTGCTCTCTCCCTTGCTATATTACCATGTTATGTTGGTTCCGTTTGTTTTATTTGTAGTGGTGCTTAAAGGGCTCCGTGAGCTACACAGCCGAGGATAGGAGAGACGTAATTGGGCCTCGTTTTTAATTTATCTCTCAAATCTGAGCATCGCCTCACTAGCAGCGTAGAGATATTCATTTTGTAAAAAAAAATGAAAACATGAATGATAAAAAATAAAAGCATGTTTAGAGATCTCTCAAGTGCCGTCGAAGGGTATGCTGGCGAGAGTTGTGTCGGGTCAGGACTTTTTTTTTTTATTTTTACTTTCTCGCTTCCCTAGGGTAGAGAAAGTATTGTCATCCTCCAAGGGGGAAAAAAAGTTGAAATTTCATCATTTCTAGTTTTTTTTAATATTTTTTTATTTTTTTTTTTTGACGACTACTCCTAGAAATCCTAGGTCTAGCAAACCTGACTATCTCTTCTCTGGGAGTTACATATTACGGCGCATGAGGGGTTTCAGGACATTTTGTCAACGATTTTTTGTCCGCGCACCTTTTTTGTCCAGTAGTTTACGCCTACACGTAAAATAAGCAACAGTGACTTGGTCCAAGCGTAGTCTGTACGTAAAATTATATAGACAGTATATGGACATGAGAAATTGAGAGAGAAGGAGGTGTTGTTACAGTTGCTCATTTTCTAAATGAAATGTTATTACTTTCTCCTTTTGAATCATCTTTTTAAATTCTCATTGGTGAATATTTGGTTTTACATATGTATTTCTATCCTTAAAATATTCGATGCACAACATACCTTACACATGTTTAGGTACTTTTTTTTATTTTTTTAATTGTTTCTTTACGAAATTAGTACTTCATTTTGAAAACATGTATATTTTTAAAACGTGACAAATATTTGTAAAGCCTTTTCCAAGCGGCATTAATCTCAATGAGCCGCAGTTGTACCGACAGAAACTGCAAAAATGAATAAAAGAGGAAAAAAACCAAAAAGCACGCAATCTTTAGTTTCAACCCATTTGTACATCGATCTTTTAGAGTCAAATTTTGAGCGTTTCGTTGCGCGTACATCTCGCTGCAGTACCAGAAAAGCACAAAATGTAAAAGAAAAAATTAAAATGCTTTGAAAATCATTAAATTTGACACGGAACCACCAATATTTAAAAAAAACACATTATATTATTATTCTTCTTCGATAAATTGATACATATTTTTTCCCCATCAATTTAAATGAGAATAATCAATGCAGAGTGTGCAAGCATTTCAAAATAATGAGTTAAAAAACGCTGACTATGAGAGTATAAATATTAAAGCCTGACAGAGCGGAGCGGCGTGCTGCCAGCGCGAGAGGCTCACTGGCGCCTACAAACCTAAGTGGATACTTCACGCATTGCACAATGCTTGAAGTATCGCCACTTAGGTTTGTAGGCGCGCCAATCAGGGTCGGACTGACCATAAGGCCAATCTGCCATTGGCAGATGCGCCCCCCCTCAGCGCGCCGAAGGCGCGCCCCTGCGCCCCTCTTCCGGCTACCAGAATGATAATGAAGAAAATGAAGAAAAGGAGAAAAGAAAGAAAAGAAACAAAAGGAAAAAAGAAGAAGAAAAAAAAGAAAAGAATAATAAATAAAAAGCAAGGAGAAAAGAAAATAAGTGTAGAAAAAAATGCCTAAAAATTATAAGTAAACGAGAGAAGCATTAATAGGAGTTATAGAGGAATGTGTATTCTGTATTCTGTCCCCTTGTCTCATTTTTCTTCTCTTTAGCTATGTAGTATGTATTGTCATCAGGGCCGGATTTACCTACTTGCCGCCCACGCGGGCCGCCTGTATTTTGCCGCCCCTTCTCATTCGTTTTGAAACTTCAATAAAACCATCAAGTAAACGTGCCGGAGGTAGCGGGGTGCATAAAACACGTTTACTCGTGTTTGACACATTTTTTGCGAAACACCCTGTCAGCACTACTAGCGAAAGTTCACGGAACTTTGCGCGAAAAAGTCCCGTAAACCTATATCTTTGTGGACAAGGCCTTCCATTTATAAGCATTGAACGAAAAAATTAAGAAAGAACAAATATAAATGTGGTTTAATAATTTTAACTTCCGCCGCCGCTCCGCGCTGACCGCACTGTATTTGGCGCAATGCGGGAAGTATTCCTGATGTGTTGTAGGCGCTGTGCGTTCCACGCCGACCGCTGCTGACCGCACTGTGTCTGACGCAATGCGTGAAGTATTCATGTAATCTTGTAGGCGCTAATATGTGTTACATGCCGACCGCCGCGCCGAGGGCTTCTCCTTTTCGTCGCAAGTCCTCGTCATCATTCCTCTCTGCGCCGAGCACCAGGCCAAATTGCGTGTTTAGTCCCTCTCTTAATTCGACTAATTAAAGATGGAAAGGAGGAAAAGCCTCTAGGAGCTCTATGCTTTGCCAATGACCAGATCGTTGTAGCTCAAGATGAGGAAGATGCAGATTACATGACGCGGAAGTTGGTCGAAGAATATCGGAAATGGGACATGGACGTTAGTGTGTCCAAGACAGAGAAGCTGGTCGTGGGAGCAGCGCATCAACGGCAAAGCATAGAGCTTGAGGATGGACGGCGCATCGAAGAGTGTGACGAGTATAAGTATCTCGGTGTTTGGCTCGATCAGGATGGAAGGATGGATAGAGCAATTAAGGACAGGATCATCCAGGGCAGGAGAGCCATCGCGATGCTGAACGGGGTGCTCTGGGATCAGAGCATCTCAAAGGCAAACAAGCACCGGATATATGACGCCATCGTTAAAAGTATCGTGCTCTATGGTAGTGAAGTGTGGCCTTTGACGAAAAGAACGCAAGAAATGTTGAGGGCAACTGAAATGGATTTTTGGCGGCGATCTGCCGGCATTTCGAGACGGGACCGTGTCCGTAATGAGAGAATTCGCCAGGTGATGAAGGTTGAGAAAGATATCGTGCACGACGTCATGTCCAGGCAGTTATGCTGAGATGATATTGATCGTTTTACTCGATTCGCGTCTATGCTGGTATGGACATGTGCAAAGAATGTCGGAGGAGAGGTTGCCCAAACAAGTTTTGGATTGGGTACCACCTGGGAAGAGGCGACGGGGACGTCCCGTAAAGGGTTGGCGGCAGGGCGTTGACGAAGAGATATTGCGGTGTCAGTTGCCCGATAACCTCTGGGAAGACAGGCATATGTGGCGTTTGGGTGTCGTAGAACGCCAGAGTGCGTTGTAAAGCGACTTTTTATTTGTATATATATAGGAATTCTGGGAAACGAAACAGCGGACAGAGCAGCCACTGAAGCATGCTCTTTGCAGAACATCACTCACCATCCATTCACTCAGCAAGATGCTAAAAAAGCTATGTGCGAACTTATCACAAAATCGTGGGAACAAGAATGGAGCACAAGTGAACAGAATCGTCTCCGTAGAGCCCCCATGCCATATCCAAGAACATCTAACCACAAATCAAGATCATGTGAAGTCCAAATTGCGCGTCTCAGGATAGGTCACACTTTTTTCACTCACTATCATATCATATCTAAAGAAAACCAACCC